TTAAAAATAATTTGAACTTTTTTCCTTGCCCCCCCCCCCCCCCCCCCCTCCCCCGTCCGTTCAATAAAACACAGAACGCGGCGACGCGGTTACGCGACTACACGATCCCTTCCGACGCGACCCCCAGCAACTGCCGGCCTTCCAGTCCCAAAAAGGTACACACCTACCCGCGCACGCCTACCTCACTCTGTCCCTTCTCTATTCGCACCTTGTTGAGAGATACTGTTGATTGAGGCGAGCGTTTCCATCCCGAGGGATTTGGTGGACTTCCGTAATACTCGTCGACTGTCTCTTCCTTTTACCGATTCTTGTCTACTCACGTTCCTTTGCCCTAGACTGGGAGCATTCATACTCGTCATTGTCTTGTTACAGCACTCTCCTTCCAAGCAGCTCCCGCCCTGAGAGACTCGACCATTATGGCAGGCAAATCGTCACCGGCGACTCGCACGCCTGCGAAAACGCCCTCCCTCAAGCGCCAGCCGTCTTCCTCCGCAGGAACCCAGAGGACTATAGTGCAGTTCTTCTCAAAGTCTGCCTCCAAATCGACGCCCAAGCCCACGGCCTCGGCTCCAGATTCGTCCCCGTGCCTAAGAGAATCTGCGCGAACGAACGAACTCCCCAAGACCAAGCGACCACCCAGCATAACTCATGTACCCAGTAGCGATGTCATTGAGCCCTCGAGCTCGCAGGAGAATATGGACGGTACTGGACTCAAGGTAGCTCAAGACTCCTTGCCATCTCCGTCCACTCCGGCTGAGACTGTGACCCCGCAGGTCACTGGTAGCAGACAAGTTCTGCCGTCTTCTAGCCCTACGCGAAAGGTAGATTTGCCACTCTCTTTCAGCCATTAACTGATGGATAGCACGCTGACTCTGCTGTCCGTATAGGCTAGGAAGCCCGTCAATTACACCGAGCAGTCCGACGACGAGGACGACGACCCGTTCGACCGCATTAGAGCTGCAGGCACGCGCCGTCGCACGAAGGCACCGGCCGCACCCGCTGACGATGGCGATGACTATGAGGACGCCGCTAGCAACGATGAGGATGCCGAAGGTAAGGGCCCATACTTGACCTGGACTCGAACTTCGCTGACAATGCACTAGAAATGGACGATTTCATTGCTTCGGACGAGTCGGACGCTCCTTCGCGCTCCAAGAAGAGGAAGCGCCCCCAAGCCCCGAAGAACTCTCAGCCCAGGAAGAAATCGGCTGTCTCTGCTCCCATCAAGGAGGAAGAAGAGGGCGATGAAGATGAGTTGATGGAAGACCTCCCTTCCACCTCAACAGCCCAGCAGTGGCGCTACGACCCCAACAACGTCGCTTCGTCTGCCCCTCGGTCTGTCCAGAGCCCGGTGGCACGTCGGCCGGCAGCTTCGAAACGCAAGGAGAAGGCTCACGTCACGGAGCCCGAGGCCAGGTACCCTTGGCTGGCTAACATCCAGGATATCAATAAGAACCCCCCGGGCCACGCCGAGTACGATCCCTCTTCCGTCTACATCCCCCCCGGTGCTTGGCACAAATTCTCCCCTTTCGAGAAGCAATACTGGGAAATCAAGCAAAAACTCTGGGATACTGTGGTCTTCTTCAAGAAGGGCAAGTTCTACGAGCTCTATGAGAACGATGCCACCATTGGACACCAGCTCTTCGACTTGAAGCTCACAGATCGCGTCAACATGCGCATGGTGGGTGTTCCTGAGAGCTCCCTCGACATGTGGGTCAATCAGTTTGTCGCCAAAGGCTACAAGGTTGCTCGGGTTGATCAAATGGAGTCCGCTCTCGGTAAGGAGATGAGAGAGAGGGGCGATACTGCCCCCAAGGCGAAGAAGGCAGACAAGATTATCCGCCGAGAGCTGGCCTGCATCCTTACGGGCGGCACTCTTGTGGATGGAAGCATGCTTCAAGACGACCTCGCAACCTTCTGCGTTGCCATCAAGGAGTCTGTGATCGATGGCAAGCCTGCTTTTGGAATCACTTTCGTGGACTGCGCTACTGGCCAATTCTTCATCTCCGAATTCGAAGATGATGCCGACCTCACAAAGTTCGAGACCTTCGTCGCCCAGACCAGTCCTCGAGAAATCATCCTGGAGAAGTCCCGTATTTCCACCAAGGCCGTTCGGATTCTCAAGAACAACACCTCTCCAATGACCATCTGGAATTATCTCAAGCCGGGTACCGAGTTCTTGGACGCCGACATGAGTCGCCGAGAAATCTCGAGCGGCGGCTATTTCTCCAACGAAGATGGCGAGGAGACCTGGCCTGAAGCCCTGGCCAAAGCCAAGGAGAAGGATCTGCTCATGTCTTCTCTGGGCGGACTGATCCACTATCTCAAGTTCCTGAAGCTTGAAGGGAGTCTACTGTCTCAGGGTAACTTTGAGTGGTACACGCCTATTCGCCGTAACGGTACGCTCATCTTGGATGGCCAGACCCTGATTAATCTGGAGATCTTCTCCAACACCCTGAACGGCGGCCCGGAAGGTGCACTCTTCACTTTGCTGAATCGCTGTGTTACACCTTTCGGCAAGAGACTGTTTCGCCAGTGGGTGTGCCATCCGCTTTGCGATATCAAGCGTATCAATGAGCGTTTGGATGCCGTCGACCTTCTCAACTCCGACCGAAGTGTACGAGAACAATTCTGTTCTCAGATGACCAAGATGCCCGACTTGGAACGTCTTATTTCTCGGATTCACGCCGCTTTGTGCAAGCCTGAAGATTTCGTGCGTGTTCTGGAAGGGTTCGAGCAGATCGAGTACACTATGAGCCTCCTCGGTGCTTTTGGTGGCGGTAACGGGCTTGTCGACCGACTCGTTTCGTCGATGCCTAATCTCAATGAACCGCTGTCTTACTGGAAGACTGCTTTTGATCGAAAGATGGCGAGGGAAGAGAAATTGCTCATCCCCGAGCGCGGCATCGAGGAAGACTTCGATAACAGTCAAGACCGGATCGAAGAGATCAAACAGGAGCTGCAGGGACTCTTGGGTAGAAAGAAGTCGGAGCTGAAGTGCAAGACCATCAAGTTTACGGACATCGGCAAGGAGGTTTACCAGATCGAAGTTCCCAAAGCAGCCAAGGTGCCTAACAACTGGCGTCAAATGTCCGCAACCTCGAGCGTCAAGCGCTACTACTTCGACGAGCTGACAGATCTGGTTCGTGAGCTCCAGGAAGCGGAGGAGACCCATTCTCAGATTGTCAAGGAGGTCGCGGCGCGCTTCTTCCAGCGCTTCGATGCCGATTACGAGACGTGGTCGCAATCAATCCGCATCATTGCTCAACTCGACTGTCTCATCAGTCTTGCCAGGGCTTCTTCTTCGTTGGGCGAACCCAGCTGCCGCCCAGAGTTCGTTGACGAAGACAGGAGCGTTGTCGAGTTTGAAGAACTGCGCCACCCTTGTATGCTCAACACGGTGGCTGACTTCATCCCCAACGACGTGAAGCTGGGAGGAGATTCGGCCAAAATCAACCTGCTGACCGGCGCCAACGCTGCGGGAAAATCAACCGTCCTTCGAATGGTGAGAACATTGTGCTTTCTTCAGTAGGGTTTTTTGCTAATTCTGCAACAGTCTTGTGTCGCCGTCATCATGGCTCAGATCGGATGCTACGTTCCTGCCGTGTCTGCCAAACTGACACCTGTTGACCGAATCATGTCACGATTGGGAGCCAATGACAACATTTTCGCTTCTCAGTCCACCTTCTTCGTTGAACTGTCCGAAACGAAGAAGATTCTGTCCGAAGCCACACCGCGGTCTCTGGTTATCTTGGACGAGCTTGGTCGCGGTACCAGCTCCTACGACGGTGTTGCCGTTGCGCAAGCTGTTCTGCACCACGTGGCGACGCATGTGGGCTGCGTGGGCTTCTTTGCAACTCACTACCACTCTCTCGCCACGGAGTTCGAGAGCCACCCCGAGATTGTGCCCCGTCGAATGCAGATCCACGTGGACGAGGAGGAGCGACGCGTGACATTCCTCTACAAGTTGGAGGAGGGTATCGCCGAGGGCAGCTTCGGAATGCATTGCGCAGCCATGTGCGGCATCTCGGACAGGGTCATCGAGCGAGCCGAGGTAGCCGCCAAAGAATGGGAGCACACGAGCAGGCTCAAGGAGAGCCTGGAGAAAGCCAAGTCAGGTTGCTACATCCCTCTGGGTATGCTCAGTGACGTGGCATCCCTGCTGAACGGCGGCGATGAGGTTGGAAAGAGAGGTGTCGAGGTGCTGCTGAAGGCTGTCGAGGCTCTCTAAGCCATCGACGTGTCGGCGTCAAAGTGTTTGTGAAGGCGGCTCGCGGCTTGGGATGTTTGCTTGCTACTATGATAATGTGGGAAGGTCCTGGCGCATGGAGTATTTGCAATTTTAGAGGGGAACACGTTCAGTGTTGTCCATGTATAGATAAAAGGCGTGTGTTGCTGGTATATGGATGGGCATATTGGCCCTCGACAGAGATGCGTGCTTTTAATTGCCAATTAAGTCAACATGACTCCCATTTCTCTCACTGCATTGAACATACTGCATGCATCTCGTGACGCTCCTGTGCATCATATCCAGGTGAGGAGCTTGTTCCATCACTCTTTGCCATTCGCAGTCCGGCAAGACGAAGAGACGAAAGACATGAGCATCAACGTCGAGGTGTAGAGAGCTGCAACGGGTCTTGGGCGCTCGTATCACGATACAGAAACCTAAGCAGACACGAACCGTCCGGCTCTTCACAGTTCGAAACTATTACGAGGTTGTGATACTGAACTAGGTAAGGACATGAGAATCCAGGACAGCTGTTCAGTTGGTAGTTGCTTACTTCTCAAGAGAGTCCACGCCCACGGCCGTAAAAGTCGTAAGCAATATATGAAACGCATATTAAAGCTGTTTAGCCGTCCGCCACCCCGGAAGCTGAGAAGACTTGAACCTGCCAGAATAAGCTCCGCGGTGTATGTCGTGTAATCACGAGCTGAAAGGTGCGCATTGCTGGTCGCACCCGACAGGAATCCTTCACGGCAAGTGCCACCTTGCCTGCCAACCGGGACGGGCTACCCTCCGGAGCGCATATGTTCGTTGCAGCGACAGTGAGAGGTCTTCTGCGAGAACTACCTTAAATAGCCGGCGGCGATGTACAAAGCACGCGGTTCATCCGGTCCGGGTGTGGTACACGACAGCGTTCTGTGCGTCCGAGGCGTAGGTGCGAAGCTGTCTATTCACTGATCGAGACTGCCCAGTTCCTGAATTCATTACGCAACTGGGACCGGGACTATTGACGCACCACAACGGGCTGGTTGTCGGTGAACTCGGTGAGACGGGAGACTGAGGACGAGGAGGAACTGGGGATCTGGGACTGACACTCTGAGTCGCTCTCACACAACTGGTACTCATCTGCCTGAGCAATTGCAATGTGACATGTTACATGGAAATTTCGCATACGCCGTGCTCTATAGCCGTGTCTGGGGAGAATCGCATGTCTTTCTCAATGTATTTCGACCAGGAACGTTTACCCAAAGCAGAAATGGGCGTGTTCTCAGGCTTGTAATTTCGCGACAGTTTTTGGTTGAGGATACGAGGTCTAGACTTTTTTGTCCCTTGAAAAAAGGAGGAGGACCCCTAGTAAGCACGCAGGCACGTAAGCGAGGACCTGCATGGCCTATGGTGAGGGATGAATGTGATTGTCTCATCATCCTGAATGTGGATTTCATGTCTGCTTTTTCATCAAGAGATATTGCTGCATCTGGCGCCACGCGGGACGAGAGCTGCACGCACATTCCGGGCGTCCTTGGGTAGCCAAAAAGTTCCTCGCGATCACCGAGACGCAAGTGGACAAAAGAGCACGCGTCTTGAGCTTGGGTTGAAGGAAGATGGGCAGAATTATCTTCCAGTTAAGATGAACGCCGAGAGAAGATCGGCACTCTATGATAAGCAGGCATCCATCATCCTCTACTGTCACGTCTCAAGACCTTGAGAGCAAGGAAAGCGTGGTGTACTTACAGGGGAGAGAAAGGTTGCCACAGACCTGGCACACCTGTAGTACTGCGTACTTCGTACACCATCGCGGGTGGGCTCTGCGACGTGGGTTTGTCTTTCCTCACAAGATTCACCCTTATTCTCTCCCCCGCGCGAGGGACGGCATGGCATTTGAGGCTGTCTGGGCGCCGAGACAGCCTTTCGTCCGACGGATGTGATGGATCGAGGATGAGGGTGTCGATGCAAGATGACAATGGTAGATGGATTGCTTGACCTTGTCTAGGGAGCAACCCGATGTGCGTGCCCGATCGTGGATAGCTTCCTCCCCGCTTGGGGCAAAGTCTGGGGTATCCCCTCGCACTAATTGGAGGCGAGAGCCAACGGCAGACGGCTCGATTGGTATTCGTACACAGTCCATCACTGTCGGTCTTGTGAAAACGAGTCAGGCTTTCCTGGCACTAGTAGGCCAGAGCAGGAGCGAACTTGATATACGCATGCTCGAGGCCAACCTCCAATCTCCCGGCGAGCGATGAAATTTGAAAGCCAGGCGAGCCGGTCTTGTGTCGTTGAACTCGCCATTTGATGTTGCTCAAGATTGCTCGCACGGGGCATAGCCAGCAACACGAGGAGGTCGACCTTCGATCTTGGTTCGCGGAGGAGTGAAATCAATGCCGTAATGATGTGCGTGGACGGAGGATTGGTCCCAATTCAGCCTGGTCTACTTGAATGGTGAGAGATGGTAGAACCAATTCAAGGGCTGCCGGGTTCAAGACCGGGGCGGTCTCGAAAGAAACGATAGGGTTGGTTCTATCCGTAGAGGCGCCATAAAGGAGATTTGGAAGAAAGAGGGCGGGGGCTGCGGCGTGAGCATTTGGATTCCGGGGGAACAAGACGTTGTGTGTAGCCAAGAAGCGCCAAGAACACCCTCATGTCGTTGAGTTTGGAGAGTTGTCGTTGGCTTGCAGGATTCGGTGTGGAAGTCTGGAAGGCTTTCTCGCCTAAAAAGGGGGCCTCCCCCATGTGCATGTCCATGTCCAATGCTCCCCCTCCCTCACGAGGCCCCCCCTGGTCGGGACCCGACGCGTCCCTGGGGACATGGTTGTCGTATGCATATCCATGGTTGAGGTTCGGATAATCCTAGGGTTGGCTGCAGAATGAAGGCAGATAGGCCATCCGTCAGCGTCGCATTCATCTCTGTGTTTCGTCAGCAACCAACGGGCCGGCAAGATCCTGAGGACGTCGTCCACCAATACCGTTCGTCTGGGTCTGCCGTGTTTGGGTGTGGAAGCGAGGTATTCGAAATGCTGCATCTTGATGCAGGTCAGCGAGGAGGTGAGGCGGTTGAGATGGAGTAAGATACTTTACTGTAGGTATGTGCCCAACAGCAGAAGCGCGTTAAAATGCAGGAGGGCAGGACAGGTGTCTTCCTCCGGTTGCTTATGATTGAGATCAGATATCAGATCTGTACTAGAGACGACTTTTCTTCCAGTTCCAGCTCATGAGGATAGAACGTCCAGCGCGCACCGGTCGCGACTGCCAATCGCCAACGATAATCTGAAGTGGTGAGAAAGTGTCCCACGGTGGTCGGCCCTAATCTCAGTTTCTGCTCTTCTCACTGGACGAACCGGTCCCACTGCAAATGTGGTCATATGGATCCAGCAACGCGCGAGCAACCTTGCACAAGCCACTCAGAGCTCTGGGAATTCGCAGTCAGCGCTTCTCAGCAAATCACAGACAGCGCGCGGGTCAGTGCCTCGACCCAACTGGTCCCTCAACCCCAACTACCCTGCCTAAACTTAAACCTAATCTGGCGGGGCAGCACACGTCGCTATCAAATCATGGGGTAAGTACCTACGTATCTTCCCGTTTAGTGTGTGCACGAATATCTTTCTTGCCTTCCATGACTGGAGATTCTCGTAAGTGACGCTCTACTTTTTTATTTTATTTTATTATTATTTTTCATAGATGGCGGCCGCTAGGGCCGAAGGATCAGCCATTTGCGGGAGCGCTGGCTAACGTTTAACCTTGAATAACGTTTGCTTATCCCGTATCTGTGCCTTGACGGCCGATGTCTCTCCTCGTGTCAGCCACGTTCTTGCTGGATCTAAGCGTCCATTTGATCGTCTGTTCGCTTCGTCCGTGTTGCATTTTTGTTTTGTTCTTTTTGCTTTTTCAATGCTGATCAGTTAGCTCAACTGATTACTTCTGGGAAAGGGATTCAGTCCAGCTTCGTACCCCGTATGGATACGCCCACAAAGAAGCGACGGCCCCTCTCCCATCTTTTCCAGGCCCGGCTCGCAGCTCCTCCAGTCTTTCCCCTCAACACTGGCCTGGAACAGGGACCTCTGAAGCTTCCAGGAGCGGGCGCACCCCGTGTCTTGTCAAAACATGTGCCTGCTTTGCCTGCACTGGAGTCAGCGGGGAACCGTGGCGGAGCAAGCTAGTGCGTGCCAAGCTGTCGGAAACTCGGTCTTCGTGCCTCTTTAGGTTCGCTTCGTCCGGGCCCCTGCCAGCCAAGACTACGAGTACACGACAACACCAACAACCACAACCACAACCACACCCACAACACGACATCTTCCATGGCTTTCTGAAGTTTTGAGCCTTCTGTGTCCAACACTCCCTCCCTCCTGAAGCGCGGGTTCGCAGCTCGACTAGCCTCCCCGAGAGGCCCGACCGTTTCTGGTATCAGTACGGATATCTTCACAGTCTCTCTTGACCCTTGATCCAATGGCCCTCCTCCATGCCTTCTCCCATTCCAACCCAGCCTGGCATGGCGTGGCGTATCACATTCCTCCCGTCTTGACTGCATTCGCCAGCTTCAATCCTCGTGGCGCCTTCCTCCCTCCCTCCCTCCCTCCCTCCTCCTCGCCCCAAGCTTCCCCTTCTACCGTCCATCTCTCTGCCGTCCTGCGCCCCAATCTCTTGTCGATGCTCTCTGAAGCCTGAAAAGCTTGCTCATTGAGGAAATTTTTCCATTCGACCGGCACTAATTCTCTCTAGTCCTCCCGTGCACGTGGCCGCCGGCTTTGCCAAGACCTGGGCAGCATGCCTTCATCACCAAGGAATCCCTCCCGCTGTCTGTGTGACTCTTGGTGCTTTTGTGGCTTGGGTATCCGTTGGTGACAAGAGGCAACATCTTTCACCTCTCGGTGGAAAGGCACATGGTATCATGACGACCATTCTCTTGGCTGCCGCATGCCGTTGCTCTGCCGTGTGATGGCTTGAGATTCGGATACCAAGCCCATGTCGTCACACTCATGGCGAGCGCCATCTAGATTATTGGGAATATCACCACTGGAGAAACCGCGCGCACTCGGTCAAGTGCCAACACCATCTTGGCTTGCGGAGCGGAGGCCTCGGCCGCTCGCTCCTTTCTGTGACACGGTGCAGGTCCGTATTGCTTGGGTGCCAACTGTCTTGCAGTCAATATTTCGGACTATCTGCTGTCTCAACCAGCCCTGCGGATTGCGACATCTTGATAGCAGTATCTGAGCCGCCTGGGAGGAACTCGCAGACCAACGTTACTTTACGGCTTAGCCAGCCGCATTCCGTGGCTGCTTGAGCTCTTCCGTCGCGTCCTGCATCCCTGCCATGGAATAATTGGGTGCAGATACAGTGCCTCAGACACGGAATCGCCCAAGCAGGAGCATTCCGATGCAGTGACACCTATCCGTACTATTCTCACGCTGACGAGGTAGTACGCCGGATGTGGGGCTTGACATGAGTTCTTGGACGAGGCGGTCATCAGTGAGCTGGGCATACTGCATAGTGAATCCCCAACGGCCAAGCAGGTTCAGCAGGCGCAGTGAACATCAGGTGCCCGTAATTTGGGAGCTCATTTCATGACGAGAAGCAGAGAGATGGTCGATATCCACTCACCCGAACTGCAGGCGTGGTTGGGGTTGGGGAACCCCAGCTCGGCCTCCTTGGCAGCTGCGTTTTCACGGGGTAAGCAGTGGGAGCCAGGCGGAAGAAGAGATTGGCATGCGGGGGAAAGATTGGATGCGGAGGTGCAAAGGACACAAGGGCCCAGAGTTTGTTTGAGAAGCTGGGATGGCAGCGACAGGGACCTTGGTGGTGGTGGTGATGGAATGAGCAAGTGAAGGAGTAAATGGTGAGGAACATGGGACAGGTGGCGACGATGCGATGCGATGCGATGCAGCCGTTGGCTTACTGTGGTTAAGGTAGCGTGATTGCGTGACCCATGGCCGTTGCTAATTACTCCAGGACTGCAGAGAGCTCTATATCAAGCCTGGCGCGAAGAGGCAGACGCAGATGCGGTGAGAACAAGCGTGGAGGGAGGATCGCACAGCTGAAGTGTTATTTTGGTGAAAAGAGCGGTCGTGTCCCACGATGATTCCTCAGATATCCAAGACGCATCTATGATTATCTCAAATGCCCACCACCATTCCATAAGCTGCCAGCTGCACATCTGCGGTAAGGCCAGGTCAGGTCAAGGTAGGGATACATGGACTTGACGGTGCAACCGTCTCAGCTACACTAGGGCGAGATGAGCATAGAGCGCGGGTGGAATGCGGCGTCGGGGAACCTATGACTGGCCCGGACTCGGCTGGCCATGAGCCAAAACGGGATAAGCTGACAGGATCCGAATCCTCAAGAGCGGTAGGGTGGTAGTTCTGTGGCTTCTAGTCTCGGAGGTTGATGTAGCGTTGAGTGCATGTACAAAGGCACTCTACTCTGTACGTGCGTCTCAGTCTCAGTCCCTAGTCCCCAGTCCCATGCAGAGTATTCGTAGGTACAGAGTAGAAGCCATACAGACCCCGGTCTGCCTGCTCGTCGAGTCGGACTCGGGGGACAGCCCTTCGGCTTCCTCGCCCGGCGAGACACCCGGACCTTTTTGGTCAATTGTTGTTATTTGTTTTTTCGTTCGATTCACACCATGAATTTTACGCAGATTGCCAAGAATTTAGGCAAGATGGACAGATGGATGCTACCAGGCTCAGTGATAGGTTCCAGGGCTCATGGATTCATTCACCTTAAGGTACCTTAAGGCGCAGGAAAATAACCTACCAGGTATTCTACTCAAACCTGCTCCTGCCCTTGCAATCATTTAAAGAGGGCAGCTTCGTCCGGGGCCGCCCTCGACTTGATCCCAGAGCTCCCTTCTTGCTCCTTCTTCTTTTTCTCACGCTCGGTTTCTGACGCTCTTGCACCTGCACTTGCCTTCGCATCTGCGCTTGCCTTGCGGCCGATCCAATTCTCTCCTTCTTTTCCCTGAGAAAGGAGTGAACGATAATTCAGCCGGCTTCAATAATACCCGTCATCTCGGACAACAGCACCGGCGCCTCTCAAAAATATCAACGCCCTCGTCTCACCTTACCGGTGTGTACGCCTTGCGAGCCCAGAACCTCGGGTCAGCTGGAGAATCGCGGATAGTCGCATCAGCCCTGCTCAGCTGTGTTTTCGTCCCTGCCGTCTCGATTGGCTTCCGAATCTCATCTCTCACTCATTTCCGAGACACTCATCGGCTTTTTGTGTGCGACCTGTCTCGACCCTCGTCCAAGCACTTACATCGAATCCTTCCGGCACCGACCTTGCCGATATTTCATCACCTTGCGACCCGGCTTTCTCAACCGTCGTGTTGGCTGAATACCTTCAACCCCGAAAACAACGCGTTTCTGAACATCATTCATCATGTCGACATCTTCCGAAAAGGACGTCAAGACCCAGGGCGCCGTCGACCCCTCCATTGAGGTCGAGTACGCGAGCGACCCTGAGAGAAACGGTTTTGACCAGGCTGCTACCAAGAAACTCCTGCGAAAGATCGATTGGGCTCTCATCCCTTTCCTCGCTCTGCTCTACCTGTTGTCCTTCTTGGACCGCACAAACATCGGCAATGCTCGTCTCGCCGGTCTTGAGACCGATCTCGGCATGAAGGGACTTGACTACAACGTCGCGTTGTCAGTTTTCTTCCCCTGGTATGTCGCCGCCGAGATTCCCTCCAATTTGGCCATGAAGCGCTTCCGCCCATCCATCTGGATTCCCTCCATCATGATCGCCTGGGGTATTTGCTGCACTCTGATGGGTCTCGTTCACAACTACGCTGGACTTTTGGCTGCTCGTATGGCTCTCGGTCTTGCCGAGGGTGGTCTCTTCCCCGGAATCACCTACTAGTGAGTACTTGTCCTCCCTCATCATCATTTCGCTGTTACGCATTCTAACCCACCGATTGTCAGCATCACCATGTGGTACCGTCGTCACGAGTGCGGTCTGCGAATGGCCATCTTTTTCTCGGCTGCCACCGCTGCCGGCGCTTTCGGTGGCCTCCTTGCCCGAGGTATCGTTGAGATGGATGACGTTGGTAACAGACCTGGCTGGGCCTGGATTTTCATCCTCGAGGGTATCATCACCCTTGCTGTTGGTAAGTACCTAAAACGTACTCGCTCACTTGTACTCTCATACTGACACTCACGTCCTCCAGCCATCGCAGCATTCTTCATCATGAACGATTATCCCGCCACCGCCAAGTTCCTCACAACTGTCGAGAAGGAAGAGGTCACCCGCCGTCTCGAGGCCGATCGCTCCGCTCTCGCCGATGAGTTCAGCATGGTTTACTTCTGGGATGCCCTGAAGGATTGGAAGATCTGGGTTCACATGGTGAGTCAATCTAGCGGCTAGGATTCCCCGGAAGTGCGTTCTAATGTGCGGCAGTTCATCACCATTGGCATCTACACCCCCCTCTACTCTTACTCTCTCTTCCTCCCGACTATTGTTCAGGGCTTGGGCTACACCAACAACACCGCCCAGCTGATGACTGTGCCTCCTTACGTCGTTGCATGTGTCTGCTGCATCAGCGGAGGCTGGTTGGCTGATCGCCAACGCCAGAGAGGCATCTACATGATCTTCTTCTGTGCTGTAGGGTAAGTAAACCCAGTGCTCAGAGTCACCCCAACGTCGTCTTACTGATGGCTCCAGAATCGCCGGCTTCATCATGCTTCTTTCTTCGCAAAGCAACGGCGTCAAGTATGCTGGCTGCTTCTTCGCTGCCTCCGGTATTTACCCCAACGTCCCCCAGGGTGTCGCCTGGAACGGCAACAACATCGGAGGCTCCGTCAAGCGAGGTGTTGGTATTGCCATGCACGTCGGTAAGTTTTTGGTCTCACTCTCATTCCTCTACTCCCAGATACTAACATACTTAGGTTTCGGTAACCTTGGTGGTGCCATCGCCGGCTTCCTGTACCAGGCCAAGGACAAGCCCCATTACTACCCGGGCCACGGCACTCTCGTTTCGACCATGACCATGTCCATGATTCTGTCCACCGGCATGACTATCTACCTCCGCCGCGAGAACGCCCGCCGCGACCGCGAGTACAAGGACCCGAGCCAGTACACGGCCGAGGAAAAGGCTGCTGAGCGCCACAAGGGCGACAACGCCACCTTCTTCCGCTACACTGTCTAGGGGGGCTTATGTTTATAACGATTTGATGCGAGCTGCTTTGCGTTCGGCGGAATTGCCATCTCCTCATGAGGACGGACAGGGGATTTAAAAAGGCAGGTACATGCTACGGCGCAAACTATAAGAGCCACGAAGGATAGCAAGGGAAGACTGGATATATTCAGCGGCTCCATAGAATTGCATCACAGAAATAGAGGACAATCCATGCCGAATCTTTCACGCATACTCCGTGTTCACTTTGCTTATCCTACTGAGTTCCACCAGAGGGCTTATCACGAGACAAGGCTCGACGTGAAAACTGCTCTGCAAGTTTCATGGTAAACAGTGATACTTCGGCAAGGCGACGTTCTCATCACATCGGGACGCCTCCGGATCATCCAGTATGGCGACCAAGTCCCAAAAGACGCCAAGAGTCTGTCACTTGACACCGGCGCCAAGCATGTCCAAGCCACGATTTTCACCAGACTAATGATTTCCGGATGACAGTCCGCCATTTCAGAGTGCGGCCCCGTTTCTAGTCGTTTCTGATGGCGCCGTCTGTGAGTTAAGCTTGTTTCTTGGCGCCCAACATCCGTTCTCCCGAAACGTGGGGTAAAAACGTGGGGAAGCAGGTTGGGGTAGCTCTGATGCAGGCACCGCCTGGATACGGTAGTCTGGGGCAGTGGAGGGTCTGGAGAAAGGGTTTGTTCCGTGAACCTGGACAAAGACGCTGACGGCTTTCACAAGCGCATGCATATCTGCCTCCATGATTCGATCCTGATGCTGCCGGCCATGTGTGGAACGCAGTGGATCTTGCAGTGGTTCATTGGAACAGCCCGGGCAGATCCAGCTCTTTAGTGGGGGTGGGAATGGCGGTTCCTTGTCTCCGGCTGGGGGTGGAGGGAAGCATCAACGCAGGGGATCCGATTCGGGGTTCGTCAGGTCTTAAGATGACACGAGGTTGGATGGCCCCGGGGCCAGGGACTCGGGATTAAGTGAGAATGTCGCATCTCCGCGGTGCTGTCAAAGTCACATGTATGACCTCATTTTCTCATCCGGCTGATCACCTGTTCTGCTTGCGGTCTGGAATTATGTCCATTCTTTTCCATTTAGTAAAGATAGAGTACACTGCCACTTATCTGGCGGGATTGCCGTGGACGAACGATAGATTCGTTCCGCGGTTCTTTCAGATATAAAACACAAAACTCCATGTCCAGCCTGCCCCTCTCGCATTCCGCTACCGCGATGGGTATCTCAGATTATAACATCGTCCTATCACTTCTCGTACATTACCTAGCGAAGCCCGTTTCCTTCTCACCGGTGTTGCCGGAAACCAGTCCACTCTCGTTGTGCTGAACGTCCGCCTTGTGTTGCCCATCATAGTGGTCGTGGTGATCGTCAACCTCGTATAGGGCAGGGAAAGGCGGCACATCCCGGCGGAATAAGTACTTGTTCATATACCAAGGCGCCTTGGACATGTAATACTTGGCATGATCGCGGTTGCGGACCGAAAACACGCTGTCGAGCTCCTCGAGCGTCAAGTTCTTCGTCTCGGGGAGGAAGAAGTAGGCGACGACAAAGCCGAATATGTTCCAGCAGGCGTACCACATAAAGGCGCCGGTCGGGGTGAAGGCATTGGACATGGATGGCCACGAGAAGCTGATGATGAAGTTGAAGCCCCACGTCACGGCCGTGGCGCTGCTCATGCCAATGTCGCGGATGTGCAGAGGGAACGCCTCGGCGCAGTACGTGAAGGGTACAGGGCCGGCTCCGGGAGAGTAGACGGCCGCGAAGATGTAGATACCTGTCGCGATGCAGGCGAGTCTCGCAGTACTGCCCTCGGGGATGTAGAAGCTGAAGGCAGTGAAGATCAGAGACAGCGACATTAGAGGGAACGTAACCAGCAAAAGCTATTCAAGGGTTAGTTGCAAGGTTGGCGATTCCTTGGTTTTGGGGGCAGACTCACGTTTCGGCGACCGAATGTGTCAATGGTGTAGAACGCTGGAAGTGCGAACAGCCAGTTGATAAGTCCCATTCCCATGCTTGTGAGCAGGGCCTCAGATCTCGAGAACCCTCCTCCTTCGAAAATGGCCGTGCTGTAGTACATGCTGTGTGACAGTTAGCTTATTTGTCTCTGTCTTCTGATCATGGTCGTAACAGTTGTTGAGGTGCACCGGATCCAGCGGTCCGCGACATTCGGCACCGTCGCCCCACTGGATATCGGCGGCGGCGACAGTGGGCCCCGGTGTCCGGCCCATAATTGAATCGGACTTGCTGAAAATGGCTGGGAATACTTACACGACATTGATTCCGCAGAACTACTCATCTGTTAGATTAACCGTGATTTTCAATCTTGGCCGTGAACGTACCTGCTGCATGAACATGACAAAATACGAGAATGTAGCAGCGCGTCTGTTCCTGCGGACGGTAAAGAAATCCTTCCAGTTTCTACCGCTCCGAGCTTGGGTCTCAACCTCGAGAAGCTTGTGCGCATAGTACATGTCCCTGGCTGCCTGGATTGTATGCTTGCGGAGTCGTCGAACCGAGCGGAAGGCCTTGTCGTACTTGCCCTTTTCCATGTACCAACGTGGGCTCTCTGGACAAAAGTAGACCTGAGAATATGTGATGAGACGGTGAGGTTTTGTGAAATATCTCGACAGGGCTTACCTGACACATGACGATCAATGGTGGAACCGAGGTGCTGGCCAGCATCCAACGCCATTGTGTGTTTTCGCCGAGGAAATCAACATTGCGGAAGGCGACAGATACGATCAGACCCAAGGCAATTCCGAATGCTTTCATTTGTTAACCATGAGTATCTTCTGCCTCAGGAATAGACTTGCCTGTCCACATCTGCCACATCATAGTCAAGGCGCCGCGGATGGTCTTGGGCGTGCTTTCGGCGCTGTACACGGGCGTGGTGCTACTCTTGGCGCCCACAGCTAGACCCAAGCCGAGACGAGCAATGAAGAGGTTATACCAGCTGAGGCTTGCATTAGGCGGGGTTCAATTCTACCTGATGAAGAGAGACTTACGAGTCGGCGGCAGCCATCCAGAAGCCCGTCACAACGGAGAAGAAACATGAGACGAAGATAGTACCACGCCGGCCAAACCATTTGTTGAGGTACGGGCTTGTCCAACATCCGAAAAGCGCACTGCACAAGTATGGAGCTAAAGCCAACTGTCAGTAAATCCCCTCATACCGGCCAGACGCATTGCATACCGCCGTTGATCAAGCCTTGCATCAAGGGATCTTCGATATTGAAAGTTTCGTAATAGTATTCCTGAGCCGCGTCAGTCCATCGGCCCCAAACTCGATTTCTTCCAGTCTGGCTACCCCAAGCCCTGTGTTTTGCACATACCTGAGCGCCATTGACGGCTGTTTGGTCCATGCCCTGGACAATGGCCGAGCCGGCACATAGAGAGCAGAGGAAGTAAAGCATGAATGGCTGTTCCCATCGATGCTTGATCTCCCTTCGAAGCACCTCCTTTTCTTCCTCGGAGAGTAGCGTGACATTTTCGAAGCCGTCGGGTCGGTTACTGGCTCGAGCTACTAAGGCGCCTTTGCGGAAGTCTTCCTTGTACTCGTTCAAGCCGAACTTTTCCGTAAAGCTGTCGACGTCTTTGATGAGCTCGTCGTGACTCAACCCAACGAGCGGGTTGCGTAGGAGGGCAGCGGTGGAAGCACGCGCCGCCTTGTCCAGATTGGCGTCGCTGGCGGATGTGCGAGTGCCCGTATGGAGCTCCTCCGATGGGGGAGACTCCGTGTCTACCTTTGGAGAAGGCATTGCGAGATGTCAGATGACAAAACCAAGCAGCGTTGAATCAAGCCCGCAAGTATGGTGGATCAATTCTGGGGAAGAAGCAGCAATCCTTGGGAAAGCAGAAAAGAGGAGAGTACGGGGAAATGGGGAAAGAAAGGCAATCGGTGATGTTTATAGTTATCAAACCCCACGGGCACGACCTTCTCGGCGTCAACAAGACCTTTCATGTGGATCCCGGGGCTCCAAGCTTGAGGGGTCTTCTCGATTCATGATGGCATACATTGCTGCGCACCAATACCTGTACACAACGAAGATGGAGGAGTGGAACATCCAAGACCGCACAACCTAAAGGACGGCATCAGAGTCGCAACCAGGCTTCGTTTGCAGGGCCATCTGACCGCCTCTGGATCGAATGTACGCAATTTTCCTGTCCAAGCCAAGCAACATTTAGTGGAGAATGGTGTTGCGAGCCTGACAAACTACGGCCTCGAAGGCGTAGTACCGTGTAAGCGGTCGCGGAGGCCGACCACAGCCGTGGGATCTCATGGCGGTGGGCCTCTCAGACGTGCAGAGAGCGGCAGTCGAGGGACTGGAGCAACCCACATGCGATGCTGCACTTGCATACGGAGTTCCATCATGCTGCCTGCCATCAAGATGTCAAATGACGTGGTTCAGCCTTTGCGTTGCTTCCAAACGGTCAGTCTTGTACCCCCTTGTTGCCAGTGCAATGCAATGCTGCTCGCGGTCTACCAGATGCAAAGCCGCCCCTCCGGCGAAGGCAACACAGTTGGAGATTCATAGGACACATCCATGTCGCGAGCCTTGCCGTACGACTTGGGCCGATGAAGCCACTGCGGCAACGAAGGACAATACCGGCAGGTAGCCGTCAGCCGTGCGGGCGATTGGACGTCAATAATGGACTTTTTGTCGGCCAGCCTCCCAAGCCGGAGACCAACAAGATGTTGGTGGTAGCCGGATGATGATCAGCGGCGCCGCCAAGCTGCCCTCGTGCTCGGCGGCGGGGCCTCCGACTGTAAGGCCGCGTTGTGCGGACTTCCAAGAGGTTGAAAATCGGCAGACCCCCTGAACTTGGTCTCGGCTCGCGGCGCGGCACTCGTCACACCCACGAGAGGAGCGCTCTCGAGACCAAAATACCTCGTCGTACCGGCCTATTGATGCACCACATCTCTTCCGTTTCCTCAGATAATTCACGAAATTTTCAGCCGCTTGGCAGAATATGACTTCATACCAAGCCTTTATCAAGTCTGGGCCTTGATCCTTCCGGTCGTTGTGAGGCACCTTGAATCCTTGCCGAAGAGCCATCAACGATCGCTCCCGTCCGCATGTGGACGAACTGCTTTCCGTTCTCCTTGCCACTGCTCGGATTTCTGGTCATTTCACCAAAGCTTTTGCTGTGCATTCATTGAGCGCCCGTCAATGGGCATCTGGGAGGCAGTGGCAACAATTCCTCTGCCGTCATCATCGATTGCAATCGCAGGAAATAATGTAACGACTGAAGAGGAAGGCAAACACGTGACAATGAGCTGGCGCGCGTTGCCTTCGGGTTCCCCGTTGTGGCTCTCCGCGCTGATCGGGCCAGTATTTCATTCTGCCTTCCTTTTATTCGTTTGCGTCTAGACGACCACTGTGCGTCTGACACCAATTGTAGTAGCCACAAACCACGACAAGACGCTACCCCCACACCAAGAACACCAAGACAAGACCAGAGTCTTCGTCGTCTCGTGTTCTATGGCGTGGGGTTTGTCCGTATATCGAAACAGCAGTGCACGGGAATCGACCAAGTATCCCGAGTGCGTTCCCGAATTTTGACTCCGTTTGAGCTTTGAAGTCGGGCCGGCGCATGATTCCAGGAATGTCCAACTCCTTGCGCAGGCAGGCGTATTATCGTGCTTAGAGTTGTTGAAATCCGTCTGGTGTCTCCACGTTGGTGCGATACTCATCCACAGCTCCCGGTCGGATATTGCCCCCAAAGGAGTGCCTGAGATACATTATCGAAGAGATAGAGCGGAGTGGAGGAATGAAAGCAGGACGATAAACATATATGTATAACCTAACCAGCTGAGGAAAGCAGAGGTGGAAGCATTCAGCCGGCTTGCGCTTGCCGCGCTTGAGGGATTTGTTCAAGTTAAACGGGCGATTTGAAAACGGTATGGCGTACCTTAGCGGTCGGGGGGACATGTGTCTAAGCACTGTAGGCATCAAACCAAGGTATATGCTGCTTAGCCCATTTTAACCTCAATCACCTTACGCCTCAATATCTCTATATCCAAACACTTCCTTCACCATCTTTCAGCTCCAGCGGTGGCTGAATCAACAGCATGCCAGTGGCCAAACTGTCCCTTTCATCTCGTTTTCAGCTGCTCAATATTATCACAATGCGACGTCTCGGTCTCATCTCTCGACACGTCAAGTCCGCTCAGTCACCATGGCCGAAGCATCGAAACCACCGCCGAAGAGGCGGATGAGAGTACAGAAGTCATGCACAGAATGCCAAAGAAGGAAGCAAAAGGTGAGTGATCGACGTCCCATGTGCTCCGTACGAGCCGTTCGGTTCTTCTAGAAGTGTCCCGGCTCGGCCCGGACTCCGAATCTACCTGAATCGACGCTGAGCACAAGGGTTGCAGTGCATACTCCGGCGGCCAGACGACCCCTGCGTGAACTGCTCGAGGCGCTTCCCTCCGGTGGAGTGTACCATCACGCAGGTCGAGTCGATCCCGAAGTTGGCCTATGAGGATCAAGTCCTCACGTTTGAGCTGCCTTCCTTCTCTGTGGGGTCTGGCAAAGGACCCGACTTACCATTCTTGAATCACGACTCGAGTGATACGCTTGTGTCCTCTTCTCCATCGGCGCCTGTATTATCAACTTCACGGTCAAAGTCGCAGAGCAAATCGGTAGCGAAGCGGTCTAGCAGTTCAGATGGATCATGGCCAGATTCGAGAAGATCCTCGAACGGCCAGCAAGATGGGCAAAAGGCCCTAGTCACCGCGAAGACTCGGTCCAACCTCTTCCTCGATGGCCACGGCGACCCATCGGCGTTGTCCCACAACATCATTGCGTCCGTCGGCGGCTTGCTCACGGAAGTCACCACCCTTAACGGAATGCCACTGCCTCAGGGGCCCAGAACCACGGAACTGCTTCATTTCTGTGAGTTTGTGAGCTGCCCACCACATTGTCGAGCCCAAGTTGACAGGCCGGCACAGATATTCGAGTCGTCGCTCCTAATATGGTGTCAATTGACGGTGAGAGCCAGCCTCCAGTCTTTCTCGCCGAGGTCCTGCCCTGGATGCTCCAGTCTCCTTTGTTTCCCAACATTGGGATCCTCATGTCTTCAATGACTCAGTCGCTCGAGCAAGGGCTGGAGGTCACCAAGAACCCAGAGTCGCTCGCGATCAAAGCTCGAGTCTTGTCAATAATCGCCGAATACATGGCACGACCTTTCGACGCGATCGCTGTCGAAATGGTCCGCACCGTTGTGAATCTGGTGGTCATGGAGGTGAGAAACTTTGCCAAAGTTGTGCCCCACGAATTCGTGTCTTGACCAAGGTTTTCAGTGGTTTTGGGGTGCCGATGAAAGCATGTTCGCGCACATGAGAGGCATCAAAAGAATGATCGGGCTGCGAAATGGCATGAGGGGCTTGAAGGACATCGTTGGCGAGTCCATCATGATTCTGTAAGATTGTCTCAAGACGGGCGGGCGGCACAGCCTACTTACGCAGTATCCAGGACCGATTATGAGATTGCGTGCTGCTTCGAGACGGATCTCTATTGGCAGGAGAACGACCCAGTCCGAGATGAGGAAATACCAATCCCAACAGCGTGGCCCGACCGGTACGATAGTCCACTGTTGGGGTCGTCGACGAGCTTTGAAAGCATCGCGGAAAAGTTTGGAATGTGTGTGGAAACGGCAAGAATCCTCGACGACGTGCGTTTCCTCACGATGTCTGTCACTTCGGTGGCGACAATGCCGACGGGTGCTCCGAAGATCCGAAGCACTGCGTCGTGGCTGTACGATAAGCTACGAGGCATGCCAGGTCTGCGGCCCACAGCGACCAGCTCAGAGGCGGACTGGATGCGTGAGACGATCAGGCTCGCGGCTCTGATCTACAGCTGGGCGGTGAAGTCTCTCCGCCAAATTTCAGAGTTTGACGATCAGGAGGTGCTCGAGGACGCGTACACGGCAATGAGAAGGGTGAGGCTCGTGACCTGGAAGAAGATGCCGGGGGTTTTCTTGTGGATCATGTTGGTGGCGGCACCCAACGCGGGACCGGACGCCAAGGGCAGATTTGTCCGGAGGAAAATGGCCGTGACCGGGCTCTCGATCGGGTTTGAGGACTTCGTGCTCGGGATATCGTATCTGAAATCATTCTGGACCGTCCAGCAGTGGATCGCCAAGGAGGGCGATGCAGGAGTGCAGCGGCTTGAGGACAAGTGGTCGAAGCTGGAACTGGAGCAGCAACTGAGAAGGGAAACGGAGCCGGAGCCCAACAGAACGGAACGATGTCGGTCAGGCTCTAGAGTTGGTAAGAGAGTTGGGTAGTGTGTCTGGTTCGTGTTTGGCGGTTACATTGCGTGTTCGAAAGGAGTCATGCGTCCAGTCAAACTCACGATCGCATCAGGGTCTGCGTCTGACTGACCTTCAGAACTTTGCAATTCGGTGGCGCAGAAGGAAGCATGTTTGATGAGCTGGTCGTCGACATGGAGAAAGGGAGAAAGGGATGAGCTTCTCGGATTGCCTAAAGGGGTAAGCCGTGGGGGTTTTCCATGCAGGGCCGCACCTCCAGACTCCGCATTTCCCCCAGACTCATCTCCACCTCGAGGATACATCGCCATGCTCACGGATGGTCTGGACTGGGGTGGAGTGTGGACTCAAAGTCTGGACTTGTTGTCCTGCAGTAATCCGCACCAACTTTGCAGTAGATGGGCAGGGTTCTCGGTCCCTGCGCGGTGGTCACGAAGACAGAAAAAAAAAGGGTTCACCAGACCTTTGACCCATCTGGCATGTATCGTAGCATCCCAATAGTGTTTGGCCCGGATCCCAGCAGAACCCCATCAGAACTCTGGACTCCCTGGATCAGGATTAGAAACGTCCATCCTACCCTTGAACCTGGGATAGCTATTCCGATGTTCCGACGAATCAAGTCTCCGTTTCATGTCAATCGTGAACCAACGGATCCCGCCGGTGTGTTCCGCCGCGGGGCCAAGGGTCCTTGTGGGCGCCTCCAACTGCTGTTTCTGAGCTTTTTTGGTGTTGTGTTTCTGCTGCATCTTCTGGCCTGTCGTTGCTGCCGCTGCCGTCGCTGCTTCTTGCTGCCCAGGAAGAGGGGGGGATCTCGAATCTGATATCTGACAACCACCGCATGACCTGTCTCGGAAACTGGTTGACCCTCTCTTTCAGCGTTCTAGCCTCCCCACGAGAGCTCATGCGGCCGCGACGTGCAGATGGGACGGACGATGAGGCCGGGGTTGGGACCTGGCACCGAGCCCGCGACCATGGCCTTGCCACCTTTCAGCGAGATTTGACGATGCTAAGAAAAGAAAACAGCTGAGGCGATGGCGGGAGCTCCGGCCAAACACGAGGCTCGTCGCGTCGCCAGTCCGAATCCGGACCGGGAATATTGTTCCAATGACCAACAGCGCCCCCTGGATTCACACCAATCCTATCCTGACATCCCGGCGCTAGCTGTTGGGCTTGGTGCAATCGTTACCGTGCCGTGACATTCCACGCTACTCGGGGATATGCTGATCTGAGAATTGGCAAATGGACTGAAGAGAGGCGTGAGGGGGGAATCCTGTGCGGGGAAGGGAGGGAAGACCCAAAGAGGCATGCCAAACCAAAGTCCACGATACCCGTCGACGAAAGGTATAAAGGATGAGAGGAAGAATCACTTCCCAGGTCCTGAGAATTGTGTAGCTCATCATCACTCAGACAACAAACATTCCTCATCACCCGAATAAACTTCCGCCTTCCCGTCATTGACGCCGCCCTCCTCCTCCCACCTTACAATCTTAGACTTTGCGACCAACCTACAACTCCAACTCCAACTCCAACGAGACCTACTCCGGACACACGATACCTTCAAGGAACCTCCGTTGGCCAGTTTCCTCCTGCTTCTTGACCTCCAAGGACCTCGTATAACTTCTCTCAATTGTCCAATTTGACAACATGTCTCGGTATGTAACCCGTCTGAGGCCGTTCTATCGGGGCGCCCAACTCAACATGGCGCAACATTCCAGAGTCGCAACCCAGCCCATCCCCGTGGCCACTCTCCCGGTCGAGCCCGCCGCCGCCCAACCTCTCGCCGTCGAGCCTCTCGTTGCCCAGGCCAGAAGCTTCCACAACAGCTCCAAGCAAGCCCTCAACATCACATCGCCGACCGTCACCCGCGTCCTCCCCGAGTTCAGCCTCCAAGGAAAGGTTATCGTCGTCTCCGGCGGCGCACGAGGCCTCGGCCTCACCCAAGCTGAGGCTCTCCTTGAAGCCGGCGCAATCGGTAAGAAGCGCGTGTAATGACTTTCACTAGAAGACAATGCTAAAGAAGTGCTCAGTTCACGCCATTGACCGTCTTCCCACGCCCGACCCCGACTTTGAAAAGGTCGCTCTCAGGGCCAACGTTGAGCTCGGCACTTCTCTCACATACCACCAAGTCGACGTTCGTGATGTCGCCCAACTCAACGATATAGTCGAGGGTATCGTCAACCAGCACGGCCGCCTGGACGGCCTCATCGCCGCCGCCGGAATCCAGCAGGAGACTCCCGCTCTCGAGTACAAGGCCGAGGATGTCGACAAGATGATGGGCGTCAACGTCACGGGCTGCTTCATGACTGCGCAAGCCGTCGCCCGTCAGATGATTCGCCTCAACACCCCCGGTAGCATTGTGATGATCGCCAGTATGAGCGGCACAGTCGCCAACAGGGGATTGATCTGCCCGTAAGTCCCTCTTGGCCCGCAAATGCGAATAATCGCCTCGAGTTGGTGACACAAAACTGACGTAACACGCGCGCAGTGCATACAACGCCTCCAAGGCGGCGGTTCTGCAACTCGGACGCAACCTCGCGGCTGAGTGGGGTGTGCACAACATCCGCGTGAACACCATCTCGCCCGGCTATATCGTCACCGCCATGGTCGAGGCTCTCTTCGAGACATACCCCGAGCGCAAGACGGAGTGGCCTCAGCACAACATGCTCAACAGACTGAGCAGGCCAGACGAGTACCGCGGTGCTGCCGTCTTCCTGCTGAGCGACGCCAGCAGCTTCATGACGGGCAGCGACCTGCGCATCGACGGTGGGCACTGCGCTTGGTAATGGAGGCGAAGACGAGAAAAGTCCATTTATGATTTGATTAGTTGTCATGGTCAGACAGCAGGAGTCTAGCGTTATCTTTATGGTTTTTATACATATATAATACAGTCTTACATCTTCAATTGCTGCTTTCCCTCAAGCAACACTCGTGATGCCACGTCGGCCGAGCTTTTCAAGGAGGCCCTTCCTCAAGTTGAGTCGTTCCTCGATTTCAGCCGGCGAGTGACCCTTGTCACGCATCAAGTGCATTTGCACAATGGTGTTGAGGTCCAGTAATGATCGTCCCTCGCTGCCGCTCCTGCCGAGGCCTTCGAACTCTTCGTCAGCCCGCTGTTGCAGGATTCGCCTCGCTTCCAAGGTGCCCAGTGTTGTATTCCTTGAAGTAGGAGGGAAAAGAGGGCCCGGGTTTTGGATTGCTGCAGCGTGAGGAGCTGGGCCTGCTGTCGACGTGGGGGAGAAGGTCGGGTTCGGCTGGACGACTCCCATCTGGCGCAAGCGAGAAGAGAACTCATCCGTCACGTTATTGGGGTCGACAGAGTCTTGGACGATATCTGATGGGAATCACGCGGTTAGAGTCGGCTTCCAAGAAAATCAAGGACAGGAACTCACCATCCGTCTTGGCCGTGGCAGCCTTCGCCGTCGGCCGGCCTGGTGCGGGATGCGAGTGAGGGGGCGCCGGAGCTGCTCTTCCGGCTGATGTTGGCACCGCGCCGGGCGTGCGGGTCGGAAACTTGCGCGCTGTGCCCTGTGCAGCTTTTGACGAGGATGCACCCATTGTGCTGTGGTAATGTGGTTTTCAATTGATCGTCGGCTTCAAGGCGAATCGAATCGGTGATTTGTAAAGTGGAAATCGAGCATCGCAACCGGGCGGAAGCTCGAGATTCTTTTCCAGCGGGCAAGCTTATCGATAAGCGCAATTACAGGGGCAACCGCTGCCATGACGCACCCATGATCACTGCACCCTTTTGGGGTAGAAGGCGGGGACCCTGTCAGACGATTTTCTGTTGATTTCATTGGCTCAATCAAGCCTGACATTCACACCACCAGATTTCCGTATCTGGCATCCCGAATATCTCGACATGAGTTTCTCATATTCCATCCTCTTTCCATTCGTCAGTTGCATAGAGTTGTTCAATATGTACAGCGAAGAAACTATTTGCGGCATCTCTCACCATCTTCTCACTTTCTCTTTTTCAACCACCACAACAGACATCACTCAACCGATAGTGGCAACGTGGTTCGTCACCAAGCAGGTCCATTCATCCGTGTTGTAGTAGATCGTGTTGCCGTCGTTGTGCGTCTGTCCGGTGCTGATAGTATCGCCAAGTTGCCAGAAAGCATCAGCAGCCATGCCGGGGGTCGTCGCCGACGTGATCTGCCAAGGCCTCTCCAGCTCGCAATGGCGCTCAGGGGTGCCATCTGAGGTTGTTTGTGTTAGCCTCGATTTACGTCGGCGGAAGGCTTCATCAACTCACATTCTTCAAAGAAGCAAGGCTTGTTTGCGGCGGCGCAGTGGACCGCATGGTCGGTCACCCACTTGTTGCCGGCGTCGTACCCAACGCCCCCTATTCCATGTCAGCCACTCCCCTCTAACTTCTAACTGCTTGTCCCTAAGGTGAGAGCTCGTCTCTGCACTTACATGAGTTGGGATAGAAATGGAAGGTCGCAAAGTCCAGCGTCGTGATGTTCAGCAGACCCACCCAGTCGGTTCCCTCCGAGTATCCATACGGGTATGAAGTGGCACCGGGCAGTCCCATGCCCTCGTCGCCCAGAGTCACCATGTGGTTGGCGTCGAGGCTCTTGACGTACTGGGACGTGGACTTGGCCCAGTTGTAGATGACATCGGTGCTGCAGCCCTGGCAGCGGGGCTCGTTCGCAAGCTCCCACGCGAGAATCGCCGTGCTCGACTTGTACCGGCTGACCACGGCTTCGATGTACTTCTTGTACTGCGTCTGGGCAGCCGTGTTGGTGTACCATCCGTTGTGGTCACCACCGAAAGCGTTCGTGTACGCCTTGATACCACCGTAGTCGTCCCAGTTGTTGACGAAGTTGATGACGAGCTTGATGCCGTTCTTCTCGGCCGATGCGACAACCGTGTCGAGGCGCTGCAGACCGTTCACGCCCGTGTTGATGGTCGAGCCCGACGCCGTCAGGTGCTGGAACCAGTTGTCGTACTGCGGGACCGTGTTAACGTCGTTGAAGCCCCAGATGCGAAGAATCTTGAGGCCGGACGTCTTCAGGTGTCCCATGACGAGGTCGACGTCCGCCGCGTTGGTCAAGAAGCTGCACCAGTAGCAGTTGGTGCCGGCGTAGTACTTGGTCACGCCGTCGATGTTGAACTTCGTGCCGCTGGCCTTGGGGAAGCCGGTGCTCGGGGGCGTTGAACCTGACGAGGTTCTGGTGGAGGATGTCCGGACCGAGGACGAGCTCGCTGACCGTGTAGACGTCGCGAGCGTGCTGGTCCGGGAAGTCGTCGCAGCGGTGCCTAGGAGAATGAGCATCCGATCCTTCTTTCAGAGGTTCGGGAGAGCATACCAGGAACACACTGAGAATACCACTGGTTCGCATACTGGCAAACTGAGCCCGAAACACAGGTTGTCGGCCCAGTCCAGCCCTGTCCACCGCATTGTCCATAGAGAGCCTGCTGCGCCGAAGCAGCGGCAACAAGAGAGAGCACTCCAGCAACGACCGACTTCATCTTTGGAAGTGTTGATGTTGTTCCTGTAGACAACTAAACAAAAGCTTTCCAATTCAAGCCGGTGGGATATTGCCATTTTGTAGTCTTACTGACATCACGCAGAGTTGTCGATTCGCCTGATCGGAAGCATCAGCCGCAGCGGATCGTCGTCTTCCATCCCCTCGAAAGCTTCTTGCCATGTGACTCTGAAATTCCATCAATGGCGTTCCCAGACTCACAGGCACCGCGGACGTCTGGACCCTGGGATCGACTGACAGGTCACTCCGCTTTGAAGGAAACACATCCGAAAAGACGGGGCGCAGACGGAGTTGCACCACACGAACGATCAACACCACCCCGGGTCTGGAGGCGGATGAGCCGACGTACCTGCACAACCAGGTTACTATGTTGCATTGCATATGCGGGCCGCCAAATACTTTCGCTTTGCCATCCTCTGGAACGATTGAACCAAGATCTTTGCTTTCGCTTCCATCGATCTACCCATGATGAGGGCGTCTTGTTTCACCACTGTGGTTGAGGAAGAAGACCCGACCAGGCATTTACCATCCACCTAAATCTGTTCTTCACGATCCTTTCACTTGAGTGCCGGCAAAAGATTTAGGTGGCAAACACATCCGGCAAATTCAATACTAACGCCGGTCGCCTTTCCTGGAGTTTACTTCCGCCTCCGTATGGGGCTGCAACAGCGGATGGTGGTCCCCCGAATTCCGCTTTTGACATCGCGCCCTCAACCCCGCGAACGGAAAACAACAACGCCAAGCTTCCCGTCTCTGCGTTGTTTGAACTATCAACGCCCAAAAGCGAGAACAAGGTCATAGTTATCGCAGCTCGGGTCCTGACATTCCTGGGTTGGTTCCAGTTAGACGTTCTCAACCTGCGGGGTGTAATCAATGTAAGTGGCGGGCTCACCTGAGCAGCTTTGATCCGCACACCAACCAATACAAGTAACCAAAACAACTCTGAACGACTCGGCATGCGATGAGATTCGGGGAAGCCAGGTTGCACAGCATGTTGACAGGAATTGTGGCTCTTGATATGGCTTGAGTCCGGACTATCTTGCCGAAGTGGTGCGAGGCGGCCAACGCATCACTAACACGAACAAATTGGATGTTTAGCGGCTCAGTCGGCACCCTAATGGAAGTATAGACATCTTTCAACGGCATAATTTCCCTTTTGCCACAAGCTTGGTGTTCGAGCTTTTCAGCAATGAATTTCTCACACTCCCAGAACATATAGGGAAGTACTGGTAAGAGTGCGACCGCAGCAGCCACGACATCGGCAATAAGGAAGTGGCATGGCGGATAGTTGCGACCACAACTATGAACGCGATGCTTGTTTGCGCAGCTTCAGTATCTATCTACCTTATGGTGTTTATCTGTTCGTTACTCTTAACGTCTGTCGCTGAGGATTCTACTCGGCTCTTCTCTGTTGTTATCGGCACGATCCCGTCAGTACTGATATATAACGCCATCACTTTCGGACCGGGATAATGTTTTACTGCATGAGCAGCCCACCAGAGACCAGTGATCGCCACAGTTCCCACCAGTATAACGCTGCTCCAGTTCATAGTTGCTTCCGTGGTTGGCAGGACGAAAGCTGGTGAACGGATCAGTATTAACCAAGTGTACGCCGTCGGGGGCTGGCTCAAACTTACGGAAGCAGAAGAGAATGTCAAACAAGACTATGAACAACACTGCAAGTCCGTTGACAACGTAACCTGCTTTTCCCAAGTGAAACGGCCCACGCGGAAAGTACTTCCGCCCCGACAACATGTTGGCCGCGAAGGGGATGGCGTAAGACACGGAAGTCAAGATGATGAAGGACCCAGCCAACGCAAGGAAAGCAGTTGGACTCCCGAGAGGAATGGCCCCCAAGCCAGTCGCGAGCATACCTGGGATCAGTTGTCAGCCCTGATACGAGGTCACGCAATGTTCAACATGACTTACAGACAAACAAGGTTGACCAGACGGGACAACTGAGTCGCTCATTGACCTTACCAAACAGGTTTGACAACGGCACAGCATTGTCTCTTGCCAACGCCCAGTAAGTCCTGGAAGTCTAGATTTAGTTAGCAATTGACACGACTCAGACTCAAGTGACAAAAACTATAGACGGGCGGTTGCGCTTACAGTCAATGTCAAGCCCACGCAACATGTCAGTGTACAGCCAAGCATGATGAACAGCAGCCCAAAGGCCGCGCCAGGATTTCGGACTCCAGTAGCGCTAGTTGTTGCTTGCACATAGATATTTGTCAACGGAAAGGTATTAAACCCGCCTTGAAGGGCGGCAATGTCCGTGATGGCATACGACAAAGCAACAGCAAAACAGAAGGCATCTGCGCCAAGTCAACTAGATGTTTTTCCTCAACAACACAGCGTAACCTACAGATGAACCCCAAGATGATTTGCAGCATGATGGCTTTGGGGAGATCCTTCCTGGGATGCGGCATTTCTTCAGCCATGTGCGTGACCGAGTCAGGGGTACCGATCGTGAAGGCGCCGTTCAGAACACCCAGAAGGAAGGCGACCCCTCCCGACCAGCCGGTTGCGTTATTCTCATCGAAGGAGGCCCAGACAAAGTGGTTGCTTGCGTGGCGTTTGGGCATTGCAGCAAGGATGATGATGGTGACGATGCCGCCGACAATGACGAAGAACGTTCCTACATGCTGCGTATGCGGGGCGTACTTATTCGCAAAGACGATGAAGGCCGCCGAGCCCCAGAGTATGATGAGATATCCGCTGAAGACGTGAGAGGGCTGGCTGACGTAGGTGTCCAGGTTGTACACCGCATACATACTCACGGCAATGTTGCTCGATATCTGCAGAAGCGACGCCAGAGAGAACATCCACCCGTAGAAGTTGATCCCTGGATTGTAGTCGTGAGCACAATGCTGCTGAGCTATGAGACGGAAATTGAACTTACACCCGGTGAAGAATCCGAGGAACCTGCCCCATCGCGGGCCGCCGGCGATGGTCGCCCAATGATAAACACCGCCAGCTGTAGGGACCGACGAGGCAAGCTTGAAGCCGGGTCAGCTCAACATCTCGACGTTCCGTGCGGGGAAGCATCTATTGTGACGCATACCTCTGACAGGCTCAATCCGATGAGGGAGTAGTAGAAGACGGCGACAAGAAGACCATAAATGATGCCAGGGGGTCCACCGTTAACTAGATAAACCCCGGTTCGTTATGAGCTTCAGCGGGGGAGGGTCGACCTGGACTCACGGATTGAAACCGAAATGGACGATCCCAGAGCGACCCAGGCATTGTCTACCGTGAGGGCCATGCTGGCGAGTCCGAGGAGTCCGTATTGACGCGACAACTGATCTCGGTGGCCAGCTGCGTTGAGAGGTACGCCATCTTGAACCACGACAATTGTTTCATCGTCGGAAGTAGTAAACTCCAAGACGCTGTTCCGTGTCGTCGATTCCCTCATCCTAAACTTTCACAACACTACGTTAACAAATTTGAGCGAAAAACTGCGCCGAATTTTCACTTGTGCTGTTAAGCAATGTCGGTGAGCTTATGTAGGGGTTGACCGCTCCCAACCCACTACGAGCAGACAGATGCGGAAGCTGACAACGTGCAAGGCCTACAGAGTAGTAGCTTGCTCGGGGTTTTAGTGTGAAGATGCAGAACAGACGGAATATTTATCAGTCAAAGCAGATATTGTATCTTCTCAAGCCGTGCCACCGTGGCATCGAATAGCGCCATATCTTGAGACGAAGACATAGGACAACTCATCCCTAGACTCGCTTAGACGCTGCGTGACGGCGTCGTGCTAAGACTGGCGTTACATGGCTTTCGGCCTGTCAGCCTGCAGGAAGCGTCTGCGACCTGTGTCTCAGATTACTGCTTGTAAAACCGAACCTTGGATAAGCAGAGCGTGGATCAATTGCACACAGGCATTGGAGAGATATTAGCAATACCCAGGACGTACTGTATAGTAATCCAGTTGTAAGGTTCGCTTCATATTCGCGCCACCTCGGAACGTGATGCGGGCTGTCCAATATATGCCGACGTGATCAACCACTCACAAGAGCAGGATAGCCAGTGTTTGGCAAAAATGAGGCGCAACGTTTGGCTGTGCGTACGGGAAAGCCCAAGCCGCCATCGCCATCTAAGCTTTTCGGCCGTCTTATAGCGTGGCGGCTACGTAGTATTCCCCCAACCTCAGTGCTTAGCAAAACGGAACGGAACGAAACGAAACGAAACGAAACGTCTTGGCCTATGATGGTCACGGAAGGGAAATGGTGCCGAGATGGGATAAATACTCGGTGTTCGAAGAAGAAGAAACACCAGCCGAGGCGCACTGTGACCTGTGCCTGGAGCGACGGCCACACTCGTGGGATGTGCTCACCAACGTCTTTCTGGCCAGATACTTCAGCATAACGGCGGATAGAGTTCACGATGGAACTCGTATCGCCGTGTTTGCCATCAAATTCTGGTCTTCTGGGCTACCATTCTCAAGATTACTGAAGTAGAATTGGCGCGATGTGACCCTGACACCTGCAGGAAAGACGACATATCCTGTGTCCGTCCGTAGGAGGCCTGAACCAAAGGTCTTGGTCATGTTTACCTGAGAATTACCCTAATACCTATATTGAACGATGCTAAGGGGGAAGTCTGGGATGGAGACATCTCATCGGGGCATGAGCTGCTTGGGTGCTTGAGAATAGAGTTGGAGATGCTGACCATACGTTGAGTGGCCACGATGATTGGGACTGACGATAGTGATCATTACCCAAATTGGCTTCTGGGTGGACTATAAGCTTTATGGATCAGGATACTTGGGATAACATCTGTTGAAAAGAGATGGTCTGATGCAAGTGAGGTCCTCTGAGAGATGGGCGAGTCAAGTTGAGTTGACGGGAATGAAATTGAAGAGACCAGAGGAATAAGGTAGCCGCTAAGCCGGGTCGAGTCCACCCCCCGTGGGCCACTGTCATTAACCCCGCAGTTCGGCAGCTTAGCGCCGATAGCGCCGTGGAACTGCCTCGGATTTCCATTTCGCGCTTAGTGCCGTCCCTTTTCGGTCGCTTTAGCGAAACCTCCCAAAGCTTAACCGACCTGATAGCGCTAAATAATGGGGAGGTGGCCCTGAGCACAGCATTTCAATCATTTGAACCAGTGTTCCATCAACATCGAACCTCACATCTCCCTGTCAAACACCGAGGCATATGCAGGTCATTCAAAGCCAATTCGTGGAATACCGATCATTGTTCCTAAAAATGAGTAAGTTATGCTAGTTGATCCCTGGGTCCACGTTGCGGCACCAGTCGGCAGTCGTGCCATTTGGCAGTCATTGGCTGCGAAACCGCCATTAAACCTTCACAGTCGTCTTACCCCTGAATGGCTTCTAATACCGGCAACTTTCTGATTGCACACTGAAATCTCGCGACCCCAAGCGCGAAGCCGCGAACTCTTATCCAGGAGCAAAGTCTCCTGCAGCGACCTGGTCATGCTGTCGACTGGTGACGCATCATTGGCAATCTTACTTCGACGGATCTATTCCCGTCCACCCTAATACCCCAAGAGATCTTACTCTAAATGGCAATTTTTCTTCTTCTGAGTTCTTGTCTACCTCTCATCAATTCCTCCAACTTACGCTGGAACTTTTCTAATGGCCAAGTGGCTCGAATGACAAGCATTCCCTTGCCCGAACGGCCGCCGACTAGCACGTCCTCGTCCAATACCCAACTTACTTGTACGAACTCAGAACATCTCGCCACTGCCGATATCGACACCCAGAAGCTGTCATTCTGAAATCCCTGACATGATCTTAACTGCCGGTTCTATCATCCGGGGATGATGTTGGTAACCCCCCTGCTGTTCCAGGTCACCCTTTCCATTCATAATCCCATCCTGAGTATTACCTTGCCATGCCTTCGCGAATCCTCCAGGAATGATTATCATGTCAGGAACATGTTAGGGACCCGTGGGAACCGTGGGAACAACGCTAGTTTCCTTGCAGGTATCAGCCATACGTCAAGTCAGGGACTAATTAGCCCAGTGGGGCGCGACGGTTGTGATCATCATGGATGCAGAGCATACATAGACAAGCGAAACCCGAAGGTGTATGGCATGAAGCTCCAGCGATATCGATTTCTGTCTTCGTCTTCATTTCTTTCGTTGCTGCTGAGTGTTTCCATGCTCTCCAGTCAAGAACGCACTGCTTGCTGGACAATGGGAGGCATTCGGCCTGTTCTAGCAGGCTTCGTCTTCGCCTTCATTGCCCTACTTGCCCATGTAGAAGCTGTTCCCAAACTCCCGAAAACCTGTCCTCCGTTTACAAAAGGGAGCTTCACAATCCAGCAGTACCAACTTTACCCCGAGAATGCGGACTGGGACGTTGACAACTGCATCGTTTACTTTGGGTGAGTCCATCATCAAACTCATTCACGTCAGCATACTGATACGTCTAGATCACTGTTTAACGCAAGCGTTGTCGTTTATGACCCCTACAAAGATTCGGTTATCGACATCATCACGTTTGACGGCATAACCCACAACCCAAACCTGCACATAGGCGGCGTGCAAGTTGACGCCCATACAAAACTCGTTTCTGTTGTCGTCGATGCCGCTGCTGCCTTCAACACCGCCGGCAAGGATATATCTGGCGATAACTTCATCATCAAGTACGACCCCGCCAAAAAACAAGTCGTCTGGAACAAGAACATCACTGCTGTGACGAAAGGTCAGTACGGCGGCTTTCAGGATATCGAGCACGACCCCAGCGGAAACACCTACGTCGTGGGATCATTTCCGGGGACCATCATGAAGGTCGACCCCAAAGGCTCTGCCGTGGAATCGTGGTTTCTCCCGCAGCAGTTGGTCCCTTCGAAAATGGGCTTCTCCGGACTTGCGGCAACGGGGAACATTCTCTTGTCGAACAACAACGAGGACCGCCAGATCTACCGATTCAACATGAAGGATGACAAGGGCAAGCCGGAGCTCGTCCCCCGTACCCCAGAAGCGAGCCTCGATGCAACTGACGCCATATACTTGCCGCCAAGATACGAGGGGAAAGTGCTGCTTGTCGCCGAGAACCTAAGGGGCATCACCGTTCTTCGATCGAAGGACGGTTTATGGAAGTCGGCCGAGCATTTGGGCACGGTTCCTAACAACTCTTCGGCGGCACAAGGCGGCATCGTCACGGCTCCCGTTCAAATTGGCGATAACCTCTTCATGGTAGAGGAGTTCTTCACGGATACACCCGTGCCTGGCTCGACTGCTGGAAACAGAACAAATTTTCCTTTGGTTGATATCACATCCGACGTTGAGAAGCTACTGCGCAAGTCGAACGGTTGTTAAGGACTAGACAGCCGCTGCATAGCGAGAGCGTGACAGCATGAGAGCAAAACTACAGTTCTTCTTATGACATTTAGGTACATCTATTACATACCCAACTATCTGCAATATTGGCCGGATGTCCTCATGACGAATGCTATACGGGCAGCCAAAGCATTCAGCAAGAAGACTCTTCCAATAGATATCGTGTACAACCAACAAGACGGTGAACGACCTTTGGGTGTCATCAACCCGCTGAAGCCAAATCAGGCCGCCGAAACCCCTCCAACTCTCAGCCAATCCTGCGCAATTTCCAACTTCAAGGATCGAGGCCCTTGTGATGGTCGAATAAATTCGAGAAGGCGTCGCCGCCGTCACGAATGCCTAGGACCTCATTTGCTTCCCTGATCCAAGCCGGGGTCGGTCCAAACTGCGCTTCAGGCAGCTGAGCTTCTTCGAACTGGGCTCCGGGTCTGGGTGACTTCACTCCCATCCAGGCGTCCTTGGAACGGAACGTCCATGGGTAGTTATCTTCCTTGGGCTGTATAGGCATCGCCGGATTCTATCCGGTGCCAAACACGCACGCAGCGGTGCGGCCCTCTTTGAAGCCATGGAACTCGCCCTTGTCTCCCCAGATTGGTATTCCACTGTCAAGTGGCGTGACCTCGGGGACATGTTGTCTCGTCCTAGTGTCAACATAACAGAAGCCTCCCTCACCATCGGGTCTCATCAGAGCGATTCTCTTGGGCTCACCAGTGTCCGTGTCCACCAGGCAGAGATACCGGCCGATCCGAAATGGTCCGCGGTGACCGATCTTAGCGAAGCAACGTGCTTCCGCCAATTGAGCGGCACAGTAGGAGTTGTAATCATTGGGCTGGCTCTTCCATGGTTGGATCTGCAGGTATGGCTGCCCCGTATTGTTACTGGGGTTGAAGGGATCAAGAACAGGAACCTCGCGAATGGGGCTGCTGCTCATGATCGCACCCGACTCGTATCGATGAGGAGAATGGCCAATGGTGCCGGTCGAGATCGTGTTCGAAACCGTCCCGGAGGAACAAAACCTGCGTTTGCGGAAGGCAGAGTGAGAGCATGGTGTTGATGGGAGGTCACTAGGCTGCGGGCTTCGGGATCGGACGACACTCGCTCGGTTGTTTCTATCGGTGTCTGAAAGATCAATAAGTTAGGGCATAAATTTTGGACAAATGAGGTGTGTCCTGAAGAGCGGGATAATTGCATACAAAGATAAGCTCGAATATGAGGATGGCCTCCAGATGAGAAAGCGGAAACCATGGGATTCTCCGTCGGTCGGCCAGACGGACTGAATAGCGACACCGTCGCTTGGTCTTGTCAGTCGATGTCATTCCAAGAAAATGCCTAGAAGACTCACGAGAAGACAGCTCCTGGCGCACCTGTGACGTAGGCGCACCATCCATATTCAGCCAAGGAGGGCTGCTGGAAATGGAATCTTCGGATGGAACTGCCGCAGCACTGGGATTACTAGACGACTGAGGTCTTCCATCCGAATCCGAATGATCCAAATCCGAGTGTGCTACCGTGCGAGGAAGATTCATGTTCTTGCGAATCTTGGTGGCCCGATGCATGATGACCTTCTCGGCGTGATGACCCGGAATCGCGAGGCGGCCGCGGACTTGGTTCGCTCGGTCTTGGAGTCGGGGCTCCGCGTGGCGGTCCGGGATCGTAAGTCGCGCCCGAACGACATCGGCACGAGCCCGAATTTCTTCTTCTGCTCCTCTTTTTGGGGCCATTGAACCGACGATATGGTTAGACACCGTCTCTGGCAGGAGGGTCGTTGTCAAATATCCCCTGTAGTCGTAGAGGATGCTGCAATCCCCGCGATCGACCTAGGAAACGAAAGTTGAAAGACAGAACCAAAAAGAGGGTGCTTCGTGGGGTGTTGGGATAGCCGGAAAAATAATCAAATATTTCCAAGCTAAGGATGGGAAGAAGGCCGGCAGGATCTCGGATGTTGAGTGTGCACGAAGGAATATCGAATCGTGTATCTCTATCGAGAGAATTAGCAAAAGATTCTTCGTCTACAGAGAAACACTGGCTGTGTGTTTGGAAGGCACACCGCAGCTGTCTTACCTAGGAAGGTGGCATCCCTTCTGCGGCGCCTTCCTTCTATGGCGTGAACACCTTTCTTTGAACCTCAGCAAACATGATCAGGAAACAACACCCTGCTTGTCTCGTCACAAGTCTTCGTCCATAAGATGAATATCTTTTTCATTCTTCCTCCTTCGCTCTGAGTTCTCGTTCTGTATCGAGATTCAGGCAGTAGTTCCGTCATTATCTACCTCCATACCCAGTTTAGACCACCCAAGATATCCTGCATCCACGACTGAAAGCAGCATAATTATCAGGCTCCAGTCCTGAAACTTCCCCGGTTTCCCACGTGCCCGGAAAAGGGCCTCTGCAGTGTCCGTTAACGCAACTGGATGATGCTGTCCTTGGCCTTACATAGGAGGCATTGAAGGCGGCGGCTTCGAGGTTCCGTTGTTGGGAACGGATGTCCCGTTATTCGGAGGAGAAGGGTTTCCTTTGCCGCCTTTGCCGCCCTCGCCTCCCTTGCCGCCGCCCTCTCCGCCTTTACCACCGCCCTCTCCTCCTCCTCCTCCTCCACCACCACCACCACCGCCGCCGCCGCCTCCACCACCTCCGCCTCCGCCGCCTTCCCGGCAGCCGTCGGCATACAAACTGACCTCAGCACAGTTCGCGCCCTGGTCGCCTTTGCGATAGACGTTGTACTGCTGGTTCTCGGCTTCACACTGGAAGAACCGCGTCTGATCCTTGAACTTGATGCGTCCATCACAGCCAACCTCAAATCCAGATTCAGGCTGCTGGCCGACATCACACTGAAGAGTCATAGTAGGGGCTGGAATATTCGTTAGCTTTCAGTCCCCGTCAGATATAAAAGGAGAAACTTACGGGTCCACCAGCAGCCTCTCTTCTTGCCATCAGTAAGCTCCCCCTTTTCCATTCTCAAAGTCACCGGCTCAAGTCCGATTCTGAGCTGTCCGCTGTCCAGTTGACCAATGGAGCCGGAAACGGAGCCCTTGGCCCGAAGCTTCATCGACTTGCACTCCTTGAGGCCACCGCCCCCCTTTCCTCCGCCTTCGCCTTTGCCGCCGCCCTCACCCTTTCCGCCGCCGCCCTCTCCGCCGCCTCCGTGACCGCCTCCCTTGCAATCATCACCCCCTTTTCCGCCCCCTCCACCGCCGCCGCCGCCGCCAGGAGGAGGCTTAGGCTTGTCACCCTCTCCCGGCTTAGGCTTGTCGCCTCCTTCGCCGGGCTTAGGCTTGTCACCTCCTTCGCCGGGCTTGGGTTTGTCGCCGCCTTCTCCCGGCTTGGGTTTGTCACCACCTTCGCCGGGCTTAGGCTTATCGCCACCTTCTCCCGGCTTGGGCTTGTCGCAGCCCTTGCCCCTCCCATGCTCGTCGCTCTCGATCGACGAGCCATCGCCGTTTCCGCCTCCGGGAGGTCCGCCCGCGGGGCAGTCCTTACCGCGGCCGTGTTCGGCATCCAGGGTACTGTTATCGCTCCTGCCAACGACGGCTAGAGCGAGGGAACTCGTAGCCAAAGAAACGACAGTAAGTATCGAAAGACGCATGATGCTGTCCTTCAAGAAGGTGTCGGGGAATTTATAAACGTATGAGTGTATATATGTGTGGCGGTCCGAGGACTGAAGAGAAGAAGACGGATGACAACGAGCGTCACACGGAAAGGAGCAATCCCACTTCGTCAGGGAAGCGATGTCCTGGGTCAAAGACCAAAGGAGTAAGGTGAAAAAGAAGTCTTCTCTTCTCAACGCAAAAAGCGAATGCTGATGAAGGGCCAGGAAGGTAATTTCCACGATGGATGAGGCCACAACGAGGTCTTTCTCTCTTATTTATGCTTTCTTGAACCCCTCAAAGGGCAGAAAGACGCCATCGGAGGGGGGATATCGCTGCGAACACGAAGCAAAGTGAATTCGTCTGACTAGCCGGTAGAAGCAGAAAAAGTCTGGCCGGAGGAGGGTCCGGCGCGGAAATGCGGGATGGTGAGGGGGATGGGGGGCACGAAGAGTCCGACGACGATGTCAAGATCATGAGAGACGGAGAGTCATTCAGGGGGTGGGCAGCAAAGACCAAGGCACACGACAAGACTCATGGCCGTCAGGAACACCAAGAACACCAGAAAAACATCGGATACGCAGTTCACGTGGGCTCAAAGCCACTTGCCGACCCTCCTGCCCATCAAGAGTGAAAGATCAAGCGAACAACATCAGATGTAAGTCCGATCGAGATGACAACTCGTAGAAAAGGGGGAGGCGATGAACGTAAAATCAACGAACTAATGGACGAACAAAAAACAGTGATTTCCCCGAAGAAGTGGTTCGATTGGGCCAAGAAACAAGAAAGCTTAGATGGCCTCCCAAAAAAACTCTCTTGCTTAGTCCTGGAGGAAGTTTAAACCTTGCCATCGAATCCCCTCCTCGCTTCCCCTCTCAATCGGCCGATGTTTCCGGGGAGGACGCTGCGAGAGCGGGAGGTGAAGCGAACGGCACAGGTCGAAACAAGAAACATGGAGAGGAACCGGAGGGAAACAAACTTTTCATTGTCAAAGTTTTCATCGACGAATCGTGTTTTTCTTTGACTGACTGATGAACGAGGCTCGTCGACCTCTTCTATTCTGAAATATCTTGCTATTCTTGCGAGAAACTGAGTCGCACGCGAGCACGGAGTAACAAAAGTTGTATCATCTCTGTCACGATGTCCTTTTTCCACGGGGTAAGTACGTTGTCCTTTTCGACAAAGTCATGGGTATCATACGGTTAACAAAAATATCAAGCTCGACTCTTCCCGGGATGTGCAGAGCCTCGGAAGAAACACCTGCGGCTGAAAGCCCGTGCTGAGCTCTGGACAGGGAAGCAGGGGGTTCGCGATCTCCGGAAGAGCCGCATTCGGGTCGCGGACTACCGAACGACAGCAGCCTTGGGCTGCATTCAAGTTTTTAAAGTACCGTCCTGACCCTCTGATCTCATACCAGAGGTGCGGCCGTCGCACAATGGTAGGCGCCCAACTTCGGACACGAAGTCCTGAGTCGCCCCGACCAATAATGGTTGCTCTTTTATCCCACCTGGAGTGGGTGATGCTGCCGAAACTTCGGCGGCGCAGCGGGTGAACATCATCTAGCTTTCCCAGCTTCATGTCTTTCTCCTCTTCTTAGCCGTGCTACTCCTGGTGCTCCGGTCCGAAATAGCCCGGACCGAGGTATTGTAGCTCGTCTCCGAGGCCGCGCCGTCACCACTCTCGTCATCGCTCTCAGAGTCGTCATCAGAGATGTCGTCGAGCGGGATCACGTCGTCTGAAGCCTCGCCAGCATCTTCGGACGCCTCGGCCAAGGATTTATCACCCTCAGCGTTATCATCGCCGGAGCCGAAACCCTCAAACTCGTCATCTTCCTCTTCCTCCTCTTCTTCGCTGTCGTCACCAGCAATGGTGGACGGGCCCATGGATGTGTCGGGCATGCTCTCAGCATCGTCTCGCTTCCGCTTCTGCGGCATCTCTCCGAGCCTGCCACCGCGGCCCTCAATGGCCTCATCAGTTTCGGCAGACTCATCAACCGGCGCAGGAGTGAACCAAGGGATCTTTCCGCGCATGAAGTCGTTCAGAACCATCTTGGCAACACCATCCAAATCGGGCTCTCCCTTGCGGAGGAGACGACCGCTCTTTCGGGCGATCATCTCCAAGAACTCCATGTGGTTCTTCCAACCCTTTAGCTCGTAGGTCCTCTCCATATGATGGGTCTTGACCTTGGCGAGCACCGCGGGGATGTACTGTTCCGGGTTCTCGACGTTCTCAACACGGACGACACCGCGAAGGAGCAAGTCCTGAGGGGTGTCGGATTGAGATGGGGGTACGATACCAGGGCAGTCGATGAGGTCTAGAAAAATCTTAGTCTGTGTTGGGGAAGGAAGCTCGACGACGGGTTGACTTACAGATCTTCTTGGTGAGCGTGATATACTGCCACACCTTTGTCTCGCCAGGAATGGGTGCGACGTTTGCAACCTTCTTCTTCCTCAATGTGTTGACAATACTGCTCTTGCCAACGTTGGGGTAGCCGATGAGACCGACGGAGATTTGCTTGCGCTCGCTGTGCAGCTTTGCGTACTGCCTGAGCAACTCGATCAAACTGCCCTTGCCAAAGGGGTTGGTGATGCTAGAGTGCATCGCGAGTGTTGGACGAATCTTGGAAAAGTATCGAACCCAGCGGGCCTGTGTTCAGTTAGTTTCCATACTGAGGAAAAAACAACAACACAGTCATGTATGAAAATTTGTATGCTTCGCTACTAAGAAATACCACCATCGAAAGGCTCGAAAGAGCACTGGCGGACTTCAACTCAATTGAGGCAATTTCATCTCATGATGGGAGATCCAAAACGGACCCCATCAGCTCTGGTCCGAAAACCAGAACAGCGAGACGACCCTTGATATTCCCAGCGTGTAACGGAGAACCTTCCATTGGGGGCACGAGTGTGCGAAAGGATTCCTGACAAAACGACTGGGGTCTGGAGAAAGAGATGTGAAGAAAAAAGAATAAACTTACAGCAACAGTGGTAGGCACCAAGTCAGTCTTGTTTAAGACGAAGATGAGGTGCTTGTGAGGCGCCTCCTCCTTGAGGTACTTCTCAACACTCAAGCAACGAGTTCCCAAGGGATCGCGAGCATCCAGGGCGTGGATGATCACGTCGGAAGAGTCCAGCACACGGTACAACTCGTTCCAGATACGCTTGCTCTGACCCTTGTTGAAGATTGGCTCGATCGACATGGTGACGTGACCCTCGTCCTCGCCGCCAGCGTCTGCTCCCGAGTTTCCACTCAGCAGCTTAGCCTGCTCGAGGCGCTCGTTGTAGGTGTCCAAGCTCTTGTCAGCATCTTCCATCAGGTCCGAGATGGTACCTGCGCCAATCTTGACGCGCTTGCGCTGCGACTTGGGGCCGAAGGTATCGCCGAACGAGGATGTCTCAATCGTCATCTTAGCCTGGTGCTGCTTGACGCCGTTGGCGTTGTTCTCGGTCTCCTTGATCAACGACATGGGCAGCTTGTTGCTCTTGAGCAGGACCTGGTAGGGGTCGTTGGCCTTCTCCGCCATGGCTGAACGGAACGCCGTCAAACTCTCCTGGGAGATGACGCGCGTGTTGTTGAACCACTTGCGGTTGGGCTCAATCCGGGCGTTGGGGATATCACGGCTCTGGAACGAAGCGGCCTTGGTGATCTCGCCGTCGGCGTTGCGCTGGGCCTTGCCATCCTTCAAAATGTTCAATTGGCGCACACGCTTGGCAGTACTGCAAAACCCCTTCGTGTCAGCGATGCGCGCTAAGAATGAAACGGTTCATGCTCATCCCATGGGAGAGCAGAAGAACAAAAAAACTTACCGATAGAAATTTTCGCCCTTAGTCTTGACATTGGCCATGCCATCGCCGGTCTTGCCTTGACGAACCTTTCGGTTCGCCTCCTTCTTTCCGGTTCCCATCTTGACCGCGAACTCGCCCAGTCGTAAACTTGAAGAAAGGAATGGGGTGAGACTGGGCAGGAGTTGAAGTCGGTGAGTTGTAAAGAATGAGAGAAGGAGGTTGGAGCTCGCGCAAAGTAGAAGTCCTTTCTGCGGTGGTGGGGTCCAGGGATTTTTTTAGTGGAGTTGCTGAAATTTTTTGGAGACTTCGGGGCGACCAAGCGCCGCTCCCCCGAACAGCCAATCATAGTCTCAGAAAATACCCCCATAGCTGTGGCATCAAATTCACCCCGGCGTCTGCCATTTTTGACGCAGCTCGCAGCCGACGAGATTCAAACTCGTCACCAAGTTACGCTACAAGTGTGACACACCGGCGTGGCCCTATCAAACCCTGACATTCGAGAATTTCTCAAGTCCATGATCCCAACACCACAGCTTGCATCTCAAGCCCCGACTCGGCCCTGTCTCCCGCGCCGCATCTCCCCTCACAATCGGTGCCATTGATCTGGCAGAAGCCGTCTTGCTCACAATGTCATCAAGATGCGCCTGCGCGCGGTTGACGCGGCTCCCCGTCGCCGCTGGATCTAGCCTCAACCTCACACGACCATTCTCGACTACGAGCGCGAACCTCAAAGTGCCCCCCGAATCCCCAGGCTGGATTCAGGTCCCAGTGCCGCCTCAATCTCAATCCTCCGAACAGAAGCTCCCGGTTGTGAAGGGAACCCTTCCCATCCCTCGAGACCCCTTCCCGCGCAAGGAGGCCGACCGCAAGGTCCAGCCCGAATACCTCGAACAAACGGCTCGCAAGCCCACCAACGAAGCCTCGCAGAAGCCCGCAGCGCCCGGCTCCCGCCTCGACCATCGCCGCCGTATGGCCGAAAACCGTCGCGAGAACCTCGAAACTGCCTTGAAGGGCCTCTACAAGCGCAAGAAAGAGCGCGTGGATGCCACCACCGCCGCCTCGAAGCAGCGCCTCTGGCAGCATCAACAGGCGGCCGTGGCCCCAGAGCGTTCGGACGATCTTATTACCCGCAGCTCGGTTCTCTCTTCCTTGGAGACCTCGACCGCCGTCGAGCTGGACCCCGCACGTTACGAGCGCGCTGCGGAGAGCAAGGCCAGGACCGCAGCCCTCGCCAAGCAGAAGAGTGAAGCAAAACAGGACGCGCTCATGGAAATGTACATCAACGCTGCCAACTTCATCGTCGACGAGCAGGATTTGAACGAGCAGTTGGACCAGCTGTTTTCCGAGGACTTCTGGAAGCGCCAGGGCAGGTCTATGGCTCACATGTCCGACAACGCCTGGGGTGTATGGGGACAGCCCCCAACGGTGCAGTCCATGCTGGACGAGATGTTGCGGAGACAGCAGCGTGCTATCGACTTCCAGCAGAGCGAGCAGGAGAGGACCGTGACGAGGCAGAAGACGATTGCCGAGGAGTTGACGGGCGGCAAGATGGAGTAAAGGGACTTGTTGAAATGGCCCGCTGGTTAGCAGGGAATCGGCTCATCTGGCGCGTTGTTATCAAAATCGTGTATCGACCCTGTGAAACCTCACATCTCTACTTAAGTTGTGGTGGCTCGGATCAGACAGCATCACGTCTACGCGCATCACATTAAACCTGGGTGCCAAGTCACCTGGAGCGCACAAGTCAAACTGTACTACCATAGATTCTTTGTAGCATTATAAAAAGCCACCAATTGAACTTAACATGACATGATACATCCGCCAACGCCTGCGAAGAAAAGTCCCCATATGCACATTGACAAACTATTGCCATTCGAAATATACCTGTTGTATGTGTCTCTGTGGGATCTCTATGAAAACGACCGAAGCCGCCACGATGGTCGTACGACGGTCTTGATGCTTCGTATTCGTACACACGTGTATATCAGAAGTGCATTTCTTACCCCCGCGGGAAGGCAATCACCTCTTCTCGACAAGAAGAATGTGCATGGCAGAGTATGCCAAGACGATGAAGACTACTCCAAAGCATCCTAGGCTGATGACATCGGTCCACAAGGCGTCGTTGTTGAAGCCAAAGGAGCTCAGAATGGCTGCTCCAGGGACCGTGATGTCTAAACCATACTTTTTGTCGACCAGAGTAAGTTGAAGAACTTCATTGACAATAAGCGATTCGAAACCGTAGTGGAAGATTGAAAGGGCTTGAAGCCAGAGAGCGGCCTTGGGGATGGCATTGTGGTTGAGCAGCAAGCCGGCGAAAAGCAAGCTGAAGAGCATGACCAAGCTGCCAATAAGATTGGCAACGCCACCATCCTTACAGATAATGCCAATGAAGAGGCAGATTGCAGCAGCGGCGAAGTTGAAGAGAACCAGGACCAAAATGAACTTGAAAAAGTGGCCAGCATCGGGAACCAGACCCGTCATGGGGTAAATAATGGCACCCATAATAAGGGGCGGAACGATGCGCAGCGGGATGATATCGAAGAGAATTTTGGCGGCGAAATACGTAATGGGATGGTAGTAGCCATTGGCCCTCTCGCGGACAAACAGAAGTCTCTCGGTAGCGAAAACGTTCAGACTCGTCAGAGTGCTGAAACCGAAGAGTGCCAGCAGGAAGAAGAATAGACCAAGACGATTTTGGAAGCCCGGAATGTCGTCGGTCAGACCGTAGAAGAGGTAGCCAGAGAGGACAGCGAGGAGGATGGCGATGGCGTAGTGCGTCAGCATAAGAATAGGGTTCCTGTAAAGGTTCTTCCATGTTCGCTGAGACAAGATGATGAACTGCCGACCGAGACCTACGCGAGCGTAGCCCTTGCCGATGGCACTGATGTTGATGTTCGGGCCCTCTGGGTTGTAACCATTGGCATTTCGACCGTTGGCGCCTTGTGCAGCTGTAATGGATTGCTGGATCTCGTCATGCGTGGATCCCGCAATGTCTGACTCGGCAAAGGAGCGAATCAGCATATCCAGGTCGGTACTGATGTAGGCAGCAGGAGGCAGGTCATGGGGGTCTTCGACGTGGATCGAGGGAACGAAGCCGCCGGGCTGGTTTTGCAACTTGTAAGATCCAACATCCTCGCCACCAGCATCAGAAGAAGCTGCTGTGTCCACTGTGTTCTTGCGACGAGTGAACAGTTCTCGTTCTTGTCGAACCTTGACCGAATCTCGACGCTTGTTTTTGGGTCGCGAAGACGAGGACTCAACGCCGCTGTCCTCGGCAATGCTTCCAGGGATGCTCGCGATTGACTTGACTGCGGTCGTGCTGCTTGGGCCTAGGCTGGCAACTTCGGCGTTGAGAGTGCCATCATCTTCGGAAGTTGTAGAGCCTGCGTGCATGGTAAGATCGACAAGGTAATCGGCAATGTTAAACCCAGGAGGACAAGAATATCCAATGCGGTCAAAGTAGTCTTGACACTGAGAAAAGGGGCCAGAGTAAACAGCCCCTCCACGGGCCAAGAGGACTAGTCTGTCGAAGAGGGCAACAATGTTGGATCGCGGCTGATGGATGGTGAAGACAACGGTGCGCTTGTAGTTCTTTGCCAGCGTGACCAAGCACTCGATGACGTTAAAAGCATTGTAGGCGTCAAGACCACTAGTGGGCTCGTCAAGGAATAGAATCGAGGGACTGGTGACGAGTTCGCAGGCGATACCAACTCTGCGCTTCTCTCCGCCAGAGATGCCTCGTCCCTTGCCCTCCTCCGAGCCGATGAGAGAATCCCGAATGTGGTGGATACCGAGCTGCTTCTCGACTTCGAATACGCGCTGCTCCTTAGCGGCCCGGCCCATGTTGCGAGGTAGACGAAGGAGAGCGCTATTCAAGATGGTTTCGTGTACAGTCAGGGTCGGCAACATGGTGTCCTCTTGATCGACGAAACCAATGACGTTTCTGTAGTCGGTGTCGTTGACCTTTTCGCCGTTGACGAAGAAGTCGCCAGTGACATTGCCTCGCTTGTTCTTCCGAGCCAAAATATCGAGGAACGTCGTTTTGCCGGCTCCGGAAGCACCCATGATGGCTGTAACCTCTCCGGGATGGGCCATACCCTGAATCCCATTCAAGATTCTCTTCCCGTTGAGCTCATAGGCCACATTCTCAAAGTACAAGGAGGCGGGTTTGTGGTCCGTCATGAGCTTCAAGCTCTCGTCGTCCGAATCGTCCAGCGTGATTGCGCCGTACTTGAACTGTCTCCGAGACAAGTACCAGGTGAGGAGGATGACGGCGACGACGAACAGAGAGCAGGCAGCGATGATACTCGCAATAAGTGGCGTGTTGATCTTCTTGACGGGACGTTCATAGCCAGGCACTTCTGTATGGTACAGACACTCGCCGGACCTGCAGCTCAGTTGGATGCTGCTGTCGCCAATCAAGGACAGAATGAGATCGTCCATTGCCGGTTCGGTGAACTTGCAGTTGTTGGTGCCTCCGTTCTTCTGAAGACATTCAAACCCAGCGGGGCCCTTAATCTCCTCGACGAGGAAGTCGCTAATGTCAACGGAACCATTTTCACCGCAAAGCATGCGCTCGGAGATGCAGTTGCAGTCGATTTTGCCGCACTTGTAGCTGGTGCTGTTTTGGCTCTCGTTGATGTCGGCATCGGACGTGCACTCGGTCAAATGGCAGTAGAAGGACTCGCGCTCCTCGACCCAAACTGGGAAGATTAGCAAGACTGGGTCGGAGATCGTGGTCACGGCTGGGACTTACACTGGAAATCGCAGTTGGCCTCCTCCTTCTTACATGTGAAGGTGACCTGGGGGCGCTTGTCTCCCAGGAGGTCGGTAATCTTCTTGTTGGTGACGTCGCAGAGTTGGTAGTTGTGGTTGATGACCTCGCCATTCTGGTAGCAGACGCCACCTTCCTGGGAAGGCATGAGAGCGTCGCAAGCCTTGTTGGAGGTGCAGACATTGCAGTTGATGCCGGTCCAGCCGTCGTCGCACTCACAGAAGTCGCCGGTTCGCCTCGGTCTGTCGGTGTTATCGCCACGGGAAAGAGAGCCGCATACTAGCAGGTGTGTCAGTACTGCGACAGAGCGGTGGGGAGGGTCATCGCATACGTGGTTCAAGGCAGTCGTCACCGCCGAAGCCCTCGGGGCAGTTGCATTTTCCGGTGAAATCGTTGCAGCCGGCGAACTGAGTACACTTGTGGGCAGGAAGCAGACAGTTGAAGCTGCGCGAGGCATGATTAGCTACTGGTCGTCATGGCAAGTTGGCCACAGTCGGCAGGCCGAGCACGGGTTGGGCGACAGCAACAGTAACAGCAACATCAACGGCGCTGGGTTGAAATGCGAACTCACCACGGAGGGCAATCGGCGGGGCGATCGTCAAGCAGCGTCAGCTGGGCTCGCAACATGTCGGCGGTGGTCGAGTAGTTGCGCTGTGCCACCGCGACGGCGGGAAGACATGCCAGGGCCCCGATGAGGAGGCTCCTCAAGGCGGGAGGAGCCATGATGGGCGATGAGATGGAGAAGGACGCCGAATCGATAAGCAGACGAAGGAAGCTTGCTCGAGGTTGTCGACGGGGTCGAGGAGGTTGTCGGGATAAGGGAAAAGAAGGCAGCCAGAAGAGAAGGATCGCAAGATGATGGAACAGCAGAGCGACGGATGGAGGAGAAGCTCTTGGCCGCTCGGGTTGGACGAGGAAGAAGAGCGAGGCAGGGCAAGGTATCCGTAGTCGGTATCCGTACCTTTACCTTGAAGTTGGTGCTTGCGCACTCTCGGATGGCTGGTGAACGAGATTAGACGAGGTACGGGTACCTGGTTGGTCACTGACACCGTACCAAGGCGCCCCAGCAACGACCTGCGCCTGGAGACCTGGAGGGAGGCCTAAAAAAGGTACGTACTGATAGCCTGAGGACCTGAGTGAGCGGAATCGGTGGCGTCACAGTGGACACGTCGGCCCCACAGCGCCTGTCCGCGTCGGAAACACGCACCAGCGTCCCGTGGGGTGGCTGAACACTGGACCTTCACCACGACCCGACTGGACACTGGATGAGCCAGATGCAGATGGACAAATGGACAGTTCCATTGAGGACGAAGGTTCGGGTGCCTGATCTTGGTGCGGTGTTTTCCGGGCAACCGACCGGTTGGCAGGCGCTAAGAATAACACCGGACAGCCCTCTAGGGCGATAAAATGCCACCTACCTTAACCTGTAGCGCGATACGTACTGGTCGATTGCTACAAGGAACACGCCAGGACAAATGTCATGAGCATTACACTCTACGTTCACATCTACACAGGACGGACTCAGCTGCCTGAAGATTGAAACGACACATTGCAATGCGATTTCACATCTAAGCGCGAAACAAAGAACACGTTTACAACAACACCGGTATAGACCATTACGCACCTGTTGATCTGAGCTACCTACCTTACCTTAGTCCGGAGGACACGACGCAGACCGAGGGCCTAGAGGCATCCGTCCAGATAGCCATGTACGGATACGTGCACCAAAGGCCTCAACTCATCTGACAAACAACTTGGCATGTACGCGTTTGACTTGTGACAGACACTGACATCAGATTCCCCAGGCGAAACCAAGAGCTGGGGAGGTGTGGAGTAGCCCAGCAAACAACTCGATCCTCACCGGACCTTACCTTATTCAAGCAAGAGGCAATCATGGCAACACATTGGATCCAACTCAACCACACAAACGTTGCTTCAGCCACGAGTCGTTGATGGCCACCAGAGGACTGGTCTCGTGAGCACCAGCCTAACTTGGGTAAGTTGTCTTGCCTTCAGGCCACAGCCGAGGTTGTCTACAGGTCTGCCTACCTTGCTGCATACATACATGGTTATGGAGTACCTACCTTACCTACTTGCCTCAACCTTGTCAGTCCATCTGGCCTGAAGAAGTCCCTTTCAATTCAGTGCTTACGCTGTTCGGTTTGAGCATCCGCGTCGGCTAAAAAAGCTGGCAAAACTGCACTGGACAATTCCTTCGCTGCAAACCCCGCAGTCAGTCACCGCTGTCCGGAGTATTTCGACCGGCTTGAATGGCAAAGCGGCGCAGCGCGATCCCAAATGGCAAGTTGACAAACGGCAACAGCCTGGTTTTCTTCTTCCGCCAGCCATGTTTGTCATTGAATTGCCTCGGGCGATTATGAGAGCCTCAACTCTCACACAACTCCCCAAGTGTTGTGTCTGACGTACCTAGACTCAACCCTGCAGGTCAGAGCTTCAACATGGAAGTCCGCTTAGTCTGATCTGGCCCCAAGCCGTTGCACCACTGCTGTGCGGTGGCCCGGATCTGAATTACCATCAACATACTTTCTCCAAGGATGCGAACCATCTGTTCGTGTGCCCTTTGGTCCCTCCGGCTGCTCTCCCTAGTCTTGCCGGTCTCCATGCGCCCTGTTGACGGGTCTTTGACATGCATTAGGCTGCGGGAGGGCGCTGTTGTCTAACAAGTCGCCTGCCCGTGCTTTGGCGCGCTGATACGCGATACGTACTCGTCAATAAGAGGTCGAAGCGGCCCTTGGAAGTTACCGCCGTCAACTGTTTGAGATCTCCAAATCCGCCGTCTTTGACTTCTTGGCATTGTATCAATCTACTTTTGCTCACTCCTGTCGCTGACCTCACGCAATTCGCCTGTTGGTAACCTGATTGCTCAACAACTTGTCAAACCCAACTTTCACAATGGTCCGAATTGCGGCGTTCGAGGTGGAGCAATGGATGGACGAGTACGAAACTACACCGGGATGCCTCAACATCGCCGAGACCTGCGCCGCTTCCGTCTCCATCGATGAATTGGTCGGTCTCTCCGAAGACAAGACGGTCCCGGGTCCCGTCGATTTTTCAACCAAGCTGGTTTACGGTCCCATCCGCGGCTCGCCCGCCCTCCGCCGACGAGTCGCCGAGCTCTGCGGCGGTGATGGCTCGGGCGCCCCCAGCGTGCTCGCCGACGAGGACGTTCTCATCACTCAAGGTGCCATTGGCGCAAACTTCTTGCTGCTTTATACCCTCGTCAACCCCGGCGACCATGTCATCTGCGTCTACCCCACGTACCAGCAGCTTTATGGCGTCCCCGAAAGTCTGGGTGCAGATGTCTCACTCTGGAGGTTGAAGAAGGAGAATGGCTTTGTGCCCGATGTGAAAGAGCTCCAAGGTCTCGTCAAGTCCAACACAAAGGCATTCCCGACCGTTCCCGTTTAGTACAACGGTGTCGAACTAACCGTGTTCCAGATGATCATCATCAACAACCCAAACAACCCCACAGGAGCTCCAATCCCCACGGCAGTTCTCCAGGAGATCGTCGCCTTCGCCAAAGCCCGCGGTCTCATTCTCTTCTCGGACGAGGTCTACCGCCCGCTGTTCCATAATTTCTTCGAAGATGACGCCGATGTTCCTCCCCCGGTCACGACCATGGGTTACGACAAGGTAGTCGTCACGGGCTCCATGTCCAAGTCGTATGCGCTGGCGGGCATCCGCATAGGCTGGATCGCATCGAAAGACAAGAAGATCATTGAGGCCATCGCCTCGGCAAGGGACTACACCACCATCAGTGTATCTCAGATCGACGACCAAATCGCTTCCTACGCGCTGTCGAAGTCCGTGTGGAAACCACTGCTGCAGCGCAACGTTGCGATCGCGAACACCAACAAGGCATTGCTAGAGGCCTTCATTGACAAGCACAAGAACGTGTGTTCCTGGGTCAAACCCAAGGCCGGCACGACGGCCTTCGTCCAGTTCTCCCACAACGGCTCGCCCGTCAACGACGTCGAATTCTGCTTAGATGTGCTTAACAAGACCAAGGTGTTTTTCGTTCCTGGAGCAAAGTGCTTTGGTGACGGCAAAGACTTTGCAGGCTACGTCCGTATTGGCTATGTATGCCACACGGAAGTTCTCAAGGAAGCTTTAGAGAAACTTACGACATACGTAGAGAGGAAACTGAAGTAGAAAGCAAAGCATGGTGAACATGAAGAAGAAGAGCAGAATACCTGACCTAGGTACTTCATTTGCAGTGTTCCCATCGTTGAAATACCACCTCCCGTCCCCCCCGCTAAACCGGCCGGCGTAATCCCGCCGCAGCGATTCGTCCGCTTCCGTGAAAAGACCCACTTCTCCACGAAAACACGTGCCGTCGCGGCCGGTGCGATTTCGGGACCCGCAAAAAAAGTTTCGTCCGCCGAGAGAGAGAAAAAAATAGAGGTGCCGTATCAGACCATCCTGTCCTGTCCCCCCCCAATGGGTCCCTACTCCCTTCTCTTGTAATTCCACCTTGTCCATTCTTTCCCTTCTTTTGCTTCCTGTTTAAGCCGCCCATAACCTATTCGTCACGATGAGGGCTCCCAGGGCCGTCAGAGTGCCGAATGGCGGCCTCTTTACAGGCGCAAAGCCAACGAGTAGGGCTTTCAGCTTCGCCGTCAACGTAAAGGCACCCACAGCGACCCAGGCGACACCGTCGTCATGGAAGCTCGCCGCCGAGACCTCCTCCAGACGCGCCTTCTCCACGACCTCCCGCGCCAGGTCCGCCGCCGCCGAGGCCCTCCGCATGGCCCAGGAGAACGCCGCTGCCCTGACCCCCGAGGTCGTCGCCGCCAAGATGAGCCCCGAGGAGGCCCAGCGCCTGTCCCGCGTGCGCAATATCGGTATCGCCGCCCACATCGACTCCGGAAAGACCACCTGCACCGAGCGAGTTCTGTTCTACTCGGGCAAGATCAAGGCCATCCACGAGGTCCGTGGCAAGGACTCCGTCGGCGCCAAGATGGACTCCATGGATCTCGAGAGAGAAAAGGGCATTACCATCCAGTCTGCGGCTACCTTCGCCGACTGGAAAAAGGTCGAAAACGGAAAAGAGGAAACATACCACGTCAACATCATCGATACCCCCGGTCACATTGACTTCACCATCGAGGTCGAGCGCGCCTTGCGCGTTCTCGATGGTGCCGTCATGATTCTCTGCGCAGTCAGCGGTGTCCAGTCCCAGACCATCACCGTCGACCGTCAAATGAAACGCTACAACGTCCCCCGCATCAGCTTCGTGAACAAGATGGACCGCATGGGTGCCAACCCGTGGAAGGCCGTCGAGCAGATCAACAAGAAGCTCAAGATCCCGGCTGCCGCGATCCAGGTCCCCATCGGTGCCGAGAGCGAGTTCCAGGGCGTTATCGACATCATCGAGAAGAAGGCTTACTATTTCGAGGGCCCCCGTGGCACCCAGGTCAAGGTCACCGACACCCTGCCCAACGGCTACGCGGACATTGTCGAGGAGAAGCGCCAGGAGCTCATCGAGAAGCTTGCCGACGTCGACGACGAGATTGCCGAGATCTTCCTCGAAGAGCAGACCCCGACCATTCCCCAGATCAAGGCCGCCATCCGCCGTTCTACCATCGCCCTGAAGTTCTCTCCCGTCATGATGGGTTCCGCCCTCGCCGACAAGGGCATCCAGCCCGTCCTCGACGCCGTCTGCGACTACCTGCCGAACCCCTCCGAGGTCGAGAACAAGGCTCTGGACAAGAAGCGCAACGAGACCGAGGTCAAGCTGGTTCCCTACAACTCGCTCCCCTTCGTCGGTCTCGCCTTCAAGCTCGAGGAGAACAACTACGGCCAGCTCACCTACATCCGCGTCTACCAGGGCAAGCTCCGCAAGGGAACCTACCTGTTCAACTCCCGCACCGACAAGAAGGTCCGCATCCCCCGTATCGTGCGCATGCACTCCAACGAGATGGAGGACGTCAGCGAGATCGGCGCCGGCGAAATCTGCGCCGTCTTCGGTGTCGACTGCGCCTCCGGCGACACCTTCACCGACGGAAACCTGCCCTACACCATGTCCTCCATGTACGTCCCCGACGCCGTCATGTCGCTGTCCATCAAGCCCAAGCGCACCAGCGACGCCGACAACTTCTCCAAGGCCATGAACCGCTTCCAGCGTGAGGACCCCACCTTCCGTCTGCACGTCGACGAGGAGTCCGAGGAGACCATCATTTCCGGTATGGGTGAATTGCATCTGGAGATCTACGTCGAGCGTCTGCGCCGTGAGTACAAGGTCGACTGCGAGACCGGCAAGCCCCGCGTCTCGTACCGTGAGACCATCTCCCGCAGGACCGACTACGACTACCTCTTCAAGAGACAGTCCGGTGGTCCTGGTGACTACGCCCGTGTCGCTGGTTGGATCGAGCCCTTCGAGGACCCCGAGAAGAACTACTTCGAGACCCAGGTCGTCGGTGGCACTATCCCCGACAAGTTCCTCACGGCTTGCGCCAAGGGTTTCGAAGAGGTCACCGACAAGGGTCCCCTCCTGGGCCACAAGGTTATTGGTGCCAAGATGATTGTCAACGACGGTTCCACCCACGTCACTGATTCCTCCGACTACGCTTTCAACCTGGCCACCCAGATGGCTTTCCGCAAGGCCTTTGACGAGGCCGGCGGCGCCGTCCTGGAGCCTCTGATGAAGACCACCATCACCGCCCCCAACGAGTTCCAGGGTAACATCATCATGCTGATGAACAAGCGCAACGCCACCATCCACGACACCGAGATCGGCACTGAGGACTTCACCCTCATCTGCGACTGCAGTCTGAACTCCATGTTCGGCTTCAGCTCCCAGCTTCGCGCCGCCACCCAGGGCAAGGGCGAGTTCAGCATGGAGTTCAGCCACTACGCCGCGGCTCCTCCTCACCTTCAGTATGTTTCCACTGGTCCTGCCATGCCGAGTATGACTTGCTAACAGCCGCACAGAAAGGAGCTTGTTGCCAACTACCAGAAGGAGTTGGAGGCCAAGCGCACCAAGTAAACGACACGAACTGCCCCCATCTTGGGATCGTGTAACAAAACCGTGGCCCAACAGTGGCATCACGTCGTGTATCAACATCGAGCCGATGCTCCCGGCGCCATGAGGTCGCCGAGAAGGGCCGGTCGTACGCCGCCTATTTGGGCAGCGTACATAACGTGTATATCTAATGTCATGTCAGGATTGTAGAGCCTGGACATAAAATCACCATCTGGCGCCCTGCATAGCCAGGGTTATAGGGGTATGTGATTCATGATAGAACTAGACTTTGAACAATACAGAACTCGTCTTCTCTCCCACTTCCCATGTTCGACGCAGTATCGTCACTGGATGGGTCATCATAGGGCGCGGCTGTTTGGGTGTTGTCACACGTTCTGCTCGATCAACCTCTTGGAAGGGCCTTTTGATCCGCGGCTCGATGCTCTGCTCGGGAAAGAGCTGGTCCTCTCGGAGATTTCCCACGTGTAGTAGGGTGTAGGCCGCCGACGCAGCGTCTTGCGCGGGACACCGAAGCAATCCAGACCCAAACAGCCCGTTTCCTTTACTGATGCGTCATATGTGCTTGGAAGGTTGATTTCGTATTTCTCCGCCTCCCGTGTTGTGGCTGCCGCTTCATACTTGGGCTGTCGGCGACGGTTGTGAAAACGCCCAGCCCTGTTTTGCAGCCAAGACCGCATTCTGCCGGGACCTGCCGAGACCCCGTGGTCATGGGAGTCGAGCGACGAGTCATAAGGCGAAGCCATCTGTGGATCGTAAGTCAGTAACTCGTCTTTTTCGTGTTTAATACACGACAGGCACGTCGAGGATTGGCATGCAGCTGAGCTTGGGTACAGACGAACATTACCATACCAAAACATCCTCGGGCTCTTATTGTCGGCGGAAAGGTACAAGTGATGTCGGGAGGGGACAGAGGCGCCAAATTAGGAAGACTACGATGCTTCGCGGTGCGTCGGCCAGAGATAGAATGAGGGCGCAATTGCTTGAAGGTGTAAGCGTCCGCAGAGGTTGTTAGAACAAGGCATAGGGCTTCGCTATATTGCTATTCGTTGCACGGCAGGAGCTTCCCTTACTCAAAAGTGTTGGAAGGAGACACGCGGATTATCACATCATAGGGGCAAGAGCATCCAAACTCGAGAGACACCAGTTCAAGTCCGAAAAAAATGTGCTTTTAGTAATATGGTAGGTATCATAGACGCAGATACTGCGTCGACTGCCATATCCAGTCACGGGAGTTGCCTCCTTCTAGCTTCTTTGGCTACTTAAAGTCTGCGCAGAATGTCCTCAACAACCTCGGTCGTCTTGGCAGAACCACCGAGATCGGGGCTGAGGAGCTTGCCCTCCTCGAGGTTGGCGTCAACGGCGGCGTAGATCTTGGCGGCGGCGGCCTCCTCGTTAAGGAACTCAAGCATCAGGGCGGCGCTGCGGAGGGTGGCAATGGGGTTGGCGATGTTCTGGCCCTGGATGTCAGGGGCGGAACCGTGGCAGGGCTCGCCAATGGCGAAACCCTCACCGACGTTGGCGGAGGGGACGAGACCGAGAGAACCGACGAGGGCGGCGGCACCGTCAGACAGGATGTCACCGTACAGGTTGGGGGCAACGATGACGTCGTAGTCCTCGGGCTGGCGGAAGAGCTTGTAAACCATGGAGTCGACGATCTGCTCCTCGACGTTGACGCCGGAGAACTTGGGGTTGGCGAGGGCCTGCTTGGAGATCTGGCGGAAGAGGCCGTCGGTTTGGGAGAGGACGTTGGACTTGTGGGTGATGGTGACGAGGGGGCTCTTGTGGATGCTGGCAGCGCCACCCTGGCGGATGTTCTGGCGGCGGAGGGCAATCTCACCGGCCATGGAGGCGATGCGGTGAGAAGCCTTCTCGCTGATGCGCTTGATGGCCTCGGCGACCTTGCCGTTGGGGCCGTCGTAGGTCTTCTCCTCCTTGACGTACAGGTCCTCGGTGTTCTCGCGGACGATGACCATGTCGATGGGCTTGGGGGCGGTCATAACGGTCTTGACGGGGCGGACGTTGGCGTAGAGGTCGAGCTTCTTGCGGAGGGCAACGATGGGGGAAGAGTAGCCCTTGCGGGGGGTGGTCGGGGAAGAGACGGCACCGAAGAGGGCGCCATCGCACTCCTTCTTGAGGATCTCGACGGTCTTGTCGGGGAGGGCAGCGCCAGTCTGCTCGAAGGTCTCGAAGCCGGCCTTGAGGTCGGTGAACTCGAACTTGAGGCCGAGGGAAGCGGGGAGGGCCTCGAGAATGCGGCGGCCGGCGGGGATGACCTCCTTGCCGATGCCGTCACCGGGGATCAGGCCTAACGGGCGTTGGTTAGTCAAATGGCCGTCAATTGGGGTAGACTGTGTGCGACCTACCGATTCTGAGAGTTCTGACAGACATTTTGGGCTTGAATTGACGGCCAGAGGGTTGTACGTCTTCTGGTTGCAACAATAAAAGCTCGACTGGACGCACGCACAACCAACAAGTCGCGAAAAAAAGTGACCTGCAGCTGCGGTCGATATCGGAGGTCGGGCCAGCCACACCGAGGGCCGTTCGGCGAGCGACCAACGGGCGGCCGTCATTTCTGGTGCAGGGTCCAACACATCGGAGCTTTCAAACGCGGCTAGCCCCGCGCTAATTACTGCGTCAAGTCAGAGGTGACAATGGCGCGTTTGCATTCAGAAGAACAATTCGAAGCATTCTCAATGCACGATTCACCGTCGCATCTCGTCTTGTGCAGTCTCATGCGCTGTTCGCCCTACATCACGATTACACTAGGACTTAAGGTATCCCCCCCGCGCGCGCGGTACGAGCCGGGTACTCGGACCACCGTTCATTACCGCCAGCAGCCGGCCCAGCTCCGGTCAGGCACTGAGAGCAAGAGCAAGAGAACCTAACCTGACACTGCAAACTTGGGGCCTGACCTCCCCAGCGACGGAGATTGTATGGGCAAGGTTGAGGCCGGCTGACGGCCGAGGGATGTGAGGGACGTGACGACCCCTGAGAGAGTCCCCCCACATTCTGCGCTTCTAGCGCGTTGGGGAGCTCAGAGCGCAGAGAGAGAAGAAGGAGGGCGGACTGGGATTGACTGGGATTGGAGAGGCTGGAGCTGCTTTCGAGAGCTTCCCCTCGCGCGCGAGTCTCCAGTCTCCAGTCTCCAGAAGCTCTTTTCCCGAGGTGGGAAATCATATGGAAGGAAAAAGGGGGTCGCTGGAGACTGGAGTCGTGTTCCAGATACAACGTCCATTTTCCCACCTTGCCACGATGCTTGTGTTTGTGAGTCTTTTTCTTCTTAATTGTTTTAAGGGAACGAGAAACACAGTTGCTGGAGCAGCCGGATGTACTAGCAATCATGATCCCGCTTGTGTAAACAAAGACGGCTGATTCTTTTTTCCTGAGCCGTCTTTCGCGTCGCCGTTTTCCCGTCGCCCCTTTCCGGAGTGATGCATACCTCGGATAATGGGTTAAGACCAAAAAGCGGTAAGGCAAGCCCAGCACCGTTAATGCACAGTTTGACTATGGATATTGACTTGACGAGGCGCTCTGAAACAGGAGGCCGTGCGGTGTCTTCGAACATTGGCTTTTCCCGCTAAGAAAAAAAAAATCAATGAGGTGAGGCCGGAGGGAAACCAAAGAAAGAAAATGCTCACAGAGAGAGACACATCACCTCAGAGACGCGCCTCGTGGTGGATCAAGTGCGGGAGCTTACATTTCGACCGAGACAACGCCTTCTTTGTCATTGCGTCCGGCTAGTAGTTTCCGATGGCTGCCAGACTGTCGCGGTTCCTGATTTCTGGCATCTGATTTCCCTTTTTGATCTAACCGTGCCCAACAGTCAGGCACTAGCTGCAGATGCTTAACTCAAGCGGAATAGCACGGCCTTCTTCGGCATCAAGTCTCTGGCTGCGAGCCTTCAATGACTCTACGCGGTACCCGTAAGGGCAAGCCAAGGTGTAAGGGACGGAGGGCGAAAAGTGACAACAGGGGGACGGACAGAGACAGAGAGACTCATGAGTCTTCGCAAGCTCTCGTGTATCCGTAAGGTAATGATTATTGACCAATTCTTGGGATCCCGGGGCCTATCACCACCCACCTCCAAATCCCAAATGACACCTCGTCGAATCTGTGACCAAGAGCATTGGCTGTTGATGAGCAGCTTCCAGAACCATGTTCGACGACCCTGGACCAATGGATCTGCCATTTGGAGCCCTGCAGACATTTCGACAAGCGAGAGCACCACGAGCACCACAGAGGAGAGGAGAGAAGCACATGAGAGAAAGAGAATACAGACTATCCGTACTGCAATCATACCTTGTACATGCATAACGCCTCCGGTCCTTGCATAACGCGTCCCCACCGCCTCATATCAGGACGTGAAGCGTGTCTCGTTCTTCTGTGACAGCACTGAGTGAGCTGGCGTCGGGGCGGTTTGGTAGTGTAGCAGTAGAAAAAGAGCATGTGCATGTATGGGAACCCCTGAATACTTCTTCCCACCCCTCACCACGCCGCCGCCGCCCCTTTATGATGTGATGTACAAGCTATCCTGTTCTGTCCTATCCTATCCCATCTTGTGGACGTGGTCTAGGTACTGTACACGAACTCTGTATTTACCTCAAGCCACGTCCGCAAGGGACAGCTCGTCAGTCCTGTACAGATACTTCATACATGACGCCGAGGATCGAGAAAGAGAGCCAGCCGTGGTCTGGTGCGTTCGAACTGGTAAATAGTGGCCTCCCGCGTGGTGGGCTTTTTGATCGATCCGGTCCCCTTCTGATTATGATTGTGATTATGGGATTATGGGGTGGCCGTAATTTAAATGCCAGCCCTGACGGGACAGCAACCTCACTTCCCCTTCTCGAACCACGTCCACCACCACTTTGCTCACCTCACGCATATCCACCAATCTGTTCCATTGCCTGTGCCCTTCCTCGCTTTGAGCCTGAGCCCGAATCTGAACCCGAGAGACAAGACAGAGACTTTGACTGAGACACCTAAACCACGCACACCACCACCACCAGTCCGCAACAACACACAACAACCATAACCTTTCTCCTTCCCCCCGTTCACAACTTCGACCAAACCACCAACACTCTGCTTCAATCATGCATATTGCATAGCGACTGGCTGCTCTCCCGTCTCCCGTCTTTCGCCTCGAACCCGCCTCTCCACACAACAATCCACGTCGAAATACCCACCGCTGATCGTCCGTCTGCCTCGCTCGCTGCACTGACACCGCCGCCCCCCGAACTCCTGCCCTCAGCCCCCAAACCCACGAACTACCTACGTCGCGACATCCTTCGACCACTCTTGCCAAAGTCACCGGCTCCTCTGCTCCGCGAACAGCACAAGAACCTGGAACCCCGACTCGGCATGCGCTTGCCTGCTGGACCCCTTCCAGCGCCGAGTCCTTGCCTTCACACCTTATAGCCTAGAGCACCTTGCGCCGCGCTCCCGTCGCCCACCATATCGCCAAACGAGGTCGCCGTCGCAACTCCCACCTCCCTCACAGCTTCCACCGAAAGCTTAGCTGAATACCTCGTCGCAAGGCAGCGACCCAACACCGTAGCCATGTCCGCCGTTAAGAATCTGCGGGCCATGTTCGAGCAAAAGCAGGACGCGAGCCCGCCAGATCGAGGCAGGTCCCCAGGCCTTTCCTCAAGTAAGTCTTTTGCCGTGTAGCTCATACCTCTCCTGTACTTCTGCCCTGCGGATGCACCTGCACATCTCGACCTCCAACTTGTGATCTGCTTGCCGTGGCATCTTGCTCCACAGATTCTGATCTCATAGCACATCATCATCATCGCCTGTCCTCGCCTCCGTGAAGCTTGGCTAACAAACCTTCTCTCCCAGACGGCACCGAAACCCCTCCTCCCTCTACCCGCCCACTCTCTAAAATTCGCACAAGCTTTGTCGCCATTGAAAAGGACGGCAGAGTAGGACTTCGCCGGGATCCAAGCAACGAATCGAGTCTGTCCCAACGACGACTGAGTAGCCACACCGAGGGAGAAGCTTCTGTATCTGGCCAATCTGATAAGACCATGGCCACGGAAGAGACTTCGGGCGGCTTCAAGACGAGCATCCTCGGCGAGACCATTCCCGAGTCTCCTCGCCGTGCTGAAGCGAACAAGTCCGCCAACGGAAGTCCCGCACGAAACTTGGGAGCTTTGACGGACAAGCCGAGCCACAATCCTGACAAACATGTCGATGTCGAGACACCCACTCCCGAGCTGCTGCCCGGCGACCCGACTCAGAAGACTCCCGCGCAGCCTTCGGCGTCCAACAGCCCTGCTGCCGTGAAGAAAACCACCAAGCCCAAGGATGCCGCAAAGCCTGCCCCGAAGACCCTCGCGCCCCCGGCTACAATCAAGGCCAGATCGAAGACGCCCACGAGGTCTCCCACTACCGCGAAGGCGCCATCCCTGCACTCCGGTACCAAGCCGAGTGCTCCCAAGCATGAACCGGCCAAGAAGACGACCGAGAAGTTGGCTGCCACCACTGCCGCCGCGAAGAGCGGGACCAGAGCGACCGGAGCCGCCAAAAAGCCTGCCCCAGTGAACGTCTCTCCTCCCAAGGAGGCTGGCTTCGTCAAGCCCAAGCCTAAGTCGCCGACGCGGCCCGTGAGACTCCCGGCTTCTCTGATGGCTCCGACCGCTGCGTCGGTATCCAAGGTCAAGGGGGAGACTCCTCGCGAGACTCTTTCTCGTGCTTCTGGCAATCAGGGACGCCCGGCTAGCAGAGCGAGCGCCGCTGGTGCCGGCCCTACCAAGACGCTGAAGCGACAGAATTCCGTCATCAACCGCCCCAGACCCAGCATCGGTCCCCCGCCGAAGAAACCCCTCCAGGACCACCCCATCACCAAAAAGGAGAAGGAGGTTGATGAGAACTTCCTGGCGCGCATGATGCGTCCCACCCAGAGCTCCAGCTCCAAGACGACAGAGAAGGCCCCCGTCACGCCTCCTAGACACCGTAGCTCTACCCAGGGTAGCGGCAAGCAGTCCTCTGTCTCGGCTTCAAGGAGCCCCAGGAGGACCATGAAGCCTTCGCCCGATTCAGCTCGCACGGGAAGCCCCTTCGCGAGAAGGGCCCCCCACATTGAGCAGGTTGCGCCGGAGACCGCTCAGGTCGAGACCGCGGAGGAGGTAGTTGAAGCTGCCCAGCAGGTCGAGGAGCCCGTCGAGGTCAAGGCTGAGCCGGAGCCGGTCAAAGCCCCCGCCACACCGGAACCCATCCCGGAGGAGTCCTCTTCCGATGACAAGACTACCGACCCCGAGCCTACCGCCGTTACCTCTGGATCCGACGGCGTGAACGACCAGCCCGAGTCTCCCGAGTTCGAGGAACTCGCCCAGCGGGCTGCTAGACTCTCCATTGATGAGTCGGACAACCACGAGCTTAAGAGCCCTGATGAGTTTGAAGAGCTTCTTGAGGAGGAGCAGGCGGAGGCTCCTGCTGCTCCCAGCCAGGCGACCACAGAAGTCAAGACTGAGACAGCATAAAGTACCGCGTCGGAGCGTGGCGGGAGGTGGATGTTTAGTTTTAGAACCATTGGGGTGTACAATGATACCTGACCGACAAAAAAGGCGTAAATTACTTCTTCGTTCGTAAGTTTTTCGGGTTCCGGAGCAAGGAAGCTGGGTGTCTGGAGCCTCTGAAGCCCAAGATTCAATATCAGTTATAGAATGAATACCAATTGTAAAGCATTTCAATTCTACCAGCCAATGTTCTCATCAACTTCGCAAGCCTGTGAATGGGTGTGATGTGTCCCTTGTCTGTCTCCCTCGATTGTATTGGAATCAGGCCCAAAACGTGAAGAAGCGCGAAAATGATTTGTGTTCAAGTCTTCTAAAATACAGATTTTTTACAGTATTTGGAGGACAGTAATTCCCGTCCGCAGGGCTCCCGCAGGTCAACGGGCTGGGCTGTCTTGTGGTCTTCCCACCCAAGCCCCGGGTTGAGGCCATCTACCCGAACGACCCAGTTTCTCGTCCTCACTCATCCCCTTTCGAGATTTTTGTTTTCTTTTACTTCGCTCGGCACAGCACCATACCGCCCACTTTCCTGGCCAGCGCCTCTCTCGCCTCCAATACGCCCTTGTCCGTAGAGATGAACATACACTCTCCCATCACGAGCCCCTTGATCAGGCCGTTTTTGCTGGTGAACCCTCTCACAACCTGTTCCAAGTCCTCGATTTTGATGTTGATGGGCCGCTTAGGCTTGGTGACTGTTCTCAAGCCGTTCAGGACGGGCTCGTTGTTCCAGTACTTCAGTCCGAGCCACAGGCGGCGGGTGGCCGCGTTGGCGGTGGTGATGGGTACCGGCGGCTCCGACATCTGCTCAGGATTCGGCGGCGACGGGCCGCCGCGGTAGACGGAGGAGATGAAGCCCGCGCGGTGCAGGGCCATGGCGAGGTTGAGGTTGTGCTTCGTGTTGACTATGGAGGTCATGCCGAGGCGGGCGCGCGAGGCGTTTTGGAGGTGCGAGCACATGTTTATCAAATTCGTGAAGCCCATCTTGAAGTTCGGTGTGAGCCCGGGGGGGAGCTCGGGTATCGTGGGGAGGGTAGGGGTTGTTGGGAGGTGGTCGCGAATCTAGAGGAGTCAGAACTGGTTCTGGCGGTGTCGCTGGCAGGGTCAATCGTACCACCGGATCCTCAATGAGGTAATCCACGGATCAAGAAGGTTCCCCTGAGGTCAGTGAGGGGTGTGCTGCGCGTCAGGTGGCTTCGAGATACCGCAAAGAATGGCCGGTCACCACATCCGTTCGATAAGGGAAGCTATCGCCAAATTTTTGGAACGCAGCCCCGGCCAGTCGTCGAAGGATGACTAAGACACCGGTACGGACGCTGATCCGTGCGCTGCTCTGAAAAAAGCCCCACCAAGCGGACCACTGCAAGTGCTCTCTCACTGTCACCCTTGCTGAACCATCCCATTGGCTCTTTTCAACTTCCTGTAAGCGCCGAGTCGTCCACTCGATGCGACCACCTGCAGGCTCTCCAGTCAACCCAGCACCAGCACCAGCATGCGTCTTGTCTAGACGCCGGCACATTCTCAAATGGCGGCATGGTCGCGAGACTTTATGGTCTTGCGACCGAGTACCGAGTGGTACAAAAAGGGTCACAGACAGGAGAGACCGGGATGTAAGAAGAGGGCAAGCTGGGCCGGGTCCAAGGAGACCTACCTTAATATCTAACCCGCATCATCAAACCACCAACCTCTTCTCGAACCCTCAAAATCCCTCCTCGAAACTCTTGTCCTTCCGTCTTGGTCCCCTTGCGCGAATCCGCAATTCTAAGATTAAAACAATCGTGCCACACCTTACCTCTACCCGTCTACGCGTCTGTTTCTATTGTCGTCCGCCTGCCGCCCTTGGCTGTCGACCGAGGCGGGGTAGCTTGCCAGCTTGTGCCCCTTCCGTACTTCTCTCGGCGGGCATTGGTTTTGATTGTCTGATGATCGATTCTTGCGCCTGAGGCCTTTTCCCTTGTTCGGAATCTATTCCTGGAAACAAGAGTTTCCCAACAAAAGCAGAATGGCGACCCGGCCCGGCGAAGAGAACGTAGCTACCCTGTGAGTTTCTCTTCTTCTTCACAACACAATAGGAAAGTAGCGGTGCTGCTTTGGTTTCGTTCCGTTCTGCGAAACGACCAGCCGGTCGCTCTCTTGACACAATGGCTGACTGGCCCGTCGTGCTTCACAGCTTCGGAGACATCCATTACTTCTACGGCCCGCCGACGAATGACCCGCCTCACCACCGCTTCGACAAGGGCTCCTACGTCTACCTTTTTGAAAACGCAAATGATCGCCGCGCGCGTATTGAGATTGCCAACCAGCCCGGCACCGATAACCAAGATGCCTTTGACGGATGTGGGTGTTCCCTTCACTTATTTCGAAGCTTGACGAGCAGCAGCTGACAATGCTCGCAGTTCTGGACAGGACGAATGTTCGATACTCATATAACCACCAGTGTATGGTGACTCTTACCGTCGGCGAGACGGCAGACCAAATGGAATGGCACCTACCCACCTACGACCCTCACAATCAGAACAAGTACCACTACAAGCTTCACTCACTCGACATCTACTTTTGGAAGCAGGACGATGCTCTCCAGTTCGTCAATGGGATCAGGAGAGTCCTCCCGCCGGCACAAGTCGAGATCCTCGACGAGCCTGCGCAGCCGTCGCACCACCACCAACAACAAGCCGAGCCCGTGAGCGCGGTGGTCCAGCAGCTCGAGCACGTCGCGATATCGGACCCGAACTACGGCACCTCGCAACCGCAGCACGTCGCCCCGAGCTTCAAGCCACCGCCGACGTCCGCCGTCCCCGCGCAGGAGCCGCCGGCCACTTTCGTGCCCATGGCCTATAACCCCGCCGCCCCCGCGGCGCCGGAGGCGATCAGACACAGGGAGAAGACGCCTCCTCCCGAGGACGGGGGCCTCGACCCGCTAGCAGCGGCAGTGGCTTACGATGCGCAAGCCCCCTTCTCGCCTGGATTCGTCCCTCCTCCGGGATTCCAAGCGGGACAGGTCGGGACCGCCGGCCTGCCTCCCCCGCCCCCGCCGCCACAGTTCGGAGGGCCGCCTCCGCAGCCCGGGCTCCAGCGCGCCGTGACCATGCCCGTGCAAGCCGTCCACGGCGGCCTGGCATCCCCGGGACTAGCCAGTCCCTACGGAAACGGCTTCCCGGGTACGCCGGGTCTGCAACCTCCTCCGCCGCCCCCGCCTCAACAACAGCAAGCCCAACAGCAGGCCATATCGCAACAAACACAGCAACCTACCCCACCGCCACAGACGCCGGGCGCCACGCCTCCCGTCGCGAGTCCGGGTGCTCCTCCGCTGGGAGGCTACTCGCAATTCTCGTACACCACTCAGCCGCGGTCGCCTGCGGTCGTCGATTACACGGTTCACCAGCAGGTCTACCGGCCCACAGAAGAGGAGGCAGCCAAGTACAAGGGATACATGGTCAAGCAGGAGCCGGCGGGCAAGCTGGAGGCCAACGCAGGACGGCTCGAGAGGGGCGTTACGGGTATGCTGAGGAAGTTTGAGAAGAAGTTTGGATGAATCCTTTTTGGTGTTTTAAAGTGGCCGAAGTTGTGTTATTGGGTAATTTGTCATATAATCTAGTCCAGACGGTTGAAAGAAGATATCCAGCCATTGAACCTTTTGGACATGATATCCACATTGTATGCGAGGATAGCTACATTGCGTTCGCATTTCATGAGTATTTGAACATGACTATTATTGACTGGATACCCGTGTACTGCGACATTCCAACATCAAGGTCGTTCCTATGGCGTGTCAGTGTGCAGAAGCGATCAACCGTTCCACTAACAGACAGATACCCTCCACAGCAACTCACTGACCACCGTCAGGGTGCGGTCCAATAGAGTATGACAGTGTACACAGCAGACAAGGGAATTTGATGCCCCCAGATCACCTCTAATCGCGCTACGATTTACGAAGAAAAGCTTTGTTCTTCTTAGCAGTAATACCAGAAAGCATAGGCAACACACCTAGACATACAAATTTCACCCCGCAGAGACGAGCCGCATCCTACGTCATGCACGGATGTAAGAATTAAGCTGTGGCCTAGGAGGATTTGCGGGTTGGGGGCCAGATGTCACCTGGTAAGTAATTAGTTACCCCAAAGTCGTGGCGGAGTGAGATGGGCTGTCTTTCACGGCAGATCGCCGTTGGGCGTCATGGCAGTGATTGCTGTGGTGGTGGCAGATGTGGAAGCAAGCTCACAGAATTTGGCCGTGGTTGACGAATCCTGCTAGAGCAAGCCGCAGTCAACATGAAAGTCGCCGCGGTACAACGGCGTCGGTACCGTACCCAGTTTTGATTTGATTTAGCTGCTGCCGACTCTTGCGGCGATTTTATTTTGCCTTGGATCATTGGAGGTGAGCTGAGCTAAGACGCGACGAGCATCGGATTCCTCAGCGGCAGGTCAACAACCACAAGAGGGCTGCACTGCGAACTGGCTCATCGATAGATGGAATGAGGAGGGACATGTGGGCTTTAAGCCACCGCTCGTATAAACCAAGACTGTGGCACGCTGGAGGCACGATTCAACGTTGCGTTGCGCCTGCCCCGACGCGGGAGGGATCACATATGTTTTAGCGTTGCGGACGGCGTGCTAAGGGCCGCCACGGTTGAGCAGAATCTCGTTCAACCCGAGGCATGACCAGCTGCCCTATGACGGGCCGTGAAAAGAATGATGGTGAATGGTAGGCCGTCCGTCTCCTCTGTCAGCGCAATCACTCGTAGCCAGCTGAGAATGGGATGGCAAAGCCAGGCGATTGGACCGTTTAAGACGACGTGCAGACAAGTCTTAGACAACAGGCGTTATGTCTGAGACTTGCATTGAAGCTGGCCATCCGCCCCTGAGGATAAGGCTCGTCTTGGGGAATCCGCAGATTTGGTCGTTTCGTGCTAATGTGGTATCCGCAATCATAAGTCGACATCGGCGCATGGCTGGCAGAAACCGCACGTCCTCAGAAATGTCAACGGCAGGAACCCAGCACTGGAGATGCAATAGGGCTGTGTTCATCCCGTCCTTTCGCGAAATAGTAGTCCTCCCAGCCACGTTGTTTTGGTGGGATGAGGCGGTGCGCGATGGCGGGACATCCTTGGGGTTGCGCTGAACATCTCAGGCGGTTCCAAATGACTTGTTGGCGGCTACTTTGCCTGAACCGGAGAACCCTGCAACGTCTGTGGCAGAGCACATGGTCATGGTTTCTCCGTGCAAAGGACAGACTGGGAGGACGGTGGCTGGAGAAGAGTTCGTCCAAGGCGTTGGCGAACGGTTGTCCGTTGCTGCATTTCTTCGGAGCAGAGGTATCCCGTTCGTTGATGGGCTGTTGCTAGGTTGTGTTGTGCTGTCACTGCTGTGCTTTGAGCGCTGATGTTACTCGAAATAGTAGCACGGGCAAAACTGGAGACGACCCTCAGCCTGAGCGCTGAAGTGTGGGCTGCTGCCTTTTCTCGACCAAGACGGACGGTAGGTAGCATGACGATATCTTCTTTCCCTGAAATTTCATGCTGTGGTAAAGTCGCGTCGCGCTAGGTGACAGAGCTGACCTCGGTGTTGTGGGATAAAGCTGGCAGCGCTTGATTTCAGGAACGATGCTTGTGTCGTCGTCAGGTGGAAAGCAGTGTCTCGTCTGATGTCACCCGTGGACCCGAGTCAAGGACGAGATGGAAAACCGATGGAGAACCGGCGCTTTGGTGGTGGAAAAGTTTCGGGTCTCTAGATTCGGTGGTGAGTGTTTGGAGCGTTTGGACAGGTGGGATCGAATGGAACCGTTGCAACAGCCAGGACAGCCATGGACCGAGAGGCTGGAGCAGTGGACACCAACTGGCGGCAGTGGCCTACCGCAAACAGCACCAGAGGCAGCACCGCCTGGCACCGCCTCAAGCCTCAAGCCCATCTAGTGTGGGTTGGGGTTTTCGGGTCGGGCTGACTGGGAGTGGCATTGAGGCGTGATGGCTGAGGTCGAATTGAGGGTGGAGGGTCTGACGCAACGACGATCGGCTTGATTCTTGTCTTCAGATTCGGTTGGTCCGTCCAGATTCGGGACCTGATGTGTCTTGGTTGACGTCTGTGTCGTAAAATAGAAGAGTACAGTCCGAAGGCGGGCGGCATTCCACTCGCTGGAATAAGTCGAAAATGACGGGGAACGCATTAATGGAAAAGTCGGTTCCCGAGGTTCATGTTCAGTTTGGTGTTGGTTGACGGATAGCGACAGGGCTATTCCCTCGGCGTTGTTTCGACTGTTGGTGTATCTTGTTGCCATCTTCCCGGTTGCATCGAATACTCGACGAACGCTTGTCATTGCTCTTGCCGCGAACCCAAATTCGTTCCGTCTGTCTCTTAAGGCTTGATCGGAGTGGTCCGTAGACGAGGGTGAACGCCATCCGGCACTGGTATGTGGTGTCGGGCGCTTTCTTGTCTGATATCATTGTCATCGTCAGACGTGTGAGGAGAGGTGCAGAGGACGCGACGACTCGCATTACTTCACTAGAGGGCGGCGCTAATTGGGCGTTCCCGCGAATCGGCGCCCACTAAGAGGCATACACGAACTCGGGGCGGGTCCTGTGTATTCCGTCGAGGCCGATAGCTTCGTGTTCTTGGGAACCTCGGATGGATTACTTTCTCTTGGTTTCCGCCGGTTCCATCGTCGCCAAATGCAGCGGGAAAGAATCATCTTTGCACAGCATAAATCACCTTGGTCAATTGATCAGGAAAGTGCAAGTGCAGAAATGGTATCCCGATCACAGGCGGCGGGCACGAGCTGAAGCTGACATAAGAGCAATTGGATGATACCTACCTCAGGTACGAAGGTACATCGTGCTGTACCTCGAGATCTCCACCTGTGCCACCTCCGCCAGGCTCCCTGACGCTGCTGCCTCCACGTCGCGGTCCCTCCTTCCCCCCTCCAACCATCCGCTAATTATTCCATTAAAAAACATCAGCAGGTTGGTCTTGGGCTCAAGGCACACTGCACCTCTGCAGATGCAACTGCGACTGCAACTGCAGCAGCAAGTGCAAATACCTAATGCATCCTGCACCCTGCCTGCCCGTATGCGGTTTAAGCAGCCTCAAGCCTCACATTTCTCATCTCACACCTCACTCTCAATCATCTCAATTCCGTCTCCGTCTCACTCCTCACTCACAAAAAAAGTCGCCTCAGCACACCCCCACCTCTCTACACCCGAAAAGGACGTCAGGACCCTCGTACCGCACTCTAAAACTAAGGCAACCTGGACCTTGACCCTTGACCTTGACCTGGACCTGACCCGACCCTGACCCTTGGGTTGCCGTTGCCCGGGACCTCACCTCTCACCTCTCACCTCATACACCTGTCAGCAATTCGTTTCTTCCCTCCTTCCTGTCTCGTCTCGTCTCGTCTTGTCCGGTCTCGCCAAAACATCCAAATCTCTGCCACAACAACACCACATCCCGCGCGTCGCGATCTCTTCGAACCGCACCGCTCAACAGTCGTCACTAGCATCACCGAGCCTCAATGTCCCAGCTCTGACGCTTTATTCTTTCCGCCTTGCGCAGCTGGGACGCCCCGCCTTAATTCGCCTCACGCCTTACTCACGTTCGTGTTCCGCCTCCTGGCTTCTCACCCGCCGCCACTTCCGTGCTATTGTCGCTCGTTCCGACCCTTCATACGCAATGAATCTCAAGATGCGAATACCCTTCAGTCCCTCTCTCGACGCCCAAGAGAATCACTCAGACTCTTTACATCGCCGAGATGAGGGCACTGATCCCAGGAAAATTACCATTATTGTAAGTCGTCAATCATGTGACAAACCTCCAGGCGCACTGTCATCAATTACTCCTGCTGACGCCCACGGCCAACGCAGGGGATTCTCGCTGGATTGGTTGTAATAATCTTCCTTGCCTTTGTATTTTTCTCCTTTCGCGCCTCCCGTCGGAACCGGAACACCTCAAAGACCTCTTCGCGCGGCGGCTTTCTAAAGATATGGAACACCGGTGCCAACCGGAGTAGGTACCAGCAGGCCCAGGACGAGGAGTCCAACTCGACGGAGCAACTAGCGAACCGCAACTCCCGCTCTCGCCCAACATCCCTCGTCTTTGACGCCTCTGCCACCAATCAGTCCCAGGCCGACAGCCGCTCCCCGAATAGCGCCGTAAACCGCAACACCTCCATCCGCTCCATCATGACTCTCCCAGCCTACAGGGTCGACGCGAACGACAACGAACAGGTCCTGGGTCGCGAAGGCGAACGCGGCGGTGTAGATGTTGTCATTGAGTACCCGACAGAGGAGAACGAGGAGGAATTGCGCGACCAAGAAATGGAGGCTCTGTACCAGATTCGTCTGGCTCGCCGGCAGGAGCTTGCTGAGCGGGAGGAAAGGAGGAGGGAGCGTCGCGAAGCACGAGATCGAGGCGACCACGTCGCTCTTGAGAATATCCGCACGAGAGCCCGCAATGCCAGCAACAACAGCGCCGTTGCTGTCCTGCGCGAAGAACACGAACGCCTCAAGGCCGAACGTCAACGAAACGTCTCCAGCGTGTCATACGCCGATCTTGGCGTCGCCCGCCACGACGGTACGCGAATTCGAGCCAATAGTCAGGAAAGCGAGAGGATGGGTTTGTTGTCGGACGCTGCTAGTATTGCCGCCACCTCGACCCGATCCGCACACAGGAGAGGGAGCTCCGTCATGAGCATCGACAGCGACCTTCCCTCTCCCGGGCTCACCAGATCCCGGGCGAATTCGCGACCTGACACGCCCCGCATAGATACCAGGGCCGGCTCGAGCCCCGAAATCGCCGAGGCTGACGTCGGAGAAGCTGGTATCCCTATTTACTCTCCTCCCGGATATGATGAAGTATCCCTCGACGACGAGCGTTCCCGCAGCAACACCCCTCAGCCTCACGAGCAGCCTCCTCCAGGCTATTCCGGGCCCGCTCAGCAGCGCGCCGAGAGCCTGGCCGCGAACATGGCCGACTTGGCGGCGGATGAGCAAGTAACAAGTGGTTCGACCGAAAACCAACAGAACAAGCAAAGACGGATACCGCAATTACCAAGCCTACGACTGCAGCAACTGCCGCAGATTGTTATCGAGCCGTCCAGCGCCAGACCGCGCGACGACGAGAGGTGACCGTTGGCACTGGATGAGCAAAAACACAGCAATACCGCATGATAACGGCTGAATTTAATGAGCCCTGTTGTAAATGACTAAAATTTGGAGACGGTTTTTTGATACATATGGGCATGGATTGTCAAATCACGTACATGTTGAGCGAGGGATGCCTGGATGAGGCATGCGCCGAGATCTCATTTGTATAATACCTTACCAGTAAACTGGATATCGGCGTTTGGCGAGTCTCGGTCTGGACAGGGAGTTGTAAAGGATACCAAAGCGTTGAAGAAGTTTGGCACCTCCACGGTCTACGTACCTGAGGCTGCATAGCAGTTTTTGAATCAATCATTTGAGATTTCAACGACTGGAAGTTGTGTGATGTCTGGTGAAAGATGCTTGTCACACTCGAGGTCGCCATTTGACTAACCGCCTTGAGATGCTTAATTGACCAAGATATTGGCCCCGCTGGTGAAGGGCCAAGCTGCCGAGACGATCTGTCGCGATCAGAGTCGATGTTGATCGGACATGTTCTCTTGGCAACTGTCTTGGCTCTCAGAGTGATTTCGGACGGTTCATGTTTCCCCAGGTTACTTGAAGCTTGGAACTCAATTCGTCTTGTGACATCTGTGGCCCTTCAATGACCCCAGTCATGTTGTAGACGAGCGAGTTTCGCTCGTGACTTCAGTACGTGACACAGATATGAGATAATCCGGTGTATTACTTGTTTCTAAACTCTTCGCCAACGACCCTCAACACACCTGCGCTCGCATGAAGGTTACCCATCTCCTGACCTCACGCCGCTTACGATCCTTCCTGGTATATGGTCTAAGTCCTTCACGTCGTCAGCCCTTTGGTCCTTGCTAGCGCCCAGTCGATCAGCCTGGCTTGCTCCAATCTTCATCATCGCCCATGCGTCCAGCTTGGTGTCCACCACTGATGACCTCCTCGCCGCATAAGCTGCCAGCCAAGCTAGAGCAACCAAGTACACCATCAGCAGCATACTAATGGTGATAATCCCAGCCAAGGATATGGACGGAATCAACGTGTCGATACCCAAGTCACGGTACACATGTAAGTTGTGTCTCAGCGCGTTGGTTTGGTGATCTAGCCACGCCTGGTTTGCCAGGAAGGCAGCCACCCTGAACAAGGTGCCGAGGCGCTCAGTATTGGTGTACTTTCCGAACAGGCTGGTCGCCCAGTTGGCTACCTGCACATATACGTTTTCATCATCCTGTCCGTTTTGTGCGTTTGAGATGCAATATCTTTGACTGGTCTCGGACGATGTCCCGCGCCCTATCGCCGGGTTCAAAAAGAGAAGGTTGAGCGGGCTGAGATAGGCACAGCCGTAGGGATTCGCAGTTTCGTTCATTCCAAGGTCGGTGTATGCGGAGGGGTCCGACAACCTTCTCTCCAAAAAGGAGTTCCGACCGAACAGCGCCAATGCGATAGTTAGAAGAGGTCCTTTATTTATGACACCTTCAAGGGCATTTGGATCCCACGGGTCCAGTCCCAGCCGTATGCGTTGGGCTTTATCCGGAGGACTTAGTATTGGAGCAAGGTCAGTATGATACCGTCTTGTTTTGGCGAGGAAATTTGCACTCACAAGTAATACCTATCGTCTTCTTCGTCATAGGGGTTATGCCTGATATCCTTCGCGCAACCTCGTTGACAGGCACCACCTGGACCAAAAGGATCCTTCTCGAGCAGCTCCCCTGCAGTCTCATTCCAATAGTTCGGCAACTGAAAGTAACCAGCTGTGGTGTTCAATGTGATTTTATAATATGAGCTCGGTGGACCCGTATTGCTTCTGCGCCTGGTAGTGTTCAAAACCATGTACTCAGAAAAGCTTTGCGCATCTCTCGTCTCTTTCCATGGCGTTACGGTCAGATTACCAGGCATACACACCTGGAGACCAAACTGGTATTTGTCGTCTGAGCCATCCGGAACGAGATACTCGGCCCAAAAAGAGCCAGACGTTGTGCGACAGGACTTCGGAAAATCATTGGCGTCGATGGGCGTGACCTCCGCGCTGGAGTTGATACGAGGAATGAACTGATTGATGAGCCCGGTTGAATAGCCAGAGGGCAGCTGCGCGAGAAACGGATCCGGCAATGTCATCATCTCATCCATCGTCGTCCCTGCGCGGCACGGCTGCTCTGACTCTCGAATGACCCAATCCTCCGCATCAGAACAACTTTCACCGGGGCCTCGCCAAAGTTGCGCCTGCGGTTGGCTGAGGCTCGTTGTCTCCAGCATTCCGCGAGTGATGAGGACGACCAAGTTGTCGTCGTTCAACATTCGGTCTCGCCAGTTGAACTGGTCTGGTATATCTGTGACATACCCTTCAACTTCTTGATAATACGAGGCTTTGATTGTCTTGATCGACAGGAAGTATTGTTGCAACGGAGAGAGAAGACCACCGAGAACGTATAGGAACACGGCGAACTTGAGAAAGGGGGTGCTGAAGTCCATGTACGTCCATTTCGACAGGAAGACTATGTCGGACCAGCTCTTGTCTGCGAGGACTATGAGCTGGCGTAAGCTGAGGTCCTTTTTGGTTCGTTGAACGTAGATGACTGCCGCGGCGGACATGACGGCGGTCGTCAAAGGAAGGGTAGAAACTGCGACGATGGATTGGAGAACTCTGATCGCTTGGTACCAGGACTTGTTCTTCGCAATCGTCTTAGGTACATCGAAAAACGTTGAACTTGAGCGATTGGTGGTCTCTTGGTACTCTTTGAGGTACTGAGTTGTGTATTGCGATGTCCATAATGGTCGGTAGGCTAGGATGCAGGTCGTGGTCCATGTGAATATGTACAGAGCTGCGTATAGAGCAACCATATATATGGGCACCAGTGTTCTGGATAGATTTGGCGACTGTTCAGACTTCAGTATCGACTCATTGTCCTCGGGTTTGGGGGTCGACTGTCTGGAAGTGTCCAGAAGGGATGTCGAACTCGGAGGTTCTGGAGAATGAGACCGTCCTTCAGCAGCCGTAGGCAGCGCTCGAAGCTCGAAGCTGCCCCGGCCTCGAGAACTCCCTGTCCGATTTGGATGCTCGTTTGTTGCCATTAGGAGCCTGGACGATGTTGGGACCTGTGCATATTTCACGTCTGCTTTCGCATCGAAGGTTTCTGGAGTATTATATTCTGCGTTGCGCAGCGTTCACTTCTGAAATGAAGCTGAATCCTCGTTCGTCTTCAAAATGTCACTGGAAAACTGCTCGGTCCCGACGAAGAGCAAGGAGCCCGAAAGCTGGACATGGATGGCTGTGTACCGCAAGGGATGAGGGCACTTGCATTCCTTGGCAGGCATACAGGGCAGATGATGGCGAATGGAACCTGACCGCCATTGGAAAAAGCTCTGTAGGCCCGCGGCAGAGGGGGAGGATCTCGTTAGTGCTTATCGCAACATTCCATTTCTTATTCCAGTTCTTAGGGTTAAGCGACGGCCAGTGAAGTCTGCCCTGAACACCACTCTCGGTCGAGATATAGGCATCAAAATGACGTGCATGAGTTAAAAATACATCTAGAATGTGTTCGAATGTGTAGCCAAGATAAGATGTCTCGTCGACAATAGCAAAATTGTGATGCCCAAGCCGAGTTTTTGGGAAGACCTCAAAATGCGTCAGATGCTGTCTCCAGGAGACCAGCTGCCGCGCTGCGATGAGGAATACAAGAGATCTGAAGCGAATAGCAAAGTTGTTGAATAGAAAGCCTCGTTCTCTGTCATGACAAGTGAACAACTCTACTTCTTTCTCGACGATGCGGACTGTGACAAGTTGAGGTTTCCGCAGTTGCTAGCGGAACGGAACTCATGCAAAAGTTTGGGTCGGCGAAAGCAAGGGGTCTTGAGCAGCCAACAAACCGGCCCGATCATCAATCTGATCCGATCCGATTACCGGGTAACTTGGCCGAGCGGTCTAAGGCGCCAGACTCAAGCGCGAGCTTGATCCTCTCAGAGGATAGTATTCTGGTCTCGCAAGAGGCGTGAGTTCGAATCTCACAGTTATCAGTATCTTTTGTTTTTTGCCCCATGAACGATTTCTCCAGGTACTTACTTCACGCCCAAAGCCACTGGAAATGTTTCCGACATGATTGAGGCAATGCGCGCGTGTTTTTTGGACTTGAGAAAAAGGAGCAGCACTCTAAGATGTTGTAAAGGTGAGGGTCCATGCGCTGTGCGCTGGCAGACGGAATTATGCTTATTTCTTAGGCTTTGAGCTTGGCTTTGGCAGGCTGCAAGTGCGAAAGTTGGCAGGTCACGACCGAAATCTTGACTGACGCTCGGGCAAAGTATCTCTTCATCACCACCAACTTCAATCAATCCATCTAGTCTCAACACCGAATCTCAAATTCGACCGTAGTATGGATCAGGCGAGCCGACGCAGACATGGGAAACAAGACTCCTGTGGCCCTTGTCATACCAGCGGCGCACCCGCACGGATCATAAACCCCGAGACGTTTCCCGCGCTCCGCCCATCTCAGACACGAAGTGTCGGATCCCTTCAGATCATCAGCAAGCCAGCGACGCCACGCGCCGCGGTTGGGAGTACATCAGCCCAGAGAGTGTTTCACGTTCGAGTAATATACCGACACGATGTCGTGTCGCTGGGATGGAGTTCAAAGAACACTGCAAGATTCTTTTCCGCCTTGTTGCAAAAAAAGTCAGGCTTTGATAGTCTGTATACTTCAATAATACTAGTTTCAATCGTTCATGTTTCTTTGAAATAAGTAATACAAAATTTGTTTGTGTTTGTCGAGAACCGCCTCCTGCATACATCGCGGCCATGAAGCAGAGCAGTACACCTTACTCAGACATCCGCCGAGATGCGGAGCGTCACAACGACTCCATGACCGACGTCAGTGAATCGTTACTCAGCGAAGACGACCACAAGCACTGGAAGCAAGCAGATATCGAGAACGGATGCACAACACAGAGAAGTCGATGCGCCAAAAAGTGCGAGGTCATTCGGCGCTGGCGCTGGCTATTCGACACGGCACTCATGCTCGTCATCGTCGGTCTCCTCGTCGAGAGACGACACCTACTGGCCCCAAGTCGCGACAAACGTCTCGAGCCCGTCGGTGACCTCACAGGCTTCGCACCCGAATGTACGTGAATGCACAACGTTCATGTGTCATCGTACCTAGCTGACAAGTCACAGTCTCCCAGCAAGTAACAACATTCCACCCGACGACAGACTTTGTCCCAGACGACCCGAAGAAACTATTCAGCAACACCTCGATTATGGAGAACTGGCTCTCCATCGTGCCCAAGGGCCTCGGATACCTCGAAGTCAAGGACCCAAAGGCACACGACAACCTCCCGGTGCCCCTTCCCGAATTTGCCCCGCGAACCGTTTTCACGACTTCGATGACCCACCAGTTGCACTGCTTGTACGCCATTCTCGAGAGCTACGCGGGTATGTCCGTGAACGGGAGTGCCAACGTCGACATGCACTCGCACATCCCGGAGGGCACCGAGGGCGCGGACGGGCCGTGGCATCTCCAGCATTGCTTCGAGTATCTCAGGCAAGCAATTCTTTGCGCAGGCGATGTCGCGCTCGAGGGAACGCAAACGACGTTCCCTCCAGGGTTCACTGGAAGCGACGGCTGGGATGCGAAGCATGTCTGCAAAGACCCGAAGCAAGTGTACGATTATCTGGACAAGAACAGGGCACTGGATGACCACTGGATTTGAAGCATGATGCGTAATGAGAACGGCGTTTGAAGGACATAAAGGGACTATATTTTTTCGGGTATATGGCATTTGTAGGGGAATTCATGTCCTCGCAGCTTGGTTCTGCGTTTTCTACATGGTATGGAGCTCAACAGGGGATGCCCGACCTTACTTAATATTGAGATAAATTTCGACACCGGATCGCCTGAAAGTTCTAGGATTTATTCGCCAGGGAAGAAGAGACAATTTGCAAGATTCCGTACGACAAATTGCAGGTGGGAGCTAGCAGGAAGTTGAAGAACGAAGATGTAGATGATGCAGAATACGAGGATCACAAAAAGACCGACATTCGCAAAAAAAGATGGACTCACTGGGGATTGAACCCAGGATCTTCCGCAGGATGATTCACCGATGTGAATGCAAAGCGGACGCCTTACCGCTAGGCCATAAGCCCTACAGGGATGATTGGTTGACAAGGAAGGACACAAGACTCTTTATGAAGCTAATTTCGACTGAGCACTACCCCCCGCCGTTCGAAGATCATCTCCATCCGTTCAATATCTCGGGACCCAGCGATCACCAAAGCTAATTCACTAAGGAAGGCGTCGGCGCCAAAAACCTCTCCGTCCGTTATCATCGTCGTCGTCAAGGTGGAAATCATTCGAGACCGCTGGAGAAGTCCCGTCAGTGCACCGGGAGGACTAGACTCGATTCTGTCTAGCTGGTGGAAATAGAGCGGAGACGTTCAAAGGACGGGAGTTGACGTCGGCATTCTGCAAATCCATCATTCGTTCTTCGCCGTCCAAACTTGTCGACTGTTCTCTCGCCAGAAGGTCGCCTATCACGAGACAGTCTAAGGCTCCTTAGTTGACCAGATGACTTGCAACATGGTACTACTGCAGATCTAGTCGCATCGACTTCTCAAGTCGCCCATCTTGACGACATAGCTAATGCAAGTCACAAGCGGTATCGACATCCGTCGGCAAACATCTACCGATAGCAACACAATGTGGCGGGACCACGGTCTCGATTCATTAACAAAGAATTTTCCTCCCCTGGCGCCCAATGATAACAATCAGTGGATCCGAAAATGGTGCAATACCTGGCAAACCCATCCTTTCAGTTCATCTTGCGGCGCATTTTTATATCCGGATCCCATGCTTACTGATTGCCGTTCCCCGTTCCCGATTTCTAATGCTCAGTTCACTTTCCTTCTTCTCGTTCGTCGTCAGATGAGAATAGGACCACGATCGTTCTAGACCACAAACCAGGGAACAATACTTAATGTTTAATCGTTCTTCCGAACTGTCATTCTCCAAGTCGAACTTGAGCCTCAGGGCAGAATCTTTACCAGCAGAACCGATCGCGATCTGAGGATCGCCGCCACGCGAGGTCGCAACGAGCAAGGTTCACCCGCCAAGAAACCTGCACGAGGATAATCCCATCCGCCCGCCTCTCGGGACAACATCACCACGAGAAAGACGTCAAGAACCATGTCGTCGGCCCGCACCTCGGCACCACGGGCCGCCGACGACGAAAAGCACGCCTCCGCCCCGGGTCTGCGCTCAGATCCGTCCGAGACGACTCTGACGCCCGGCTCCAACCCGGATCCCGAAACCCAATCCCCCGCTCCCGCGACAACGTCCGACCCTGGCCCCGTCCCGGACGGCGGTCTGGAGGCATGGCTTCAGGTACTGGGCTCTTGGGTCGTTCTCGCTGCCACCTGGGGTCTCGTCAACACATTTGGAGTGTATCAGACGTAAGCGCCGCTTCTCATAATTTTCCTCACTTACACTTCACGTTTACGAAGCAAGTGACTGACCCAAAGTAGCTATTATGAGCAGACTCTCAACGCAACGCCGTCGGCCATCTCGTGGATCGGGTCGCTGCAAGGGGCGTTGCTGATGATGGTCGGGCCCATCTCCGGGCCTCTGTACGATGCGGGTTACTTCAGGGAACTGCTCTGGGTTGGCCTGTTCCTCATTCTCTTCGGCCAGTTCATGACGTCCCTCTGCACAACATACTGGCAAGTTCTGTTGGCGCAGGGCGTATGTATCGGACTAGGCTGCGGTCTGACGTTTCTCCCCTCGACCGCGATCCTGAGCCAATACTTCTTGAAACGCCGCTCCTTCGTCATCGGTATCGCGGCCACCGGATCGCCCATCGCCGGCATGGTGTTCCCCATCATCTTCGGCAGACTGGAGCCCAAGATCGGTTTCGGCTGGGCCACGCGCATCATGGGGTTCATCCTGCTCGCCCTCTCCGTCATCCCCGCCGTCTCGATGCACACCCGGCTCCCGCCGTCTGGCCACAAGCGTTCCCTCGTCGACAAGACGGCCCTGCGCGATCCGGCCTTCATGCTCGTCATGCTGGGCTCGTTCTGCGGGTTCCTGTCCATGTACGTCGCCTTCTTCTACATCCAGCTCTTCGCCAACACCCATGACATCGGGACGACGTCGTTCTCGGCCTACTTTGTCACGTTACTTAGCGCGGGGAGCATCCCGGGGCGAGTGATTCCGAACTATCTGGCCGACAAGATCGGGGCGCTATACATCCAGATTTTCCTCGCGGCAGGCGCGGCAGTGATGATGTTGGCGTGGCTGGGCATCAACAACATGGCGGGCCTCATCGTCTTCGCCATCATCTACGGGTTGTTTTCCGGCGGCATGGTGAGCATCGCACCGAGCGTCATCGTGAGTTTGTCTCCGGACTTGGGCCGCGTGGGCACGCGCATGGGCATGATGTTCTTCACGTCGAGCATTTCTATCCTTGTCGGCACGCCAATCGCTGGAGCGATTCTGGGGGAATACAGCGAACATGAGTGGCAGGCTATGATTGGATACGGAGCTGCGGCATTGACTGCAGGATCTATCTGCTACACTTTGGCCAAGATCTTCCAGTTGAAAGGAGAGCGAGAGCTCAAGGCGTGAAGAGTACAAGTCACGACTTGATGGAGCTTGCGGACAGAGTGAACATGGGACCAGTGAAGATGATGGGGATCAGTGAAACCACCACCAGGCGCCGACGGCTGCTGCGACGGTACCAAACACAACAGACCACCTGCCCAATCCACGCATGATCTGCTGCTTCGCAAAGGCATCCATGGCGTCTCCGTCATTGATCTTGGGAAACGGCATGTCGGGCACTGGCTTCCCAAGAGCCTTGCACAGAGGCCCCCAACCTTCTTTCACATGGTAAAAGATCAACTGGTTCGCGGGCACGACTCTCTTGAGCCACGCTTGGTGGAGATACCACACATTGAGGTCCGGCAGTGGGTCTTCGTGAGGGAAGAGCTCTCCCCAGCGGCCTTTGGGAATCGCCTCGATGTAACGCGGGAACCAGCGCATAGTCGGGAGGAGGAACAGGGCGAAGGAGAGGAAGGCCTGCAGGGAAGCGCTGCCGGTCTTGCGCATGCTCTCGACCCAGTCGTCCGGGTCGCGGATGGTGCAGATGACCATGACGCCAGGGTGCATCTGCAAGAGCTCCTCGATGAAGAGCATGCCGGGGACGTCGAGGGTGGCGGCGTAGCCATCGTCGAAGTACTTGCGCAGGGTGTCCTCGACAATTTTCTCGTCTGAGGCGGTCTTTATGGGGGTGTGTTCGAGCACGTTGATCCAGTCTCGGATCTCGGACTCGGGACCGCGGGTGATCTGGGTGCCGCCGTGGTATACGGGGCCGTTGAGCAGGATTTCGAGGGCTTTGCTGAAGGAGGCCGTGCCGGTGCGTGGCATGCCGGCGCCGATGACCTGGAGCTTGGTGCCGGGCTTCGGCTTGGAGGCTACATGGCCCATTTTGACGTGGTTACCTTGGAAGAAAATGTGAACCTGGAACGAAATTACAAGTGAGTGAATGAAACATGCACCTCAAACAGAGCACTTGGAATTGAGGAGAAGGTTGATTCCCGAGCACTTTTCCAACTGGCCGTAAGCTTGAATTACCGCATTAGGGCCTAACAAGTCCCTGGCCAGGAACACTGCTGACATCGCACATGACGGGTGGCAGGCGTGCCAATCAGGCACATGCACCGGGACCGAGGACCCGGTCGATTAGCTTGGCTTCGTGAAGGTCGTGATGTCGTCTGGCAGGCTCCGGTGTGGTGAGGTGAAGGAAGGCTCACCGGTCACCGAGAACCTGATCCGTTGCGATGGGCCGGGCCCATCAAGGTCGGGGGGTAGGTCATTCGGGATCTGCGTGGAAAGCAATTTGAATGTCCCAGCTAGCAAGCTTTGTATTGGCTGTAGAGTGCGAGGACTGTAGTGGATTGCACTGCATTATGAACTGCGGTTGAGCCGATACCAGAAGCATCTCGTTTTCGCGATGCGGATCGGGTTGGAAACTGGCTACTCTCAGATCGAGTCAGTGAAGGTAGAAAATTGTCCAGAAATACCTAGCTATAGCTAACCATTCTAGGTCGAGTTGATCGATATTTCTGGGCGGGCGGGCGTCGCCAACGAGTCGTGCTGCTGCTATGGCGCGCGGGAAAGAAGAAGCGGCGTCGCAGGCGTCCTATCACGACGACAAAAGGCGCACCAGACCCGTCTTCTGCTGTGTGTTGCTGATTCATCGTAGTTCATGTCGCTGATGTAGCTTAGCAACGCTTAACTCAGACCCGCGCGGGAGGTGACATCGGTGCAGTCACAGTCATGGTGGCAGCACCTTGTGGAGTACCGCAGAGTCTCCACCGCATGCTGACAGCGGGAACTGTCAAGTAAGATAGGTACCTTGCTTTGTGATGCCAATAGGTAGTTTGTGCTTGTGATGTGATCCGTTGATGGGCAGAGGATCGGAGGAGCTAGGTGAGATGAATATGGCAAGGGAAAGAAGTCCGCCGATGTTTCTGTGAATCGCTGGTAGTAGGTACCTCGCCGTGCCTATCCTTCAGCAGCCGGTCGCCGCCATTGATTGGCTCGTACCTCTCGGCTTCGTGGGGGAACGGTGCGACTCTCAATTTGTCAGTCACGACTAATCCTCAGCAGCAGCAGCAACAGTCACAACATTCGCGATGTTCCCTCATTTTGGTCAAACAGATCGGAGATTAGGAAATGGCCACATGATTCGGCTCCGGTAGATGGGAAAACAACCTTTGGTACCTGATCCCATCCAACACGACGAGAACCCAATGACAGTTTGGATGGAGCTGCTTGGGCCTCTCGTCTCCTCCTCCAACACAACTCTAAGTGAAGAACACTCCTGATGTTGAGTTCGTCACACCGTTTTTCGCACGAGATTTCAAGAACGGCTGCGCATGAATCCGTGTGCAGCCTAGGATCCGAGAAGTGTTTACACATTTCCGCGGGATAAGAGCCTCCTCCCAGCCTCAGTGAGACTCGAGTGCCGCTCCTCCTTCTCTGACCACGAGGAGGGATTGACCGTGTATTCGTAAGGCTTATGATGATGGTGGTCTGCGTTGTTAAGCACTTATTCAGCGCCCGTTCGCGATCTGGCGCAAAGCAACATAGATTGACAAGGGCTCGGATGGACATGAAGGAGGTGTTCTGCGGGTAAGGTAGTTTGCATCATGACGCCGGGCCTGAAGCGACCCTGTCGTGCCTGTTGCGACTTTTGGCTTCGCGACCTGAGGTGCCTATCGCATCCGTCGCTGCCTCCACTCACTGCAAGTATTTGCGAGATGCCAACCTCGAGAGGCGTCACAGGTGTGAGTGACTCTTACAAAGAATAAGGTAAGGAATTCGATGTACCTTCCTGATGTCAGTAACGATAGGTAAGGTACGTACCTAACACCCCATCCCAACTCTGCCCCGCAGCGGAGCATGGCCCCCACATGGAGGGGCATCCCACCTTCCATTCCCGCCAGCTCCACCTCCTGCTTACCGTGACCTGACCTGAGCTTAGCTGAGAGACCTGAGCTGCTGCATCTCATCACTGAGCTGAAGGTGTGTGAATGTCTTGAACTGTGATGCCCACTTGGCCGTTGAAGCTGCCATGGATGAAACCGCATCGCATCGACCTTTCCAGATGTCCTCAAGGGTACCCGACTGGCCCGACGACGAGCCTGCAGAGCTTAGCGTGCCATTGATGATGCAACAACGCCCGTCTCCATCCCCCTCTTCCCATCTCTCAGCTGCCGCTGTTGGGACTGGACTAGGTGATATATAAGAACATGGCCTCCTTCCCAACAAAGCTGTCTTGCTCCAGCTTCAGCATCCTCTCATCTTAGCTTTGTTGAATTCATCTCGATACCCTATTCAACTTCCCACAAAGTCCACATCACCCGTCACAATGGCTCCCAAGATCGCCATCGTCTACGTGAGTAGCTCTTCTTTCCTAATCGGGCAATTTTCTCTCTGCCCTTCTCTAACCCTCGGCGTCCATCCACTCTTACTTTTCCCTACTCTCACCACCATCAATCCAAGTCACTCCTCGACATTTTCTTGCCGAGTCCTCACTTGTTGAGAGTCATTCGTCCCTATGCGCAGCAAATCACACTCGTCATGACGTCTCGATACGGTTGCCCGCACTAAGGCGCCCTGAACCCCGCCGCGATCGCCAACTCAACTCCAACCCTGCCATTAAGACCGCTTTGCTAATCACCGTGCCCCCTCGAACGCAGTACTCCATGTACGGCCACATCCGCACGCTCGCCGAGGCCGAGAAGGCGGGTATCGAGAAGGCCGGCGGCACTGCCGACCTCTTCCAGTACGTCCCTCCCCTCCGCCATCGCCCTAGTACGAATTCGGACTCTAACATCGCACCCGCAGAGTCGCCGAGACGCTCCCGGAGGAGGTCCTGACCAAGATGGGCGCTCCCCCCAAGCCCTCCGACGTCCCCGTCATCGAGCCCGACACCCTCCAGACCTACGACGCCTTCCTCATCGGCATCCCCACCAGGTACGGCAACTTCCCCGCCCAGTGGAAGGCCTTCTGGGACAAGACCGGAAAGCAGTGGAGCTCCGGCGGCTTCTGGGGCAAGTTCGCCGGCCTCTTCATCTCCACCGCCTCCCTCGGCGGCGGCCAGGAGTCCACCGCCATCGCCGCCATGTCCACCTTCGCCCACCACGGCATCATCTACGTCCCCTTCGGCTACGCAAAGGCCTTCCCCCTCATGGCCGACGTCACCGAGGTCCACGGCGGCGGCCCCTGGGGCGCCGGCACCTTCGCCGGCGCCGACGGCTCTCGCCAGCCCACCGAGAAGGAGCTCGAGATCGCCCGCATCCAGGGGCAGTCCTTCTACGAGGTCGTCGCCAAGCACTTCGGTTGACTGCATGGCAGCGGGAACGGCGCCACGGTGGAGAACGGAACGAACGGTGCCAACGGGACCGAGAAGTCGGCTCCCGCCCTGGCCAAGAAGGATTCGGCGACGGAGACGGAGGGCCGGGCCCCGGGGGAGTTGGACGACAAGGACGTCAAGTCGGGACCGTGTGGACTGCCCAGCAAATGTGTCGTGCAATGAGGCCATGCGCACTAAGCTAATGTCGTAAAATGACCAAAAAAAAGATTAATGACCCTGACCAACAATCCTCTCTACTACGATACTGCACATTGGATGTTCGATTCGCGCGGCGAACCAGTTAGAGAAACTCCGCATGCGCCCGCGCACCGTTTAGACGCCATCCGGCCCAAGAAGACTTCAATCTGTAGGACGGAGCAAGGTCCGAATAAGATTACTGCGCAGACATCGGGGAAGATCCGAACCCTCACGCTTCTAGTAAAGCCATTCCCGGCTGACTGCATTGCCGCGGTGATCCTTCCTTTCTCTATCACACACAGAGAGCCACAGTAACTTTAGGCTTTAGCAACAGCGAATAGGGGAGTGAACTCGATGCAGTTTGGTGGTGTGTCGGCAGTTTAGCGCATGGAACTGACATGTTGACATGTCCAGTGGAGGGTGGGAGTGAGGCTTTATGAACGGCCCTTGCAGACCACATATTGATCCGATCCTCTCGCGACTGGTCACCCGGGCTGCCCGCCGGGGATTGGCCGAATGATTGAATTTTCCGCATCCAATCCGTCCCATCTGAACTTGCGCTGGGCGTTACAGGACGGGCCGCCATCCTTGACACTTGTGCAATGATATCACCCCTCGTCGGTGACAGGCCGCGCGTTCTCGACTGTGCGCGGCGATGGTAGTAATCTCGAGAGATGGCCTGACAGAAGAAACGCGCTTTTTATCGTGAAATACAGTCCCAGTTCTTTTACTGAACTATCTATTCTGATGTAACGCCCATGTCCATGCAAATCGTTCGCCTCATGTTAACGCCTCTCAAGCAAGTTGGTTATAGCAAATCATGTACAGCAGTCGGCATCCATCTATCTGCGCCCGAAAATAATGTTGCGGCTGTCGTGAACGTTGAGGAAAGTGTACTCGGCCAGCAGCGGGTCCTTGTTACCAAGGTTGAGGGTGATGGCGAGCAAGTTGGGCTCGGTCCATGTAGGACGCAGGCCGCGTGCCTCAAGACGCTCCCACCAGTCAAGATATCCAGCAGAAGTCATGCCGTTGAAGAAGTGAATCTCAATCATGAGTTGGCCGATAGGGAGCTCTTCGCCGGATATCTGAGGGAAATCCGTAAGCAGACCATCCATGGCCTCGAATTCGGCAAACTCGATGTCCATCTTCAAAATATCGCTGCAGTGTCCTGTCAGTAGCTGCATCGTCAACGTATGCAAACATTCCATCAACTTACAGGTACTTGTGACCGTTCATGTCCATCAGGTCGCTGATACTGTAGAACGGAGGAGTCTTTGTTGTATCCGTCTTTCCTGCGATGCCCGCCTGAAGGAACTTGGCTCGATCGCGGTTGCCGGGTTCCAGCTGTTCGCCGAAGTCGACAACAGAAAAGTCGTACGCCCAGACTTTGCATTTAGTTCGGCTCAGCATCTCGTTCTCTGTGGCACAATTGCATCAGTACAAATCTCGTTGCCTTGATAGTATCCAGCGTAAGATGACAAGCTATACGTACCGAAGCTGGACTCATCGCGAACACCGAACGAGTAGATAATGCAGTCCCTGCCCTTGGGGTAGTTGACGTATTGCGACATGCCGCACACCCACTTGCCGCCGTCTCCCATACGACCGACGCGCTCCATTTCATGGGGACAGCTGTAAGAAGCTGGGGTAAAGTCCCAGATGGAGTACGGGTGTTTTCCGTAGGCCTCGGCGCTGGTGGCAGGGAAGCTGAGCAGAGTCAGTAAGTCACCGAAATCATGGGAGGGAATCGCGGAAGGTCAGGATGGCTTACAGTGGCATGAGGGAGGCGTCGCCGTAGTCAGTAGCAATCATCTCGTGACGCTGTCGGACGGTCTTCTCCCAAATGGCTTCGGCAGTAGCCATGAACTCGCGCATTGAGGGCCGGCTACCCGGGATGTTTTGGACGAGGTTGCCGACTTTGTTCGTGGCCCACTCCTTGGCCTGGTCCGGCGAGGTCATCGAGTGCAGAAGGGCAAAGACGAATAGTAGGCCGGCGGCCAGCCAGAGCATCTGGACGACGCGCCTGTTGTTCGCAGGCATCGTCATGGTTGGTTTCGGTTGTTAGAGAGCTTCAAATCGATGGCGAGGTACAACGTCCGCGACCTTGGGCGGAGAGTAGGGGAAGAGGAGAACGATTTGGATTCGATGCAGACAGACAGGCGGATGGTCACAAGAGCTGCCGAACGAACGAACGATATAGGCAAGAAGAAGGCCAGTCACGGACCGGACGCTCGGAAGTAGTGGAAAGAAAAGAATGGAAGAGAGAACGGGACCTAAGCGGCAGCCTGTCGATGAACCGAGAAGCAGACAGCCTGCGATCAAATGATGGGAGTTCAGGAAGGAAGGCACTAACGAGATGTCAAGATGTCTTTGGGTCACTTATCGGAAAGTGTGAAGAAGCCAGCAAGAGCGCCTGCTTCGTGAAAGGTAGCAGCTGCCACCCGAGTCATCCCGTCGAAGGGAAGGCGCCAAGATGGGAGGAGAGGTCCACGTGTAGCACCTGACTTTCGTGGATGCCCTTTCCTCATGGAGGAAGGATGGAGCATAATCACTGCGGTACTCTTGCTGTGAGTGCCTTACCTAGTAAAAAAGGTTGATGTGGTAAGTACCTTCAATTGCTATCAATTTAGCAACGTGCCTTCCTTGGCCACATTCAAACATGAAGCGTTTGGCGTCCGGTGTCCAGAGTGGGGATGGCCAGCCAAGACCAGTGCAAACGGCACCAAGTCTGACTTTTATTTTAGTTAAAGGGAACGAGCTTCGAAAGTCAGGAAGGAGAGAAAGCGAAAGTTTCCGTTGATGCAACACGTGACCCCGGCACTGCCATTTTCCAAGGGTCTGGGACGCCGATATGGGGTTTTGAGTTTGGGAGTAGCGGACTTGACGGGATAACGAATGGTGACCACCATGACCGCCGTGGCGGGTCGCCGGTCGCTGGTCGCTGGGCGATACGACTTGAGCCGCGAGAAGTCACTTCTACGTTTCTTGTATTACCTCAGATAATTTGCTAATCTGAAAATGTGGTGTTCGACGACACCGGGTATTGCTGAAGAACCTACTCATATCTGACGTGTTCCAGCAACATCAGCCACGACGTCGATGAGCGTGACGTTGCTATCCCTCTTGCACTGGAGCTCCTACCCAATTCCTCTCCGAGAGAAATCTCAAAGAGAGGCCTCTCTCCAACAGGAATATTCTAACATCTCGTCCATCGATTGAATCAACTCGCTTCCTCGGATGCCGCTCGCTTGCCTGGCAGTAGCTGGATTGCTGGGCTGCACGGCCTTGGCCCTTGGCTGGCACCGTCAGCTCAAGCCTGGGCTTGGCGAGCTGAATATTACGGACTGCCCAAGACGTATCGCTGCGTGGCTGCCGGACCCTGCTGTAGTCCTCTTTTATTTCCTTCTAAATCCTCTTAGATCGAACGTCCGTCATCTCTTGAACAAGTTCGTTTGCGAGCCGAAGAAAGGGTTTGGTTGGTATGACGTCCGATAGGCGTTCATCTCCGTATCATTGCACTTGCCGCCGTCCGATAAATCGCAAGGTGCCACCTTAATCTCGCCGCGTATAATCTCCACCATGGACACGAGAGGGAAGAGCAGCACCAGCAGCGAAAGAAGCTGCCCAAAAGACCACCCCTTCTCGCCTTGGTCGCTCAGTTCGTATACAGGTCCGTTTCCGAAGGCATCCGAAGCAATGATGCAGCGCACCGCCGCCCCTACCGCCGACGCCGCCATGAGGAGTATGCCGATGAGTTTGATGACATTGACAAAGCGTAGCGTCCGAAGATGAAGATACCAGCTCGCCAATGAGAAGACGACGACGTTGCCGGCAATCACGAGAATGGTCCCAACATAACTTAGTCCGGTCATTGATCCCGAACCCTCATGGTCGATCTTGAAGACACACGCAACAGGTAGCTTCGAATCCTGCATGCCCTTAGACACGCCCTGCAAGATGAAGACGCCATACACGACGTTGAAGACGAGATTGACGAACATCAGGAACTGCCGCAGCCAGCGCAGAACCCAGTCGCGGCGGAAGTCGTGAACGAGGGCGAGGAGGGTAGCGTTGTGAACTGCCATGGACATGTTCGAAAGGGTCCATATGATAAAAAAGTGGTATGGTACCATGGTGTTTATGCGTGCGAGGCCGACCGATGCGATTCCGATGCCCTGGAGGATCTGCTGATCTGAGTAACTATTGAGGAGCTTGCGGCGGATCGTCGAGGGCCTTCCCTTCAGCTCTTGCAGAATGATGGACGAGCTGAGGATGAGCGAGATGCCGGCGGTGATGATGAAGGATAGCAGGACTCCAATGCCGGCAACACCTGCATCGCTGGCTACTGGCGCGTCGTTCGCGACGCTGGTGCAGTTGGGACCATCAAACACCGACATGTTGGAGACTGTCGCTGTAGATGATTCTCGTGTGTTCGTCTTCTTCGAATTCGTACGTCAGGTCTTTCGTCGTCGTCAATGTCGTAAACCGCAGTCGAGACTCGGATGTTGGTGGTACTGATGTTGACGGAATGATGGCTGAAAGAGTGCGGACGCGCCGGTCAACCCAACCAGAACATACCACAACAAGAAAGGTCTTGTCAGCAAGGCGAATGTCCTGCACGACAGCTAAGGGAGATGTTGAGTTGGATTGGATGATCGCAATGGAAGGTAGTATTGAATTACGGATTCTGAGTAAAAAATCGACAACCCAAAGCCGCCCGGGTAGATTTGTGGCGGGGAGGATCTTCCTCCTTTTTGACCCTTATGACGTACGGCTAAGCGCTGCCCCTGTCGTCTGAAACGGCCATCCGCTGGGGAAGATCCCTGAGCTCGCTGAACGACTGGCTCACAGCGCCCTCTCAGCGGCCTCTAGGCGTTGATGCCCGCGCTGCCGTCCGTGGCTGTGCCCCACCAAAGCCACCACACGCGGCACCGGGCAGACGACGCCATCCAGGTCCAGGTTTCCTCGCAGATCCCTTCAGGTCGCAATCCTCCGCATCGTCCTTTTTCGCCCATCGATTTCCATCCCGGCTGCCTCAGGGACCCCCTTGTCTCCCATCGCAATGCGGCCATTCGCGCCGGTCGCCTGCGCCTCGTCGACAAAGGATTTCGAAGGCCATTCGATTGGTGTTTATGGCATTCTCGAGCCAGGCGCGACTTGAATGAGACAAAAAAAGGAGCTCCTGGTGGCCGTCGGTTGCCCTGCGGTTGCCCTGCGTTTATCCAAGACCAAATCAGTCGAAGCTTTGTCGATCCTCGTTTGCGACCACCAAAGCGCACCCGCAGCCATGCCGATTGCGCGATAGACTGCCGCTAGTCTAGCGGTCATCTCGGTCGGTCTTCTTGCTTATGCAGGTCCAACGATGTTGGTAAACCAAAGCAGGATGGCCGTAGGCGAGTTCGATTCGGAAAACACCAACGATACGATCGTTAGGCGTCTCCGTGGGAATCAATCATCGACGATGCCTGTACTCCCGCCAGCTGGCTCGGATGCCGCCGCCAGACCAAAGACCGACGAGCTTTGTCGGCGCCTTGTCACCCTTCGAGGTTGATCCGCGACTGACGCAAGGCTTGCCGCTGTGCTGGGCGGTTTGCTCTTTGCTTGAAGAAAGTCAGCTTCATGTCAGTCGGAATCAGACTTGATGCGAACTCGGCATACTCAGCTTTGTCGCCCGCCGGTCGGCCGGCTTGCGACCGATGTCCGCAACGATTCTAGCCCGACTGATGAAAGCCCATAACGCTGCTCGTCCTCCACCCTGCCGTCGATGAAGTCTCTCAAGGCTTAGAAGGAGGCTCGCGACGTCGGCCTTCACTTTACAAACTTCATTTTGCATCTCAGGCGTTGCTTCGTACGTCGTGTTAATACTAGTCGGCGGTTGTCAGACGTGTTCGCGAATTCCTCCGAGGCGGAAAACCTACAAATTGGCCACCGTCACACTGACACGGAATGCCATTTTCTGCACTGCAAGCTGCCTTCTCAATTCCGCGAACTCTTGCGCTTTGAATGAAATCTTCGCTTTCTTCCACACGCCTAGTCTCACGCCAGGCCGGCCGCCGGTGTACCTCTCAAGCGTTTCCTCAAGCAGACACAGGCACTGGATGGTGTCTTTGAGGACCACCTCCAGATCGCGAGCCGTGGAAGGATGCAGTACGCCTCTGACGGTTTCTTCATCGTCAATATAGCCCTGAAGCGTCTCAAGAACCGAGGAAGTGTCCTTGATGTCGGTTGAAAGCGCGGATAGGGCTCGCGGAGCATCGGAGATGGCGTCAATCTGGCGGCTCACTGCGATACCCAACTGTATGGTAGCCGCGAGAAGACCGGCGATGCCACTGACGCCGGATGCCTCGAACATCCCACGGCATGTCTGGCAGACGCATAACCGCTCTTCGTGTTGGAATCGGCCGCATTATCTTTCAATACTTTCGGAGACAAGAACACCAAGCCTTAAGTAGAGAAGTCCTCCGGGCCAGGCGGGGGACAGGCCCAGGGGGCGCAGTGCCGCATTACACTATGCCGGGTCTCCTCCCCGGAATGGGTCGCTGACACGATCTTTGCAGGGTAAAGCAAGGGAGACAGCGGGTACTACCTCCAAGAACTCCAGGCTCCGTCGGCACATTCACGGTGCATTCGTTGATGCCCAAGTGCTCGAATCATTACGTCGCGATCAAGTCATAGTTGCTCACGAGCATCCCATACCAGTAAGTTGGCGAATTGTCCACGCTTTCTAAGCTCTGGTTTATTGACATTATCTGTAGGTGATGTATCGCTCTAAACATTCTATGGTATCGAAAACAAACAAGGAAACCGCTGTCGGGAGGGGCAGCTTTACGACAAGGAACGAAGAGAGTGGATGCTCATGGTTGAGCAGGAAGGCTACTTTCACCGTCATCCTCAGGGGTCTTGCCCTCTGACGGTGGCAGCCTAACAAGAAGCAAAAGAATCAGAGCAAGCAGACAAAAAGCGGCAACGCCCAAGTAGGGCAACCCAATCCAGAGTCCGCCCATCTTCATACCAATGCTGAATAGCCACGCCAGCATGGGCTGCGCGTACGTTTGTCCGGCGGTCTCGACGAGCGAGATAATGGAGAACAACCGGGTTCGATGGGCCGGGTCAACGAACACGCTGCTCACGCTCCTCACATAACTGCCCCATCCAGTGCCTAGAGACAGGATGGCAAGTCCGCCGATAAAGGACCCCACCGTCGGCGACGCAGACATGCTCAGAGATCCCATCAGCAGGGCTATCGACGAAACACGGGCAAGGAAGAGATCGCGCTGGTGATCGTCCGGAATGCGCAACGTCTTTGGCATTTTGGGCGAAGCGAGGAGCTTGGAGAAGGCCGGCAGGATGAGAATGATCGAGAGGAGAACGCCTGAGCCGTACAGAGACGAGAGGTACCCGGTCTGGGAGAGCGAGACATGGTAGCGCTTTGAGGCGTAGATGGACATGAACTGCAATGTCGACAGAAGAACGGGGTACGAACTGAGCGTGGCGACCAGCAAAAGGACCAGCGACGGCGATTTGAAGAGGGCAAACGACTCCTTGAGACGCAGGAGCGTGTGCTGGATGGCGCCCAACATGGGGGATTCCGATTCATCCTCATCCTCGATCGGGTCTTCGGATACCTGGGCGGCTGGCTTCGTCTCGGGGATGAGGTGGATGGTGAATATCAGGGTCAAAAATCCGACGTACGCCACGGCCATGACGGGCCACGGGCCCGTCTTCTCCATCATCCAACCGGCCACAGCGGGAGCGCACAAATTTCCGATCATCGACGACAGATGTACCCGCATGAAGCTTTTTGCCCTGTCATGAATGTCAGCAGGATGAGCGCAGAACGAAAAGGACGTCACAAACCTGTTCTCGGAGGTCGTCACGTCAGCGAGCATCGAGAAGACGATCGCACTAAGGACAGCATTTCCGCCGCCGAGGACCAGAAACGTAGGGCCAAACCAGAGAGCCTCAAGAGGGAGCGTCTTGGGAAAAGCGCAGACCGCAGCAAACCAGGCCTGGTCGAAGGACATGCCCAGTATGGTCAAAGAAAACACCCACTTCCTTCCAAGTCGATCGGCCACGATACCCCAGGGAAAGGCGCAAGCGGCACCGATGGAAGCCTGCAGAGCGCTGTATATGGCAAAAATGTAGGCGACCTTGGACTGGATGGCGTCTTCCTTGCACAAGCTCTCGTCGATGTTTTCGCTGCTCAAAACGTCGTAGTAGTGGCGGCAGACGATATCCTCGACCTTGCGGGTGGTGGGGATGACCCAAAGCCCGCCGGAGGCAGATCCAACGAGGACGACGGCGCAAAAGATGCCGACGATCAGGTCCGGGTTGTGGACCTTGGGCACGTGGAGAGTGTTGGCGGCGCGGAGGAGCGAATCGGTGCGGCCACGGTTGGCGCCGGGGCGCGGTGGATTGCCGGCGAAGAGTGGCGTGGACTCGGTAGCGTCATCCTCGGAGCTCCTAGGCGGACGGTCGTGGTAGTCTCCGTTGAAGTCGTCGGACTGCTCGGCGCGGCGATGCATGTTGGCTGCAGTGTAACTGTTGCGTGAGCCTGGGCGAGGCACTCTGTAGTGTGGTTGTGCAATATACTAAGAAAGCGGCGCTGGTCCCCTGGTTTTTGACGACCGCAGGAGGAATGTGAGAGGGGGAACAAGCTCAAGAAATATGTGAGAGAGGCATCACTGATCCGTTTTAGGTAATGATGGAAGTGGTGGTGGTGAGGGACGCAGACTGCAATCTTATGAATCTTATCCCTTGGTGACGCGATAGGGGACCCCCCCAACCGTCAACGTTCAGACACGCGGTCTGAAACTGAAAAAAGCACTCCCTGCGGGTGCAAAGTGCCTCTCGCTCTGCCGCATCTGCAACCACGACGTATCTGCGACTGCGACGTATGCGTGCCGCGGTGCCGGGTGCTCGTCACTCGACGACGACGGGAGCTTGCGCTGGTGTATTCGTGGCGGTTCCCAGATGTGCGTGGCACACGATCAAGACGAGTGACAACATGAAGCAGGGCTGGTCGAGGTGGTTAACGAATGGCCGTGAGACTTTTCCTTGCTGTCGTTATCTGGCGGACCTTTGCTCCGGAGTAGGAAAGCAATAGACGCAGCCCCAAGTACGTCATCAAGGATAAGCAAGCAAAACGAAAAAAAATGCAGGCTGACTGGGTGAGATCTGCCTCACCAAACGCCGCCATCTGCGAATGAGATATGGAGGGAATCAGCAACGCAACGACAGGTCGAAATGCTGCACCAGCAACGCAATCAAGAGGTAGGGCTGCATGATTTGGGAGGGGCGCCAAAAGTCCCAACATGCTGGGCCGCGGTAACGTTTGATACACACACAATCTGGCTTACGGTCTCAAACTCACCCAATGAAGCAGCAAGTTTAGACTCGTACAGCATCCTGCGCACGCGAGGGTGAGCTTCGATGATGAGCTTCTCTCAGAGTCGCAGCAAATCAAACGGCGGCAGCGTTCCCAATTTCCAAGTTAGGGATAGCGTCAACGGGCACTGGTAAGCAGTACGTACCTCTCTGACAGTGGAGCTCGAGCCCCGAGCACCCAATGAGCGTTCGGATGCCGGTCGGCTCCCGATTGGGGAATCGAGGTACGTACCTTGGGATCTGGTACGTATTCCGTCTCACTGACGTGGTGATGCCCGCTTCATCTTGCAGCTTGCGCGGCGGGTTCATTCGAGAGTCCGGAGTCCGCGTTCTCCCTTCTCGTCCATCTGTCGAGCCGCGTCCTAATTCCTCGTCTCTGTGACTCAAGAGATTGGAAATGCAGGTCCCGAACCAAAATTCAAAAGCGATAGCGAATCCACTTCCCCTCTTTCTCTCCCTTATCCGCTGCTAATAAACTTATCGGGGTATCATAGATGTTGTGTAAGCTTAATCTAGCATCTATGCAGAAAAGGCAATGTACGCGCGTTGGCAGACGAGAAGACCGCGTCTCCCCTGCGACCGCGTCTGCGGAAGCGCAATGGGGTTGCGAGGGATTGGCGCCAGATAGAGGAAGACGTGATCTAGAATTTAGAGTTTGGGCACTTTTGGCTTCCGGTAAAGCTTTCGGTTTTGCTCTTCTGCGAATCCAGGAACGAATTCCTATCGCGGTGCTTGGCCCGTTGGTAGGGGATTCCCTCGCTCCTTCAGCTTTCTCGGCCAAGCAAAGCTGCAGCCCGTGTCGACCCGTCGTCCCATCTCATGTTCTGGATCTCTCCTCTGGAAAACCCTCGTCCCAGGTTCTTCCTGACGGCCGGAACTCTCCGCGGCGTCTCAGAGGTGGGAGGTTCGCCAGAACGCCCGTCTGGTTATGCGGTTCATGCTCCCGACTACCAGCAATCAGCACCCCTCACGCAGAAGTGTTCCCTGAGCTCATGTCCTGAGCTCATGTCACTAGGCAGAAAAGCCATCAGAGAAAACCCGGGTTAGGGTAAGGGTTCGGCTTCGGCTTCGGCTTGGGTCGAAGATAGGGTAAGGGTTGAGTATTTACCCTGAGGTTGTGCATAGTGATATTCACAAGATTTCACCCAGGCTTCATAGCCACGGCGCGACGAGGCACAAGCAAACGGTCGCAGCATGAACAACATATCAACAACACGTGCGATTCCGTCCGAGGCGCAAACCGTCTCTCCCCCTCGCTTAAACCCTCTCCGGAAGAGATCGGTCTGGGCCCGGAGCTCGGTTCAGGAAATGATCACTACTCCACCTTAGACGAGCTCCCCCGGGCCCACGCAGCATCCCACGATGGCTCACCTCGCGGAAGGAATTATACTTCCCGCCGGGCACATCCCGAGCGAGCGGGGATCGCGAGACCAGCTTTCATAGTGATATACCACAATGTCCACTCTCGAAAAGACATGGTAAGTGAGGGGGGAAACACACAAAGTCTGTCCTGGAAAGACGCCATTTGTGAAAGTTTGCTAATGCGTTTGGACAGATGGCTTTGAGTTTTGTCGTTCGATCCTTCGTACCTGCTTCTGAGGGTCATCGATTTGTGAAGATTAATGCAGGGAAAAGTCATCTCTTCTGTGAATAACCGCGAAGCTTTATGTCACGCAACTTTCCTCAGAAAGCGGGAAATCAGGTGCCTCATTTCCCGCTCCTCGGTCTTTCGCTTCTCGCTGCAACGCCAGTCTTCTCGTGAAAGTGAGAAAGCTCTTCCTCACAGCAAGATACCAGGGAGAAAGCTCTCCCCTCAAGCCCCTCATCTGCTCTCAGAAGCTGATCCCCGTCGACCTCCTCCTCTTCCTCGCTCTTCTCCTCTGCGTCTTTTCGTCTTTTCGTCTTTCCCCAAACGGTTTTCCGAAATATGTCCCTCACCGGGTGGCCATCCCGGATCCAGTTCCGGATCCCCGGGAGTACCTCGCGACGATGCCTTGCCCACCGGCGCGCATGTGTGATCGCCAGCCCTGTCACCTGTGTGTGCCATCAGCACATTGCAGTCTGCGTTCAACGTTCACCCGCGGCTAGTCTTGCACGAAAAGCCTCCCAGAGAGCTGGCATTTATTGCCGTCACGAGGGTATCGAGCCATCTCCCTAGCCGAGCGTGGTCTTCAAACCCTTACCACTTTCATTATTGCACTACTCAGAGCCATGACGGAGGAATCTCCGTGTCCCAACGACTGACAGTTTGAGAGACATCTGCATTGTGCCCTATCGACGTATCCACGGCCAACGCGACCCTACGCCTGGAAACCTGGTTCGAGGTTCTTGTCCCCCTCATCCACCTAGCCAGCCCAGCCACTGCGATGTCATGCCCGTCCAACGTGGATCTGGACGAAAACCACGGGCAGCGGGCCTGTTCACCGGCAGGAGGGGTATCCACGCTCTTGCAGCTCTCCCATGGACCGCCGTGATATCTTTATTCGTCTGGCGAGTCCACAAGGCCGATGTTATCCTCGCCCGGAGACCGTTCCGCGGACCGATGCCCCCCCCGCGGGACGAGGAACTCGAGGATACATGTAGCCCTGACTTCAACGCAGGGGAGATTGGCGCCGTTGGACTGTCATTGTCTTTGTTGGCGCCCAACTCGTCCCAAACCGACCGGCGTCTTGGTTGGTTACCAAGGGAAAGCCTCCCTCGTCGTCACCCTGCTGCCACCGATGAGGAGACGTACGGTTACGTTGGGCCTCTCTGGAGGGCCCACGTCGGCGCTTCGCAAACCTGGCTCATGGTATCTTGTTGTATTGGAAGAGAAGCTCATTGGTGCCGGAAGCCAGGGTGAACTTGGCGTTGGACGTCGTCTTGATACCGTCACATTCGACGACGAGCAAGGCTAGATGGGCGTGATTGCCAAGCCGCATATGTAATGGGCTAGTCTGCTCAATCCCACTCACGCCGGTTGATAGCGTACACTTTCCACGTACGTAATGATCCAACCGGTTGGGCGTCTCTCCACGATACCCAGCAGCTGAAGGTCGAAAGAGGCAACTTCTAAATGAAGAACTCCACCGCTCGAGGGCTCGACTGTCATTCCCATGACTACTGTTGCGCACCAAGTTGACGTGGACAGGTCGATCAATTGCATGTGTCCAGGCCAGGAGCTGTACTCCCTGTCAGCTTTGATGAGGATTTCTGATCTCGACGATGGGAACTCAGTGTCAGGTCTTGTCCGGTCATGTTTCCACGCAGAGAAGCGAAGCAGTCAATACCACCAACCCAGACAGTCACATTTCATGCCATGGCTGGTCTGCTGGGATGTCAACTAATTCCAAATCGACCTTTTGCAAAATCTGATGGTGCTCGGCCAGTGCTGGAGCAGCTTCCAAGACTCCCCCTGCGTGAATATTCCAGTCTCAACTCTGCTGTGAGCGAGGGAAGTTCAGGGAAAGATAGAGGGCGTCATTCTCCGCCTGTATCGTTGAGTTCCTAACTGTTCGTGTCAAGCCGGGCTCTACAACCTCGCCTGAGGGTATTGGGCATTTCTCGTGTTGTCAGGCGGGGGCTCTTTCCGTGAAATCACCCCTTCAAGTGCATGCGTCGACAAGTTTGTCTGCGTGAAGACTGGATAGTTCCCCAGCTAAGGAGACACCCCTCACGCCCGAAGAGCTGATCCTGTATCAGGGACATCTCCGTCAAAGCAGTCTCCTTGTCAGTCCCATGGTCCCATCGCACCAGGAAGACGGAAGTCGGTCAAGTAACCACGTCGTATCATGCGGGAGTCTTCTCAGAAACCCCCGGGGCACCTATGTTGTTGTCAACCCGGGCGCTCTGTAATAATTCGTCGTTGTTATTCCAATACTTCAGCAACTGACAAGAGTGATAGTAGTAGTTCTCGGCGAAGATCGTCGAACGGCGGTCAGGTTTCGGGCTTTTGCCCAACGTTTGTCAAGGCAGTTCTCATCCTGCCCAAAGTCGAGCGGTCAATGGAAGCCAATCCAGAAGCCCTCTGCTCGCCGACTGACAACATACGTGGTCTTGTGAACTGTTTGGAGAGGGGCTAGAGAGATGGCCGAACTGTCGACCTCTCATCCCACAACTGATCGGAAATTTTGACCAAACCGAGCACATACGAATACAC